TTTGTCTGATTTTGCTCTATTTCGTGTACTGCAGTGCTGTATTATACTGCTACAGTTTAAATCATATAGCTGTGAATGCTGCACTGCTCTGCTATAGTTAAAATGCTCCATTTAGTGGTGGATTAGTAAACCTATTGAAATAAAGGGATTTGACTTCAGTGGGTCCACTCTGAGGGTGACTTAGTTGGATATCACCCATTGTTTATAGGCAGATGTTCTGGAAATATTTGAAACTGAATGTGTAATACTGTTTGCATTGAAAGTGTGCAGGTGGCTTTTTATTTTCTGAATCTCTTCCTAACAGACAAAGAAATGAATTTACTATCTTCAGAGCTGTAGATAATTGGAACAATAGAGGAGTGATATAGTAGATTATTCCTCTTAGAAACCAGAGAGAATATGGCTGAAGCTAGGGTGTCTAGAGGTCTGTAATCTGCACAACTCTCTGTCCTTCCCCATAGCTATAGGAGGGGTCACAAATGTGACCCCTGCCAGATCTTACTGGACCACAGCTTCTGTTGTCCCTGACCATTGGCCATGCTGACTGCAGCTGAATGGGGCTGGGAGTCCAACAAAATCTGGGGGGCACCATGTTTTTTTGCTCCTGGCCACAGTCGCTGTTTCCTTAGCTCTCTTATGTCTTTTGCTGTGCAAATCTCTGTATCTCTTTCCCCTGACTAAAATTTTCAAATTGTACAAAACCCCATATTTGTTCTTGAATTAGGTTGAATGGTAAATGTATCCCCTCTTGCATAATTTCTTTTGATAATAATACACTTTAAACATAGAATGACAATTCCTCCATAATCAGCCGCCTTTTTTTAACCACCGCAAGAATTTTGCAGCCCAGTCATATGCTTGTCTGCTCAGTAGTATGCCCTGTTGAGTTCAATGGAATTGGGGTATGTATAGGATTTCAGCCTAAGCCCTACTTGAGAGTAAGACTCATTGCTAATAGGGCTTACTGCTGAGTAAACAAGCAGAACGTTTGCGTCATGAGTCTGCCTTCTGATTTGTAGCCTTGCTCACAAACCAGTGTTTGATGGTCAGAGAAAGCTTAGATTCACTCTCATAGTCAGATGTCTTCTCTGTTAAAGTAAAGCTAGAGGATAATGTCTACAAAACAGGCATAAAAACAGTAGTGGTGGCACTTCACAGACCTGATAACTGGTTCCTACTCTTGCCTCTCTCTCTGGCGGTCCTTTCCTCTTCAGATCACTTCAGTTCTCTTATATACCAGCCATCACATCTTTCACCCAGCTTCCATTAACCTTCCAACTTCATACCACACTTATCAACTCTAGTGCCAACATAACCTAGCTACTTGTGTCCTAGTACACACACTCATGAATCCCTAGCACTCACACCAGCTATGTCTTCTATAGTACAATTACTCAAGCTTTCCCATTTTTGAATCTTCATTTCTCAGACTGAAGACTCCAATGAATATACTATTCTCTCCAATTACTACAGTCTCAATTCCTGGAAGTTTCATAACTTCTTGGCTTGGTTAAAATGTACCATTTTTCATTCTTCAAACCATGGATTGAAAATGAGCTCTGTGCTTGTGTGCTCCTTTTCCTAGCACTGTTGGCTTCATGAATAAATTCCTGGCTTGGGTATGTTACAGGCATACCAAAAACTATGGTTTGTGTGTGCCCTACAAAACAAGATCACAGACTTGTGTTTTGATGTTTGTTTTCCAGTCCTGGTTTGGAGGGACAAATGATTCCTGTATTGCAGGCATTTGGACTCGATAATCCTTGGGGTTCCTTCCAACTCTACAATTCCATGATTCTATGGTTCAAAAATAGTTTGTGGAATTGACTCTAATGGCAAAAAATAATGGTTTACCAAAACCCAAGCTATTACTCATTAACCTAAGTGTGTGGGGGTGGAGTGGTTAGGAAGGTGCACAAAAAAATATTGCTTGTTTTTAACTTCAAATAAGGCTTCAGACTATTGAAAATGTTTACATTTGTACTATTCTCCCACTACCTCACCCTGAGATTTGGGGTATATGTCAAACCAAGTTTACATAATTTTTCCCCTCTGTAAATTAGTTTCATTTATTGTGTGGCTGTAGATGCTGATCAACTGTGTAGCACTTGTTTGAGTTTTTAAAACAAGCATTTTTGTGGATTCTTTACAAATAATAATTTGTATAGTAAACCTGCAACATCGGGAGTTACATACTTGGGATCACGCCTAAAGCTAAAATCATGTTGAAACGCATTGGGTTCAATGGCAGGTGAGCTTGCATGTCTCTCCCCCCCCCAAAAAAAATAATAATTATGTCCCCTTTTAATTATTTTATTATTTTTTGGCCATGTGCATAAGTTGTGGGTTTACTGTACAGTGGTGCCTCGCAAGACGAAATTAATTCGTTCCGCAAGTTTTTTCTTCTTGCGAGTTTTTCGTCTTGCGAAGCACGGTTTCCCATAGGAATGCATTGAAAATCAATTAATGCGTTCCTATGGAAACCGCCTTCAGACCAGGTCCGGGGACAGTCTGTCCCCCGACCTCTTCTGAAGGCTGGGGGGGGGGGAAGGGCTTTTCTTCCCACCCCCAGCATTTTAAAAAACCCCGGGACAGCGGAGGACTTCTCCGCTGTCCGGGGCGATTTAAAAGCCCCTGGGAAGGCAGGCAGGGGGGACAAAGACTTTCGCCTGGACCTCTTCTGAAGGCGGGCGGGGGGCGAAAGTCTTTGTCCCCCCTGCCTGCCTTCCCAGGGGCTTTTAAATCGCCCCGGACAGCGGAGAAGTCCTCCGCTGTCCCGGGCGATTTTAAAATGCCGCCCGCCAGCATTTTCTTCTTCTTGCGAAGCAAGCCCATAGGGAAATTTGTCTTGCGAAGCAACTCGCAAACGGAAAACCCTTTCGTCTTGCGGGTTTTCCGTCTTGCGAGGCATTCGTCTTGCGGGGCACCACTGTATTTTTAAGATATGACTGTGTAAATGATGTGTTGCATACCTTTCACCATGCTAGTAGGAAAGGAAAAAGTGAAATTATTCTTTGCAGAACTAATGAACTCTTTTTTTCTTTCTATTTTACGTTTGTGGTTTTTATGGTGAACTTCATTGTCAGTGTCATGGGGCAGCCCTAGATGTTTTGGCACCTGAGGCAAAATGCACTGCCACCCCTGCAATAGGATAGGAGGATAGGAGTCGTGAGGCTCTGCAAGGGCTTCCTCTCAAGTGAGAGTAATGGGCGAGGTCTCCCCTCTCCCCCACTGAGGCTTTGCAAGAAGCCCTTGCTGAATCTCACTGCTGGGTTGGTGGGGGAAGGTGATTTTTTGGGTTTGATCCTGCCTTTTGGTCTTGCATTACTACTGCTACGGTTTCTTAAATTGCCATAAGAGCTTGGTTGGCTGCACATAAGAGCTGCACTGGCTCCCGGTGGAGTACAGGGTCAGATTTAAGGTGCTGCTTTTGACCTTTAAAGCCCTTCACGGCCTAGGACCCTCGTACCTACGGGACCGCCTCTCCTGGTATGCCCCACGGAGAGCCTCAAGGTCCATAAATAGCAACACCCTAGTGGTCCCGGGCCCTAAGGAAGTTAGATTGGCTTCAACCAGAGCCAGGGCCTTTTCAACTCTGGCTCCGGCCTGGTGGAACGCTCTGCCTCATGAGACTCGGGCCCTGCAGGATCTGATTTCTTTCCACAGGGCCTGTAAGACAGAGTTGTTCCGCCTGGCCTTTGGCTTGGAGCCAATTTGATTTCCTCGCTCCCTCCCTCCCTCTCTTTCTTTTTTCTTTTCCTTCTCCTCCTGCAATGAGGCTACATTTTAATATTTTAATGTTCCATTAGTTTAATGTTGTATTTTATTTTTGTTTTTAAGTTGTAATCATTCTTCTTGTTTTTATTATTGCTTGTAAGCCGCTCTGAGCCTGGCCTTGGCTGGGGAGGGCGGGGTATAAATAAAAAATTATTATTATTATTATTATTATTATTATTATTATTATTATTATTATTGGTGCTCCTCATATAATTTTGCACTTCCGATTGCTGGATCTTGTCTTTCTGTCTAACTGCAATACTAAGGAAATGAGGCTAGTTTACGTTTTAAATAACTTCTACTTTAACCACTTGAAATGTGATAGATACATAGTTTTTTTGGAGACACATCTTTTATACTAGGGGTGTGGAACTGAGTCTGCTTGGTGGGCCAGATCTTTATCTTCTATAACATTCACACACCACATTTGTCAAGTGGGCATCACAATGACATCAGGTGATGGGGTGCTTTAAAGTCCTGAAAATGGTCAGTGCACGGGGCTTGCAAAGAGCCCTGCACAGTGCTTCGAAGTGCCACCAATCAGTTGATTGTTAGTGCTTCAAAGCGCTAAGCAGGACTCTTGGCAAGTCCCTTTGAGGATTGACTGGCTTCAGAGTTCCCCATGGGGAATTCAGTAGTGCATCCAATTCTAGGGCGCTTGAAGTGAGTTCCTATCACCTGATAAACACTTACTTCAAGCTCTGCTTTCTGCATTGGTTGGCTGGCCATGGATTTCCCCAAGGCAACTCAAAGCATTTCCCAACGGGAGTCCCCTTGGTAGTGCAGCCAGTCCTAACTGATTGGTGGCAAGAGCATTCTTGCCTTGTCAGTGCACTACTGGGAATGCACTTGAAGGCTCCCGATTGTGTATTAGCAGCCATGTCTCCATCCACACCTCTCCTGAGGTGTTAGGTATGGGGTGAATGGGTATGGTTTGGGGTAAATGCCTGGTAGGCCAAATTGGGACCCATGCCAGGCCTGCACCCACCCCTCCATTTCCTCTGGTGGGTTGGGAGTACCTCCAGAACAGTACTGAAGATGACATAGAAGCTTGAAGTGGGAATCTCCTCCTCTTCCATTGGCAGAGGTATCTGCTGGGTCCAAAACCTTTCAGCAAATGAAATGGCACAATTAGATCCAACTTCAACTGTTGCTGGTTTATTTTCTTTAATCTGTGATGTGGCTGATTCTCTCCTAACTTTTGGTTTGTTTATTTCTTTAAGGTATCCAGAGAGTGGCATCGTAGAAATGTCTGTCCGTAATCTACGGCCACGAGCAAGAACTATTTTGAAGTGGAATGAATTATGTGTGGGTGATTTGGTGATGGTTAACTACAATGTAGAGAGTCCGGAAGAGAGGGGATTCTGGTTTGATGCAGAAATAACCTCTCTGAGAGAGATTTCAAGGACTAACAAAGAAGTTTATGCCAAAATTTTGCTGGGGTAAGATTTTATTGGTTAATTTTGTCTTTGAGGAACCTTTTTAATGGAGATTCATCTTAGACATACTGAAAATTTGTATGTTTCATATATTTCAGCAGTGATCTTTTGAAAATTAAAATTTGCCACATACTTGAAATTATTATGATGAAATACAATATTTTATTTGCAGGTTGCAGTTATGTTTGCATAACTGTATTTCAAAATAACACACTTCTAATAAAGTGATCTGGAAGGTGCCATTCCAGTCACAGCATTTTATTTTTTCAGATTTACTTAATAATGTTGCTTGGTGTATATCTTCTTACTTGCATCTTCTACCCTGTGTATAAAAGTGGGTTGGTTGGGACTTTGTGTAACCTGCCTCTCAATGAACAACTAATTTAAGAGAACTCAACAGAATACACTTTAGTTCTGAAAAGTGCTTTTTTTCTAGAAAAAAGGTGTGGTACTGACCATGAGGTTGTTGCAGTAAGTGTCACACTTTTAACCACTGCTTTTTTTTCTAGAAAGAAAAGGTGCCAGTACTGCGTACGCTTGAGTACCCCCAGAAGTTAGAATTAGCACTTAAGTGCTTTTGGTCCATTTCTAGTTAATTCTGTATTAAATCAAAGAACTGTGATAATGAATATTTAGTAAATAAGGAAGAAATCAGGAACAATAGGGATAAAATAACTAGAATGTTAGACTGTTCCTATTATTCAATCATATTTTGCCGAATACCAGCACCCACCTACATAATTTTGGTGTGAAGATAGTCTATTTTACTTAACAATGTGTTTCCTTTTACTGTAAAGTTAAATATAACTGAAATTAATTTCATATCTGTCATAATACTGACAGAAATATTCTTACTGATCTTACATTCCCTGTATTTCAACTTTCTGCCCTTAAATCTTCAACCTTCTGGCCTCTGATGGTTTTTTTTGCTGACCTTGAAAAGGCTCTTTCACAGTAACTATGGCAACTGCCAAATTAATTAGTTTCTTGTAGTGAGAATTGGTCTAAATATGGATCTCCTGCCAGAGGATTAAAAACTCATAATTCTCTTGACTGTCTTAGATTCAGTATTTTTATTATTTCTGACTTCTGTTTAGAATACTTGTTGTCATCTTTATTTGATAGGTTTAATGGTGCTTACCACCTGTTCCTTGATTTGGTAGTTTAATTTTGAGCACATCTGTGTGTAGAATAAAGTTTATTTCAGATTTTTATTTTTTCAAAAATGGTGAAATGAGGAGGAAATACAAAGATGTAAGAAATAAAGGGTGGTTGTATTAGACAGTCTCAAGTCTGTTTTCTGTGCTTCAAGCATAGTTAATCACAAGTAAAATGTCTGCTGGGTTGCGCTTTTACTGTATTGCCAGCCTCGTTCCACAAGGATACAAAGAAAGTGTGCAGAAGGACTTTTTCACTCTTGTCCGTTTCCCTCTCAAATGTAAGCCATTTTCTTTTTGTTTAGTATGTCTGCCTTCCCGAAGCGTAAAGCAGGCTTGGCTTCTGAAATGAGCAAGACAAAATTGCAGCCAAGAAAGAGAAACTGCCCCATCGCACAAGAATTTGCTGGATTTTGAAACACGGCAGTGTTCTGTTCAGTATGGATGGCTGCCAGCGTAGATGCCCCTCCTCCTTTTCTCCTTGACGATTGAACAGTTCTTTCCCCCTGTAACAAGACTGTTTCCAGAGCCAAGGCAAATCATCGCTTCTTTGGTTTTTCTTCCCCTCCCATTCTGCTTATTGCAGCAGTGCTCAATAAGCCTGTGGTATGAAACATTTTGGCAGATTTTCCATCCTCACAATGGTGGCAGGGGAAACTTAAACAAATGCCAGTAAACTGAAAATCAAGGAGTCTGCCCTATTACCAGAAGGAGGAGTGAGAACAAGCACAAAAACTGACGACACTGAAAAGCAGTAGTCTTTAAGCACTCTCTTTCCATTTGTGCATTAATAGACAAGCTGGGCATCTTTTTGAACATAACAAGCCCACAACGTAGGCACATTTAACTTGTGTGCATTCAGCTTGGCAATTAAAAATAAAAAAGGGTGTGGGCATCCAGGGGAAAAGACTTTGGCAGTTTCACCTGTCATTGAACCCAATGTGTTTTGACTACATGCAATTTCAGCTTTCGGCGCTATCCCCGGAACATAACCCTCAGTATAATAAAGAAGTGCTTAGTCTTCTCAAGTTCTTCCAGCAGTCTTTAGTGAGAGATTTTCTCCCCCCCCCCGGTGTTGTCTCCATAAAGCCAAAGCTCTAATAAATAACATTTAATAGATGGTGATTCAAATGAAAATAGTGCTAAATAGAAGATCATGATAAATGATAGTAAAACTCAGAGTGTATTTATAAAATTTCAACTGACACGAGTGGTTTGAAGTAGCAGTTATCTGTTTTCAATTGGCCAATGCTATAATTGGAATTGGAGAAACTGAGCTCAAAACTTTTATGCTTTAATTTTCAGCGGTCCAGAAAATGTCATAAATGATTGCAAACTCCTTTTTATAGAGGAAATATACAAGATTGAAAAGCCAGGAGCGTATCCACTGACATTTGCAGACGGAGAGTTCAAAAGTAGGCATATTCTATTATTTATACAATTTTCTGTTCTTTATACCGTATTTTCAAAATTGTCACTTATAAAAGTTGTCAAAGAGCTTTTTCAAATTGTGGAAGTAATAACACTTTGTTTCCAGAATGGTTATGTGGGTAAATATGCAGACTGTGTCAGTTCATGGAAATAGATTTATGTTGTGGTTATCTTGGTTGTTGTTGTTTATTAGACAAAAACACCTGTCTCAATTAGTTATTGGATGAATGCCCACACCTAGCTAACCTTGAAATCAAATTAAGAGGAAATAGCTTTTATTCAGTTCAGGAGTATCATTCAACCCTGACTAATCAGCCAACTTCCTTTACTAACGACTCAACTGTTAGCCAGTTTCCTTTTACTGGAGCCTCTCTATGCCGAATCTACATCCATAGTTAAAAGGGATACAAGTAGCAAATAAAAATTGCCATTTCGCAAGTAGTTCTTGAGCTGAAACTTTGATTCATCTGATTAAGTGCAAGGTTCTTTATTTTATAGTATGACCCAGTAAAAGCAAAAGTAATCAAATATATATTCTAGAGTCCCTTAAAACAATTAAAGACCAAGGCTTGCATTCAGTGTTGGTTCTATTTGGAACAGAGCCATTGAAATGAATGCACAGGAGTAACTTAAGTTTACTTTCACCTAACTACCAAGCCCAAGCATCACCATTTCCTATTCTGCTTCAGAATTGCCCCATTTGAGTTAGCCACAATCTCCAGAGAATTCATAGAAGGTATGGCTGTCATTATTGCACAGTTTTGTCAGTGGAGGATTTCTGTCTTCCCATACATAGATTTCATACGGGGATATGGTGAGTAGACAATCACAATTAGCCAACCCAAGTTGCATTTATTTTTTGCCTCCACAACACTTTGGGACACTGTTAATGTGGTGAAATCTTACTTCTTACTAATGTGGTGCCTCAAGTTCCTCTGTACTCTCCACTTTGTAGACAATCATGCTTATATGTCTTGTGGCAGAGCTCAAACCCTTATCAGATTGGTTTTCTGCAGGGCAATCAAACCTGACCACCCAGCTGTCCAGACCTAGAGGCTTCTTGGGCTAATGGCTTCCCCACTTTTACCTGTCTGAGGATGCATCTGCCATAAGAAGTTCAACACTTCCTGCAGTGTTGCTCTTGTTTAACTTGTTCATAACTCAGTCCCCAACTGCTATCTATAGTCACCACTCACTTGATCATAAGTATAGCTTGTTGTTTTAATCAGTTTTCTGTGGAATATACTTTTAGGCCCCTCACTGAAAGGAAAGCTCGTTTTATGCCATTTTTCATTGCAGGAAAGAGTGGTCCAGAATGCAAGCATTGCAGAGCGGACCCTGATAAAGAATGCCGATTTTGCTCTTGTTATTTGTGTGGAGGGAAACAGGATGCCCATATGCAACTTCTTTGTGATGAGTGCAATATGGCCTACCATATATACTGCCTGAACCCACCTTTAAGCAAGATACCAGAAGATGAAGACTGGTAAATAATGCAACACTATTTCATTTTTAAATGTTCAGTATGTGGGATTGTATGAAGAATAGAATTTCTGTTTTATAAGAGTGTAGGTTTGTCCCTAACTTCGTGCTGTGCTATAGAGCAGTGAGCTCAGGAACCTCTTGTGAGAGTGGCTTGGCCTTGGAATGACAAAATATTGGGGAATATACAATTGTGGTTATTTCTGTACTGATTTTTTAATAATTGCAGCCTATATCCATACTTCAAATACTCAAAAAGGCAGCAGCATTAGAACAAAGGAGTAGCAACAAAACAAGGGGCAATGATGAAGATGTGGGTTTTTTTTAGTCCACTCATCATTTTTATATGCTGGTTATAATACAAAAAACAAATACCTTTGGTTTATTTTTCAGGCAGTGGTGTTAATTTTAAACCATTCCATTGTTTTTAGGTACTGTCCTTCCTGTAAAAATGATTCTAATGAAGTTGTAAAAGCTGGGGAAAAGCTCAAGCAGAGTAAAAAGAAGGCAAAGATGCCATCTGCCTACACAGACAGCCAGCGAGATTGGGGCAAGGTAAAGCGTATTTAGAAACAGTTGCATTTATTTATTTAAAATAATTTATAAATCACGTAATATTTCAGAAATCTCTAAAACAGTATGCAGTCTAAAAAGCAGTATATCATTAAGAAACAACAACAAAGCAACCTAAAACCAAGAAATCAGCAGTATAAAAACACATAAAAGCCAATAAAAGAAAAATTATGAGAACTTCAACATTCAAAACAGGATCCAGTCTTATGGTTCTGGGATAATGTGTGCAAAAATGTAAGTCTTCAAAAGACATCTGAAGCAACCAATGAATGCTGCTTCACGTATGGCAGAGTGTAAGGCATTCCACAGAACAGGGAAAACAACAGAAAATGTCAGTTTTTCAAGCCACCTCTTTCTTTAAGTCTGTATTGGGACATAATTCAGTTGACCTGTAAATCACCCTATATGACTTGGAAATGTGATACTTGAAGGATTGTCTATTCCCTTGTGAATCTGACTATTCTTTAAGATCATAACCATGAGATCTTTCAAATATGCCCCTTCCCCCATTTCAAAGTGATAATGCACTGAAGTAGATTTTGTTCACACCAGAAGAATGTCCTTTTTGATTCAAGTGATAGGCTAGGGTTGAACACAGCTAAAATGGGTATCTCATCAGAAAGCTCCACAATCACTTTGCTAAATCACTTACTTACTTACTTACTTATTTATTTATTTATTTATTTATTTGGTTGGTTGGTTGGTTGGTTGGTTGGTTGCATTTTTTAAATTGCTTCCTGTAAAATATATTGAAGTAATTTTATAATAAAAATTGTATGTAAAAGCAATTTCAATTGCAATACATATACAGGCTGGAATACATCACCTTCTTGTCTCTTGTGTTTGTAGGGTATGGCTTGTGTTGGTCGTACTAAGGAATGCACTATTGTTCCTTCTAACCACTATGGACCCATACCTGGAGTTCCTGTTGGAGCAACCTGGAAGTTCAGAGTTCAGGTATTAAATAAATCAGGGATGGGCAGATCAGGCTTGTGCAATCTATTTTGTTCTTTTAATAAATACCTGAGGACCGCCAACTGGAGCCATGGAACAGGCTACTTCTGGGAAAAGATGTTAAGAATAACACTGTAAGAGGTGGGGAAAAGACTTGTCATTACCATTGTTAAATAATTGGGAGTCAAGACACTTTCTAGAAAGCATCCAAAAACCTACCAGTAAGTCTCAAGTCTACCTTTTGTCTTTTCCTGATGTAGGTTACATGCTCTTTACTTTTGTAACCTTAAGCTTTCTTCTTTCCTTGTGTCATCTTCACCAGTAAGCAACTTCATCCCAATTGAATTTTCAATATTTAAAACAGTTTGTGGTGCCATCAGCCATTATCTAAAGAGTCTGCTATAAGCCAGTGGTGGTTCACACTGTATTGGAGGCAGTTTCCAAATTTCAACCTAAGAATTTTGAAACTATTTACAAAAGCGGCTTATCTGTTATGGAAAGCCGCAGTTCAGAGAAAAAGGTGAATGCAAACTACATTGTTCCATCACTGTAAGAACTTGTTTCAAACTACTTTCACTTGTTTTATCACCAAGGTGAGTGAAGCAGGTGTTCATAGACCTCATGTTGGTGGAATTCATGGACGGAGTAATGATGGAGCTTATTCCCTTGTGCTGGCTGGAGGATTTGAAGATGAAGTAGTAAGTTTTATATCCAGATTTGTTTATGTGCACTGAGAGTTGATTTAATTTCTTTATTAAATACCATATCTAGAGAAAACTTGACAATATTTAACGGCACTTGTAATATTGCAACAAACATTTTAAAATAGGTGTATCTCTGGTTGTGTATGTACCTACTTGTCTATCATTTATACATGTGTTAGTAGAGACCCAGTTTGTGAGCATCTTGGAAGCCTAATTGGTTGGGTGGGGGGGATGAAAGGAGAAACACTCAAATCCTTCTCTCTCCCCCACCCCTAACCTAGTCTTGGGGGACAGAAGAAGGGCTCAAAGCAGTCATTGGCAACAGCTATTTAGGAATTATGTGCTCAAATGACTTGCTTCATTCCTTTGTTTCCCTTTCTCGGCATCTAAAATTCACCCCACCTTCTCCCCTACAGGATTCTGTGCAGGAGCAGGTCTATACTTGCATCAAATAGGCAGCCTTGATTTCAAGGCTATTTGCCAGCAAGTCAGATTAAGTGTATCATTTTTTACCTATAAAAGCCCTAAACAGTTTGGGACTTGTTTATGTACGGAAATGCCTCTGCCCAAGATGATCTGCTGGAAAGGCCATGCTGGTGGTTCCAAATGGAAAATAAATATGTGGGTTACTTAGACTGATGCCAACAGTGTATAGCTTCTCGTAGCAGTTGAAAAACAGCCTTTTTGTTCAGTCTTCTTTAGTAAAGTAGTCATAATGATCTGTATACTGCAAATTCACTGATAATTCAACATCATATGTTTGATACAATCTGCCATTGCGTCTTGCAACAAAGAGTGGGATGTAAATTGAAAAAATAAATAAACATGTTTTCAAAATAGAGGGTTTTACTTCTAAAAGCTACCTATTTTGGGGACCTCATCAGAAATGAAAGTTTCCCCCCCAAATTATTTTTTTATTAATTTTCCAAATTATTACAAATCAAACCAAATTAATTTAATACAGTTTCTTAAAATAAAGTTTCCCGCTCTGGTTCCGAACATAAGATCATCATCCTCGCATAGGCGCATCATTTCTTTTTTAAAGCCCAGTTTACGTCCTTCACTTGCCGTTAAACCATTCTTCCAGCTGGCCATTTTTCCACCATACAAACAGGACCTTCATTAAGTAATCCATTTCACGGGTGTAGTCCTTCATGTACATTGTTGTTCCAGACCTGGTGTGCTGGGAGAGTTCATTACTATCTTCCATTATTCAGTTCTTTGCAGTGTTTATCTGGATGGTACAAGGTCACATTCCATTTCTTCCACAGTTTACCAACTAGCATATGAGCTGCAGCCATAAACAACTCACAGAATTCATATCCAAACTCCGCCATTAATTGTGTGTTTTAATTATTTGTGTATTTTTTTGTTTTGATCTGATTTTTTAATTACTATATTGCTTAATCTATTAAAAAAATTCTCTAAGCAGAGTACAAAAAACCCGAAGCAACAACAGACAACTTAAAACAAAATATTACCAAAATACACAGTTACATACATATAAAATTTATTACATTAATGCATAGTTACTAATCTATCTCAATATCAGTTTATTTTCCTTTGGATACAGTTTCCCTCCCAGCCTCGGGGTTCTCACCCAGGGTGCAAAGAAACACAGCTCACTCACAAACTTCTAACAGTGAGAAGAGATCCTGGAAACAGTGGATCCTATTCTCTCACTCTAGGTTTGCTTTTTATGTGCAGAGCAGACCAACCAAAGGTGAATGGTACCTTCCTTAGGCTGCCCACAGCTAGGTCCCATTTCAACTGTGCTATCCACACTCAGGTCCAGGTCCAGCAGGTTCGTTTAGTTTCCCAGAGGGTCTCCTCCTAATAGTAAAACTTCAGAATCTACTGGGAAGCAATGTCCATTGATGTCTTCCTGAGCCTACACATGTGAAGATCAAAGCTGCAAATACAGGCTCAGCTCAGGTTTCTTTCTATAATGCTCAGGCCAAAAATACAGATGCTGTTCTTTAGAATCTTCAGAATGAGGGTCTCTTTGCTTTAGAATTATTTTAGTATTTCACTAGCAGATTCCAAGCACAGATAGTTAGACTCAAACTCCCTTGAAATTGTTGACCCTCCTCTCCCACAACAACATACACTTTGATTTAATGTTTGCTACCATATAGTGTTTAGCTATTCACAATGTTGGGATTTATTTTTTACAAAAATTCAGCCATAGAAAATTGTGATTTTGCCTCAGTTGCATCTGGTAACACAAATGACACATGCACTTAGGAAAAAGGTTGCATGTGGAGTGTATTCTGTTTCAGATGAAGCTTACTGACATTTATATCCATGTTTTTATTATATTACATTTTTCTTGTGGTGGCAATCCTGGTTTTTCCGTGCATTGTTTTATTTATTACATCTATATTGTGCCTTACTTCCAAGATGGAAATCAAGGTGGTGCTTGTATATGGGGTTCTGAGGCAGTCTGCCATTCAGGTATTGTCCAGAACCAGACTTGCTTGGCTTCAGCAAGTTTACTGCATCCTGCCCATATTCTGAGACCCAGAAGAGTGTTCCTTTTAGGCCTAATCTGACAGAGATGATAACCTATGACTGGTTCACTTCACACTCCAAGATGGGTTTCACATGATTTAAAGTTGCTCTGTACAAAAACAAAAACCTGTAGAAAACATGTAGAAAACTAGCACATCCGAGAAATCACTTCTACCTGATATGGTAATATTTACCCATAAAGAGTAAGATATTTGTGGTATAGGATCTCTTAAAACAAACCATTTTATGTGAATTAGCAGTGTTCCTCCACTTCTGCCACCGACAAATCACAAGCCTGCCTTCAGACGACACAACAAGCCAGACTGCCGCACCATAGCAAAGGGGTGGAACACCATGGCGACCTATTCACATTAAACCATAGTTTGTTTTTAACTATGGTTTACTGTTCCCCGCAACCAGGCCAGTGCCTAGCCCCTGAAGCAGATATTGGGAAATTAAGCTGCAAGCTGCTCTGTGTGATGAAACAATATTTGTCTCTTTTTGATTTCATGAATCTAGCTATGGTTTGTTTAGGCATAAGCTGTTTTCTACAATCAGAGTAATGTTTACACCCTCTTCTTCAGCTCTGTACCATCAGGAGGAATTCTGAAGCATGCTTCAGGTGAACGATAAAGCAGTAAGCAATGTGTTAAGAGTTGTTTTTAAGAGCCATTAGTAAAGAAAATGAAATGAACCTTCTCAGTAGCATCATAATATTATGTATTCTTTGCCAAACACTTATTCAGTTCTTTTTACTGCTGTGATATATAAGATATCAAGGGCGTTTGGTTGAAGAAATCCCATGAGAGCTTACTTGGTGCTGATAAATTATCATCACTGGAAAGAACTGCGAAGGTCAAGGCATGTGGTCCTAATATCCTAACAAAGCTAGCTGCATAAGCATAGCTTGGTAGCATACCATGACTTCTGAGTCTGTTGACTTTTATTTTATTTTCTTTTTTCTTGGTGATGATGATGATGGGTTAGCAAGTGATGTGTTTGAGAAGCTCAATGGGCTAAAGTACCACTCAAATTATGTACACTTTTGTGCACTGATATTTTTATCTTACAGTTAGATTTTATTATAGAAGTGTTTAAGCCTCCCTTTTCACTACACTGCCTATAAGTCAGGTTTGCCAAATACATATTTGTGATCCAGAAACTTCTGTGCCAGAGTTGCAGTCCTGTATCGTTTCTGTATCTGACAAGTGACCTGATTTGGTTGAGTGAACAGTAGATCTTGGCAGTGCCTCAGGAAAAGATGGTAGAAACCTAAAGATGAATAATTGTGGAATAATCTTTTTCACTTGGACTTATACCGGCATAGTAGAACCAGCACTATTAACTAAGTTTAAGAGGTTGAAATCCCCTTTCTCGGAATCCTCCTCTCCTACTTCACAAGTTCTCCTTCCCTGCAGTAGGTTCTGAAGTTAGATTCCAAGCACAGATAGGTTAACATTAGCCAGGCAACACCCATAATCCTAAACCAAGGAAAGAGAGATCAAAGGGAATTTGCATGTGAGAGAAGGGGCTGCTTGGTCAATTCTGTGGTTTCATCTCCACCCTTAAGCACAAGTACATGGCCATGCTAGCATTGCATCTATATTGGTCTTAAATATTATTTCTATCCTCTCTCTTTTCCCCTTACTTTACTATGGCCTGTTATAGGAATTTGTAAGTACTTGGAAATTTGTTAAACTTGCAGACTTTATCTTATGATAATATGATAAATGGGTTTTGTAGTGTTCTTCGTATTTCTACTCAGAAAAAGTCCTGTTGAGTTCAGTAGGACTTACTCTTAGATAAGTAAAGTAGCCTTAGAAGACCAAACCTATATGGGTGATGATCAGCTATGTCATACTTAGAATGTTGTTTAGTCGTTTAGTCATGTCCTACTCTTCGTGACCCCATGGACCAGAGCACGCCAGGCACTCCTGTCTTCCATACTTAGAATAGGTCTGTTAAAAATTATGAAGTCAATTGGGGTAACTTAAGTACCTTGAATTTGCTGGGTCTGCTGTGAATACTGTAACACACCCACAAACAAATACCATATGTGAATGAATGGATGAATGAATGAATGTGGCACAGACAAATGAATATGCAACAAATATTAAAGATGAAACTGAGTCCCCTTGAACTCAAGATGACTTTCTTCTGAGTAGACAAGCCTAAGATTGCACTTGAAAAATCCCTTCCTCAGCTAAGTTTCTCACCTTTCTCTAGTGATCTGTTATCGTTCCACTTCATCTTCATTATGAGGTGGATTAAATTGATGTATCTAGTAGCATAATAATAATTAATAGCCCTTAATGCTCTTATTGATTGCTTATAAAACATTATAAATCATTCATGTATGCTTCATAATTCATTAATCATTTTTTAGTTCATAAGATGTGAACTAAAGATGTAGGTTGCTGCAATGGATTCAGCTCCTGATCTCTATAGGTCAGGTTGAGGGGTAGAGGGTCTGGCAGGAAGGAGAGACAGGCATCAACAAGAAGGAGGCCACAGCACTGTGAAAAGGAGGCATCTTTGCTAGAGAAGGTCTATGGCAGGGGTGCCCTTGCCAGGTCTCGCTTTTCCTGTCACCGGCAGGCCTCTCCTTCCAGTTCTGTCCCCTTAAAGATGCGATCCTGTGCAGTGCTGGTGAACTCATCCCCTGACCTTTTAAAAACCCTGTTCTAACTTTATATAGCGGGTGGCACTGTGGGTAAAACCTCAGCGCCTAGGACTTGCCGATCGCATGGTCGGCGGTTCAGATCCCCGTGGCGGGGTGCGCTCCCGTCGTTCGGTCCCAGCGCCTGCCAACCTAGCAGTTCGAAAGCACCTCCGGGTGCAAGTAGATAAATAGAAACCGCTTACCAGCGGGAAGGTAAACGGCGTTCCGTGTGCTGCGCTGGCTCGCCAGATGCAGCTTGTCATGCTGGCCACGTGACCCGGAAGTGTCTGCGGACAGCGCTGGCTCCCGGCCTATAGAGCAGTGTTTCCCAACCTTGGGCCTCCAGCTGTTTTTGAACTACAATTCCCATCATCCCTGACCACTGGTCTTGCTAGCTAGGGATGATGGGAGTTGTAGTCCAAAAACAGCTGCTATAGAGTGAGATGGGCGCACAACCCCAGAGTCTGTCAAGACTGGCCCATACGGGCAGGGGTACCTTTACCTTTTTAACTTTATATTCACATAGGAATTGCTTTGGGGTGGATGTGTTGCTTCCAGGGTGGCACAGGGAAAATCAGCCCAATTTGGGGGGCACAAAAGGGTCAGGAGGTCCACTCACAGTCTGACTTACTTTCTTGCTGCTGACTGCATTTTAAAATTGTATTAGCCAAGACATTTCAACCTTTCTTTAATAATTTTTATAGTCTGTTTTGCATGCTCACATTCTTGACAACTCAAGAGAAAAGGAAAGATAGATCCTCCTCCCTTGCTTTGCTTTTCAGTTTCCAACATTTTTGTGATGTTAATAGAGTATACTTGAAATTCTGTTGCAGTAGGTTTGTTCCAGTTCATTTGCAGTTATTGTATTGCGGTGAGAGAAAACCTTAGTATTTTGTTAGTGTATGCTTTTACCAGGAGAATGTGGGAATGCTCTTTATACATGAAAAATTACATTTTTTCCTGAACCATTGATAGCAACTTTGTTTAGCCCATTAATACTTAGCAAACTGCTGTATTCATCCCAGTTGCTGAACGAATTTGTCTTGTGCTTAGATCCGCCCCCCCCCCCAAAGTTTATGTGTGGTATCCATTAGGGGGTCTTCCGCTGATAGGCATCCTTCAGTGGAATGGGGAAGGAGACTATTTTCAGTAATTCCCCCATCTCCAAAATCTGATCTGGAGGGTTGAGCGACCCTTGAGAGCAGATTGGAGAGCTATGGGGGCAGGGAAAGAATGTCTGAAAATTGTCTTCCTCCCCAGTGGAGAAGCACCAATAGGATATTATTACCTTATGTGGTTACAGATTCCTTAAAATGTCTGAGGAAAGGTAGCAAACCATTGAGGGAGTACAAGTCTGTTCCACTTCCAAAACGTTTGGAAACAATGACGCAGCTTCCAATTGGCTGCAGGAAGCTCCTGCAGCCAATCGGGAGCTGTGGAAGCCGCGCCAGACGTTTGGGTTCCAAAGAACGTTGGTAAACCAGAATACTCACTTCCGGGTTAGCGGCGTTCGGGAGCCAAAACGTATGAGTGCCAAGGTGTTTGGCTTCCAAGGTACGACTGTAGTTGAGCAGGGTATGTCAGAATAACTTGCCAAACATCATTCAGAGTGAGTCCAACAGACCCTTGTGATCTGTTGATTTCTGTTTTGGAGAGGAGATGATAGAAGGCAGCATTTGCCAACTTAGTTCCCTCCAGATGTATTGCGCTACAATTCCCAGCAAGCCCAGCAAGAGCCAGGTTGGCGAAGACAGATGAATGTGCTAAACTGTCTTACAATGTATCATAATTGAAGAATCCTTTTTAGAACAATAAAATCATTGACAGACTCTAACTTTGGGTTGGGGAAAACACTTTATGGAGAGCAATCTCCTCATCTGTGTACCTCATCAACCTCTTTTCCAGACAAACAAACTTAAATCTGTGCTACTAAAAAGTTGTTTATAGCAGCCAGTATTCTTATGTGTTGTAATATATATGTATACTTCCCATACTCATATACTGATAAAGATATGACCTAAAAATCGGTGGCATCAGCAGATCGAGCGCTGACCTGTTTTTATATGCGAGGCAATTGTTAACTTTGTTAACACAATTAATTTTCTACTAGTTTTTGCAGTTTTCTATTTGAGTTTTTGCAGTCCTGACATTTTAAAGAGTAATTAATCTCATATAGGATCGAGGTGATGAATTTACTTACACTGGGAGCGGTGGAAGAGATCTGTCCGGCAATAAAAGGATTGGAGAACATTCATTTGATCAAACTTTGACACACATGAACAGGTAAGCTGTGCCACATTCTTACATTAAAAGGAGAAAATAATCTGACTCTACCGCAACTATGCTCTGAATGTTGTCATGAACTATTCATACAATTTTTTTCCTCTTGAATAAACACTCCAGTGAACCTGTTTATTTGCTGAAATTTGATTATTATTAATCTAGATATTCTGTGATTCTCCAGTGGTTTGACTTCACCCCCAGAAATGCACTCCGTTGTTTTTTGAGACAGACAGATGCCTCCATCTTTTTTAAATTGGATTGCATTAATTGCTTCTTTATTTTTCTTTACTAATACAGGCAACTCCCAATTTGGTGCAGGGGTTGCGTTTCTGGTCCTCTTTTGCATCAACGGAGCACTCATAAAGCCACCCTGTTATGCCCCATTCTGTTCCACCCCCATTTTGCCCTCTTCCGGGTCCAAAAAGGACCCATGGTCGTGCGTCAATTGAGCATGCACAAAATGCTCATCTCCTGTATGCTATTTTAATATGGCTTTGTTGGTTTAAATGTTACTTTTTAATTCTTAGTTACATTTGTGAGCCACTATGAGCTCAGCTTTATTGTTGACAAAGTGGCGTATAAATACTAAAACAAATCAAAATCAAATCCTAAGCATATTTACTTGGGAGCAAGCAGTGATGGGAGCAAGCAGATTCTAAATTTTATTTAAATGTTCATTTACTAATAATAATGAAATTTACATGGGAAAGTATTTGGTTTGCATGGGAATGTTTTGTTATGCCTTAGAGCAGGGGTAGTCAACCTTTTTATACCTACCACCACTAATGCATCTTTCTTGATGGTAAAATTTCCTTACCGCCCACCAGTGTGCGATGGAAGGAGGAGTCTACTTGTGCCTTAGAACCCCCTACCGCCCACCTAGAATCTTGAAACACCCACTAGTGGGCGGTAGGGACCAGGTTGACAACCCCTGCCTTAGAGGGTAATTTAACTTAATCTGTGTATGTTACTTGTATCTGCTTTTGGATTATATTCAGTGTAGCATTAAGCAGTTCCATCAGCACAATGATTTTTTTTCTTGTGCAATGGAATGTTCTCCTCACCCTGGGGTGAACCTTATATCTATTTTGCACACACCCCAAACCCCCCAGGTGCATGCAGGGGGAAATCCTGTTGTGTCGGCATTATATCAATAATTCTTACCTTCAGGTTGAATAAAACGCTTTATCTTCTGCCTACCATGGAAAATTAAATTCAGATAGCTGAGTAAGATATTTGCTTGTTCTCTTAATATTTGAGGAAGCATTATCTCTTTTTGTTTGTTTGTTTGTTTTTATTTTCAGGGCACTGGCGCTAAATTGTGATGCCCCTCTGGATGATAAAAATGGAGCCGAGTCTAAAAACTGGAGAGCTGGCAAGCCAGTCCGAGTGGTTCGTAGCTCAAAGGGCCGAAGGATCAGCAAATATGCCCCTGAAGAAGGCAACAGATACGATGGCATTTATAAAGTGCGTATTTTCCTAATGTAACGTTTCTTGCATTTAAAAAGAGCAAAGCATTTTGTGTTTTAGGGGAAATTATCTTGGGTTGCTCCTTCATGGAACACTACCTTGCTTAACGATTGTATATGGTGTACATCCGGGACTTGATTCGTATATTAGGAAGTAACCAGTAAAGAAATTCGTTGCAAAAATTACCATTCAGCCTGTTGTGCGCTTTATGTTGTAACTGTCGTGGTGAAGGGGCTTGAATAACCCCAAGAAGCTATGAACTATGCTGTGCAGGGCCACCGGACAGATAGCTGAGAGTTTAGACTAAATGTGATCCACCTGGAGAAGGAACTGGCAAACCACTCCAGTATTTTGCCAAGAAAACTCCATGGACATAAAAAAGGAGAAGCTTTGAGAAGAAAGTGGGAGTTTCCAAGCTATGCTCTGGTTGACGGGGTCATGGAGAGTTGAACACAACTAAGACGACTAAACATCAACAAATCTTGGGTTGCACAACTGGCTTTCCTGTCTCTTCCCCCTGCCTCTACTTCTGCACCTCCTTGTATTCCCTGGAAAGCCTCTCCAGGGAGTCAGGAAATCTTCCTGAAAAATTTGTCCTCTTATTGGCTCACGGCACATACAGCAGTTAAGCTGTTTTTGCACATTAGGCATGTTTTATCTTTACAACTCCATTGCTGTCTCAGGAAGTCTCATACAGGATAGTGCAGATTATGCATCAACTTGCATTTTCAGAAAGCACCATTTTATCTTAAAACTGATGAGTACATAGAGGTGAAATTTATTAAACTTACTATAATAAATGGGGGGAGTGGAGGGATTTAATTGGACAGGCCTTCAGACTGTGGAAGATAAAACATAACAGTGATAGGAACGTTTATCATTTAGGTGGTGAAATACTGGCCTGAAATTGGAAAATGTGGATTCTTAGTTTGGCGCTATCTTCTGAGAAGAGATGATGCTGAACCTGCCCCATGGACTTCAGAAGGAATGGAAAGGTCAAAGAAATTGGGCTTGAGTTTACAGGTTAGAACATCAAGTTACCGTAGTTCTAAAAAGTTTTATTGAAACATAACTGTTCCAACATCTATGTCAGAGAAGCTCCAAACTCTGCTGAAAATCTCCGGGAGCCAGGCTTGATTAAGATCATCTTTGAAGATGTTAAGGCAGCTAGTTAAAACAAGATGATTTATATTTTCCTCTCTAATCTTTATTGAACAGGTTTTAGAAGCCTAAAATAGGCCCATACCTTATTTCATATTGCATGTGATCAAGTGTGTAGTCATGTTCATATCATTTGTTCACATTTGGATTCCTAGACAGGTTGATAAAATTTAAGAAATGGTAAACAGCTGCCATTCCCATAATGAGAGTCAAAAGCAAAAGAGTTAGCTACAGCCCAGAGGTCTATCAGTCTGTTTTTTGTCCCAGGGTAGGAATCAAAGAGCAAGGTCCAGCTTATGCCCTTGTGACAGATCTTTTTTGTGAGTCATTTGCGCAGGTGCCTGCTCCTTATGTTCTGTGCCCTAGTTTTAAGTTAGTTTGGTTTTAAAAATGATGTCATTCTGGACATTGTTGTTTTAATGTGAATGCTGTTTAAGATACTTTTCAGACCTGATGCTCTTCTTTTGCAGTACCCGGAAGGCTATTTGGAAGCTATGGCAAGTAAAGAAAAGAAGGATAAAGTAAAAAAGCAACCTACGAAACAGGAGCCAACAGAACAGAGCAACGGAAATCAGAAAAGACTGATTGATGATGGTATGGTAGCAGGAGGAAGGGGAATTAACTTACTAGGCTCTCTGTTTTCAAAGGAGTAAGGGCTTAGTGGCCAAGCATCATTGCTTGTTCCCCCATCTACTTCATTGGCATCAATTTATTGGTGAGCCAAGGAGGTGGTTGAGCTCTGTTCAGAGAAAGAAGGCATTTAGGAATGGTCATGTCAGCAGTCTGAACATCTCATGCTGCAAGTTAGCACTAGATGGAACACCAGGTCAACTTCCGAAATATAAATTTGCCAGAAAAGGATCCAGAGGGTTGCAACATGAGAAAGGGCCTTCTCTGTGGTGGCTCCCCATTTGTGGAATGCTTTCCCCAGGGAAGGTTTGCCTGGCACCTTCATTATATATTTTTAGGTGCCAGGAAAAACATTCCTCTTCCATCAGGCCTTTGGCTGATTATCCTACAGACTTTTAAATGTGTCTGTGGCAAGGGTGTGTGTGTGTTATTGTTTTGCTGTTTTGTTTTAATTATTTACTTGTGTTTTATTATTGTATTTTAGTCTGAACCACCCTGAGATATGAAGGGCGGTGTATAAATCTAATTAATAATAATAAAAGCTAGAAGCTGGGAAAAAATGTTGTAGTATTCTACTGTTAGTTTCCCAGACAGCCACTCCCTCTCCATAATACTCCAGCTGGTTTTCTGTCTCTCTCCCCACCGCCTTCAAATAATCAGTCAGCATTCTGTTCCCTCTGAGAAGACCCATTCCTTGTTGGACTATGTAGGCATTCAGAGTTTTTTCTGAAGATTTCCCCCCTATAGAACCTGGGGCTCCCCCAAACCTGCAGATGCCTCCGTCTTTTATGTGGATGGTACCATTTTGGCATCATAAGGATGCACACCTGGGTTCCTATGGGTCTATGATCTATGTTTGTGTGACAGGGAGTGCTGTAGTCTCGCTTTGGTTTTTATGTGGTGCACCTGAAAGCAGTCCCACATGAAACCATGCAGCCTCTGAAAGAAAAGCTGCTTGCTACAGCCCCATCTTTCAGACACATTGACTTCAAACTGCGACACAGCCGGTGTTCACTGCCTAACACAATGGTTCATAGCAGCCAAAATTTGTCTTAATGGGACCTGCTTGAGTTTGGCCCCAGAAAAAGTACATTGGGGGGGGGGATAGGGTAGATATTTTGCCAGAATGTAGGTGCCAAATATGAAGCTGAAGAAAGAATAAAGTGTGTGTGTGTGTGTGTGTGTGTGTGTATCATTGTGTTTTCCAAAATACAGCTGAATGGGAAGAATTTTTATCATTTCCTCACTAAGACACCCCAGGATTATAATGCTTTTTCATTATTTTTCAGAAGGAATTGAGGAACCTACAAACGTGGCCAAAGTCATGAAGATGGAAGATGGAGGGAAAGGAGACGGCGGCAAAGGAGAAGCTTTCCAGCTCACTCAGCAACAGCAGTGGTTGATTCAGGAAGATTCACCGAACCAGAAGCTGTGGGATGAAGTTCTCGCTTCTCTTAAGGAAGGACCAGTACGTTTTCTTAGAGTAACTCACATTCTGCATTTTAACCTTTCTTGCAGTGACAAGAAGGGATCAATATGTATAACACATTTATTGAAGTAGAAGGTATGTTTGTGCTTAGTTTAACCACATAACATTCTGCTCTTTGTAGAATGTGGGAGTTACTTTACAGGAATAAGACCTTTTTATGAAGAGGTGATTTATTTTAAACAACTAAGATGAAGGATTTGCTTGATGCATGCAGCCTAGAATTTCATTGTCAGTGTAACTTATTTTTCTCTTATCTTGCTATAGAACTTTTTGAAGAAACTGGAACAATCTTTTATGTGTGTCTGCTGCCAGGAGCTGGTATACCAACCGGTGACCACAGAGTGCCTCCACAATGTCTGTAAAGTAAGTAGTACCGTAGTGATGTTTCCTCTTGATCTTGGAACCATTGGTCCTGGTTCTATTGGAAAGCAAGTCACCAGCATTTTGAACTCACTCTGTTCCTTCCTTGAAAGAGGTACAAGACCAGGGGTTGGCAGAAAGTAGATTGGGGTGTACTGGAAGATCCTTGAGTAATTAGCATTAGATCATCAATGACTTCTGACTCCCAGCTCTTTAACAGTAGCAGCAACTTTTTTCTGCATATTGACTACTGAAGTAATATTGGGGGTTGGGATACAGAAAACAAATTCCTGGACTAAGATACTTATAATTTCCAAGTTCACCAGCTGCAGCCCTGAAAAGTGGTAGCTTGGAGAAAGGAGGGCAAAGTAGACCACACAAGCCTGAAGTCTGCCCACCCCTGAGCTGGCACAGTTTTACATTGCAACTAAAAACGAGATGAGTTATTTTTCATTTTGACTGAATGAAGTATGTAAAGGATATCAGTTACTTTTCCCGTACATAGGCTGGATCTATTTCAGAGTCCCCATGGGCAGAGATTTAAGCACATTCTTATCTCTTCCATTGAAATCAAGATAACTTTGGCAGAATTGTGCCTTGTAATATTTGTCCTAATGTTCATAATTTTGACTTGGTTTTTTTTGGAGCATATAAACAACTCTTAAATGTTGGTAGGGGTCACATTCACAAAATCCGTTTAAACTATAGAATGCTAGAAGGAACAAAGAGAAGTGCCTTTTTGATCCAACAGAGGGTACATTTCCCTCATCTTTGAGCTCTATGGGAAGATGACAAAACCACCAACATCATTTATGAATTGCTTCCAATTTCACTTCTCAAAGTGATTTCACAATATAATGAAAACAAATATAAAACAATTGTATATGTAAACAGGCTCAGATCACACTTCCCAATGAACCAGTGCGTAAGGGAAATGTACTCCCAGTATCTGTTCCCTGTCTCCTGATGCACTAGTTCTCCTTCTCATCCAGGTGTGTGCCTAAACCAGGCAGAGGCAAACGCGGCCCTCCAGATGTTTTTGGGACTACAACTCCCATCATCCCTAGCTAATAGGACCAGTGGTCAGGGATGATGGGAGTTGTAGTCCCAAAACATCTGGAGGGCTGAGTTTGCCTATGCCTGGCCTAAACTAATGTTAAAACTCCATTGTTAATTAGGGCTGCCAAAGTGAGATTAGGAGAGTACTGGGATTCATTTTAAGCAGGACTGGTAAAGTTTGAATGCAGCAAACACTAAGCCCCAAAGCAGGTGAAAGAGAATTTTCACACATTATGGGAAGGCGGGGAGACCACACAATTCCACATCCTGACCTCACTCACTAACCTAGCTTTCATTGTTAAACATTTGCAAAAAGACCACTACTGAGCACCTGGTATTTGAGTGCTTGTAGTAGCCAAGATTTTTATCTGCCAAGGATAGGGCACCTGGGAATGTTATTCCATGTGCCATAGCTCCTGGCTGCTTAGAAAGTACTTGTTGTCTTTTTAAAAATTCACGAGAGAACATAGTTTTGCCTGTAACAACTGTAGAGCCATTCACCAGCATTTGTGTACAAGTTAGTTTAGTTTTACTGAAGGTTGTGATCTAGACCGTTCTTTGCACAACACGCTTTTGTGTATGACGGCACAGGGAACTATGGTTAGTTTAAAAACTTCCAAGTGAATACTTCCGATACTCTCCTTGGTTGCATAAAACTGTGATTGACTATTCTGTCTGGACCAGGCTGCACAACAAATTAGGGCTCAACATACAGTAGTGCTACTGACTTTGCAAATGTTTAAACAGAATTCATTTATAACATATGACAGACTACTGCTAGAAAAATAATGGACTACCTTTATGCAGAAAAATAGCACAGTACCAATCCCTCATAACATAACTGGTATATTTATTTAGCATATTCCTGTAGCCCTGTTGTTTTTGTCAATTTATGTAATGTAATCTCAGGAAAAGGCTTTCTGTAAACACAGAATGCCCAGAGGTCTATTTTTGGCATTTAGCTGATATTTCATTTTCTTGTGAACCATATTTTAATTTGTGTCCTAAACATATTCCTTATCGTTCTGTAACATAGAGCTGTTTACAGCGCTCCTTTAGAGCTGAAGTCTTCACCTGCCCTGCTTGCCGACACGACCTTGGAAAGGGCTACACCATGGTTCCCAACAAAATACTGCAGACACTACTTGACCAGTTCTTCCCTGGTTACAGCAAAGGACGATGATACGAGTTCAGTTCTCAGTATACTTCTCTTAATGACTTACAGACTGTACAAAGAGAAGAAACCAGGAAAATTCAAAAGTGGACCAGCTGGCTTGAGCGCAGTTCATACGACTGTCACATTGTGGAGCGGCTAACTCAACCTTCTTTCCCATTTTGCAATTTTTTTTGTGTAGCGAGAACTTCACATTCTCAGCTGACTTTCAACACTGAAGGTAGTTTTGGACAGATGACAACAAGGGGGGAGGAATACAAGCCTTGGCTCTGACTGGCCACAACAGCGGATGCTTCAGATTGTTTTTTGTAACTACCTCAGATGGAGGAAAACAAATTGTGGGGAATTTTAAGAGCGTGTCAGATGAAGTTCAGCTACACACTGCCTCCTGAATATTAGTTTGCCTGGTCCATGCAGTTTGATTTTACAACAAGAAAACAGCACTTAAGCCAGTTTTTAATTACAGAACATCAAATTCTGTGGTGTGCATAATCTTTTTGTGCGTGTGCATTTTCTGCCATTATGCTGTTTTTCTTAATTTCTTTTGCAAGAACAGGCTTTTAGTCTATTTTTGTGAGCGTCATTGTGCTCTTGTATCTTATGCAAGTTGACTACTAATGACTGAGAACAATATGAATGCATTGTTGCTGTTAATGTAAAGTGATTTGTGTTTTTTGCACTTAAAGAGGGTATTCAAAACACTCTAGTTGTGTAAAAACTATTTCGTATGAAACAAGCCACTTTTGTATTAGGTAAAACTGTATGCTTTTAGTAGGTCTTGTATCAGTGGCAATACATCTTACACAGCATTGAGAGCAGTGCTAGCTTGGAGAGGGCTCAAATCGCTTCATATTGTGATCTGAAATTTTATATACAGTATATTCCTCTTCCCCAATATACCTTATTAAATATTTTATGATTCATAAAGTGTTAGTTTGTATTTTGCAGCCATAAGACAGTGTTTCCTGGAAGATGGCTGAATGTATATTTGAAAATGTTTGATAACAAGGTGTTTGGTCTCAGGTTTAATATCTTTGGGCAATTTGCATTAGAAAGCTATATTATACAAAACATTTTTAAAAGACCTTAGTTTTGTGGAGAAATTGGCCTTCTGCATTTTTTTGTTTGTTGGCACAAAGCCATCTCAAGCCTTACCTGGTATCTTGGGCAGAACATAATGCCTTGTAGAAGCACCCCTTCCAGTTCATGCAAGCATAGAATACACTATAAATAGTTCACAAAAGCACATAACAAAATACCACACACTTCAGAAAATCTTGTTTTTAATCAGACTTTGAAATCAGGTTTCAAAAGCTATTACAACTTCTAGATTTTATTGGAATGCTACCACAGGGAGTTTAAAAAAGAAAAAACGAGTTCCTTAAATGACATTATCAACACTAGAAGCAATATATAAATTTAATTAATACAAACTACAAAAGTATATAGCCACAATCTAATACAAAGTGAGGTACAGAGGAGCTTACTTTCCTTTGTTTCAGCATATTGTGGTCTCTGTCTTTCAGTTCATACAAAGTGAATAATGACTATAATTTTAGCCACCAAACAGCCTCAGCCCAAAAAAGAATCCCACAGTATAGGCGTTATTCAAAATAAACTGGGATTGCTCTCTATCACACAAGTATTGTCAGGGCCCAGTTTAACAAAAAAAAAAAGGGTTCTATTTTTACACATACCGTTCTATGTTTAGTGCTCCTCAACACAGGAAAGCAGCCTTGGTCCTGAATTGATCAAAGAGTGTTAAATCAAGGCCACGTCAGCATGAACTGCTGTGGAAACTGAGGCACTGCATCAAGTCAGTTTGTTTCCACCTAAAGTATATTTACATAGCTGCACAGAAATTTAATCAACAGAATGGAGATTACAAAAATATACACCGTATAAAAAAAATGGTTCACTGGGCAGAAGAGCCCATCCTTCCTGAAGTGTAGCAAGGGAGGTCGAGCCTGGTCACCTAAAAAGGAACAGGGTAAGGCGAGGGGAGACTGACCCTAAGATGATGCTCTCTTCTGTTCAGCAAAAGGAGACTCGTAGACTTCCATCGGCGGGCAGGTACAAACCAGATGTTGATCTCCGTAAATGTCGTCGATTCGAGCAATTGTGGGCCAGAATTTATTTTCAGGTCTTACAAATGGCTAAAGTGGGAGAAACATATCCAGTAGGTAATTTTTAAATTACCGACAATTAAGCAGACAGTATTCTATGGTACATTAAAGAGTAACGGGCATACTGCAGCATGTGCAAGAGACAATAGCCAGCTTCATTAGGTACTACAGTGGTACCTCAGATTACAAATGCTTTGGGCTACAAACACTTCAGTTTACAGACTCTGCTAACCCGGAAGTAGTACCTCGGGTTAAGAACTTTGCTTCAGGATGAGAACAGAAATCGTGCTCCGGCGGCATCGGAAGGCCCCATTAGCTAAAGTGGTGATTCAGGTTAAGAACAGTTTCAGGTTAAGAATGGACCTCCAGAACAAATTAAGTTCTTAACCCGAGGTACCACTGTATAGGAGTTGTAGTGCACAGGTTTACCCTTCAAAGCCTAAAGTTTTAGAAGTCGGGTGAAATTAGTTTCGGCTCATGAAAGGAATTGTGAGTCCGTTGCCAATTTTAGCCCCGTGGAGTATCTCAAACTGTTTTGATGCCCTCAAGTTTCAAAAGGAGTTTGCCAAATGGCAGAAGTGACAAAGGATACACTTTGTGAATTCAACATAACTAATGTGTTTGGGATCAGGGTTCTGCTGCCTGCTGTAAGGAATGATTTCTTTCTGGGACCAAATGGAAAGATCCCTCAGAATAATTTAAGCATTATAAAATGTGAGGTGGTTATCCACTAACTGCCACATAAGTTCAGGGTTCCATCATAACATGAGCCATAAACAACCAATAGTTCAAGGTCTTTACGCTTTATCTTGTCTTTGTATGGTTTTTTTTTGTCAGAATGTTATGAGCCACTCTGTTTTAACTTACTTATGTTATCCCCACCAAATTCCAGTTAGGCAATAACGTTTCTGGCTCCAAGCTGCCTTTGCATTTACCGTATTTTTTGCTCTATAAGACTCACTTTTCCCCTCCTAAAAAGTAAGGGGAAATGTGTGTGCATCTTATGGAGCGAATGCAGGCTGCGCAGCTATCACAGAAGCCAGGAACAGGAAGAGGGATTGCTGCTTTCACTGCGCAGCGATCCCTCTTGCTGTTCTGGCTTCTGAGATTCAGAATATTTTTTCTCTTGTTTTCCTCCTCCGAAAACTAGGTGCGTCTTGTGGTCTGGTGCGTCTTATAGAGCGAAAAATACTGTAACTTACAGGACATCTTTCAAAGCAGCATCAGCTGAGACGGCTGATAATTACAAAGGCTATAGCAGGAAGAGGCAGCTTAATCCTTGCCTTGATGCCATCTCTTTTTGGCAAATCTGATGTAGCTTTCTTTTTAAGGTTGGCTTGCAAGGTTCCTAATGTTTTCCAGTAGTAATGCTGTCTAATAAAACTGGCTGCTCAAATGAGAATGAGGAAAGCTTCCCATGTTAACTCATTACTTACCAATGGAAAAACAGCTACTTCTCTGGAGTAAGGACGGTCCCAGTTAGGAGCAGCAATGCAGGTCAAGGTATGTGGTGACATCTAAGTCAATAAATGTAAGTTAAAATATACAAAATAATATAATTCAATTGAGTAATAATATAAATACTCAAACAGTAGCAATGGCCTCAGCTAAGAGAAAGATCTGCTAAGTTCCACTGAAATCAATAACCAACAAAAACCAACAAAACTGAGTCCTATTGGTTTCAATAAGGTGTGACCAAGACTAGACAATTTACTTCAAAACAATCTTGATGAAGAGCAACTGCTACAAATAATTAAACCCACCCTGCTCTCACCTTTAATGGGTTAACTCGAGAATCCATTCTTCCTTCCTCTATATCAGCAATTTCTTGTCGGATGTTGATCATTGCATCACAAAATCTGTCTAGCTCTGCCTTGTCTTCAGACTCTGTTGGTTCAATCATCAGAGTACCTGCCACTGGCCAGGACATTGTTGGAGCGTGGAATCCTAGCAAACACAACATTCTTTTATTGTACTACCTTTCCAGGACCCTAAGCAAAGTCTAAACAACATGTTTTCAGAGTTCAAGGAACACTCTTTGGTATTGCATATTCTTCATCGCTACATAGAGCAAGGCCATTTACAAAGCCCAGTTACTGACTAACTGGGGGTTGGGGACCAGTTATTTGAAGCACAGTCGTCTCTCTCCTTATGTATTCTCAGCTTGCAGCAGTTGCATAAACCCAAATGTCAAATTTGTGGGCATCCATAATCATGTTCTCCCGATCGCCTGACTCCCCACCAAACCAGGAGAGAATTCAGACATGTCCAATGGCAGGGTAAATGGTAAAAAACAAGTGGCTCTCAATTTTGCCTGATGGCAGGAGCCCGCATGGTGCTGGATGAGCTGGTTAAACAGCTTCCATAATTCTTACCACCACAGGATTCGATCCCACATTTTAATTGTGATAAAAGAAGGGAGGGAACATTGCCGATCTGACAACTCACCATAATCCTGAAGCCGTTTAGCGACATCCACAGCGTCAATATTTGCTGTCTTCTTGAAAGGTCGGGTGTCCAAAATAAATTCATGAGCTACATAACCTGTGTATGAAAATTTTATTCTAAGATTTATATTTGTAGAAAAATTAAATGTGACCACAAAGTAGTTTTCAGTATCTATAACCCAGGTACGTTATTCCTGTACATCAACTTCCAAGCTCTTTGTCTTGCCAGGGTTTAAAATGAGTTTATTTTGGAGGAACCGCTGTGTGCCACCAGCATACTGGTGACACTTTGCTCCATATCCCATAATGACCACCCCCAACAGCTTCTTATGGACGCTTAGTAGTGCTGGGTACTAATAGTGCTCTGTGGCACCCCAGAAAATAAATGCCGTCTGATTGAGAGTACCCAGTGGGGGTTACCTTTGAGCATAAGACTGGGAATTCTGAACTGAAAACTGAAGCAGAGTGGGGGTTTTGAAAATTCTGAATTACCGTATTTTTTGCTCTATAAGACTCACTTTTTCCCTCCTAAAAAGTAAGGGGAAATGTGTGTGCGTCTTATGGAGCGAATGCAGGCTGCGCAACTATCCCAGAAGCCAGAACAGCAAGAGGAATTGCTGCTTTCACTGCGCAGCGATCCCTCTTGCTGTTCTGGCTTCTGAGATTCAGAATATTTTTTTCTTGTTTTCCTCCTCCAAAAACTAGGTGCATCTTGTGGTCTGGTGCGTCTTATAGAGCGAAAAATACGGTAGTTAATCCAGAACACGTCATTTTTAGCTACACCCACTGCTGGCATGTGCCCTCTCCAACAGATTACCCTGACTGAATTTGATCCTTGACAGGGAAAAAGCACCCCTGATTAAAGCACAGTGCAGTGAGAGAGAGCACAGTGCAGTGACCCAGCTCTAACAATTTGTAGGGGGGGGGCACGCACATATATTATTGAGGAGAAGCAGACAAGTCCACAGCTGCTCCTACAGCTTTGGAGAATATCCTCTTAGGAGGATGAATTCATCCACATACGCCTTTCAGCCCATATTATTTAGATTGCTAGTGGGCCAATACTCTTTGTCAGGAGGCTGGGATGGTGGGTGCAACAGGATGACTCCCCAGCCTGGTTTAGATGCAATGATGGCTATTTTGCATAAGATTAGTTGCGACAACTCAAAACAATAGTTTTGCATTTCACTGCTGTTGAACTACAGCCTTTATTACACTTAACAACCAAGGTTCATGCTCCACACATTTGATGTAGCGGACTCTCATTCACAAAAGACCCACAAAAGACCGTCCCATAATTGTCAGCCTTTAAGGCACCATAAGACTTGGTTGTTCTTGTTGCAACAGACTAATCCAGCAACCTCCCCAAATAAACATTTGTTTGTAGTTATATTCACAAGCTTTTAGCGTACTGAGCTTCCTGCCTGCCCCCACCCCCATGTGTGCTGAAGGAGATCAGATGATTTTGCTTCCAAATTCCTTGCGGTCACTCTGCAGGAAGGGAGTAGGGAAGGAGTACATGAGCCTGAGACTTGTCCAGGCTCTCTACATAATGATAAAACAGTTCATCATGACCTTCAAACAAGGCCAGTGACAATGGAAAGGATGGAGAGGCAGTAACACAAAAGCTTAGTACAGCACAAGGTTGTGTAAGCGCCAATATGATCAGCTACCCTGCTGGACGGATCTTTCCTGAAATGAAGGGACAGAATTATGCAATTCTTTCAACTGGAGGGAGGGGATGGTCTCCACTGTTGCCATGGATCAGTCTGAAAGCAGGAGCAAAGACCCATCAGCAAAAAAAAAAGGATGCTTGTTAATCCAACACATTTTGGACCCAACTGATCCTTCTTCAGAGAAATACAATCAATTATCAACTCTCTTTTTTAAGTCGAATAGCTTTGTACGCCTTGTTTATTTTGAGATTTATATTCGATAGACCAGTCCATATTTTGATTTATTATTCTTTTTACATTTCTTTGAAAGACCAGCAGGGTCTGAAATGCATTGGTTAACAAACATCCTATTTTGACAACGCCGTTTATTCATATATTGGCTTGCTTGTGCACCTGGCTTTCGGGGTTTCCTATTTTCATTGCACTTTCTGTGTTATGGATTAATTAGTCTGCACACTGGGATTATTCACCTTATTTGTATGGATGGATTTTCCCAAAGAGAAAAGTTACTTTTGCAACACTATTTATTTTGCCTCCTAGTCAAACTGTGGTTTAAATTTTATTTTGTATGCCGCCATTCATCCAAAGATCTCAGGGCATAAAAATACAAATTAAAAAAACAAAATACATAAAGAAAACAAAAACAAAGCAAACCAATAACCCTCCACTCCTCATTTTTGGTGTGCACCACTGTCTCCTGGGACTATGGACAACTTCATGTTAGGCTGAAATACTTGCCTCTGGCTCCCTTAAAAAGGACTTTGTAGTGCTTCTCTAGTCTCTTTGCCATGTAGTTAGCATTTAATATTGCAATCTCTGATGCATGCTTGAGACCTTTTCCTCCCATCATCTGAAGGGACAAATAAGAACATGTAGGTTAAGCAATTATTCACAGAGCCTGCTATGCACACTTCCTCAGATGTATCAGATTCTAGAAAAATAAAGGGCGCCTCTGCCATTATCCATACAGCTATATATGAAAGATATACGGGAATGAATCAATCTTGACAAAAACTGTTTGCCCGTGTCAGCAGTGTGGTACTGATGCCTGGCAGTGCTAAGTACCATCGGGATAAAATGGTTTCATAGAAGGGACCCTAAGGATCACCAAGTCCAACTCCCTGCAATGCAGGAATATGCTGCTGTCCCTTATGGGGATCAAACCTGCAACCTTGGCATTATCAGCACCATGCTCTAACCAACGGAGCTAATCCAATTGGTTCATAAACTATCCCAATCAGTTTTGAAAAGGCATATGAAGCTACCTTCTCCCAGTGCAGGCCATGGGTCCCTCTAGCCTAAGATTGTCTAGCCTGACCTGCAGCAACTCTCCTGCAGCTCTCTTCCCCATCACCCGATTCTTCCAGTTGGAGATGCAAGGTACTCTTTCTGGGACCTTCTGCATCAAAGCATTTGCTCTATCCTTTAACTTGGGCTCCTCTCCTAGCACAGGTTATTTCCAGAATGAACATAAATGGGCAACTCTGAAACTGTAGCTAGCCAAACATGCTTAGCACATCCTCATTCCCACTGTCAAGTTTCCAGAATCCGATGAGCTGGGGAAATAAATGCATTGGCCTGAATCTAGAGTCTCACAAATGGGAGGTTGCTTATGCAATGGACCTTTCCCAACCTATCCTCTTAAATATCGCCTCCCATAGCCCCCAAAACACCACTCTGGAGAAGCAGGAAACCTTCCAGAAGAGCATGAGGGGGGTGGTGCAGGGAGCTGCAATGGAACAAGAAGACCAATGAAAATCAGGCAGAGCACCTTGCATGAGGGCTGCTCCGTGTGCATAATGTGCCCCTGATCCTCCCCTCTCTGATCCTGTCCTTGCACCATGTTCTGTGTCATGGAGTAGCAACCCCTGGAGAAACTTCACGGGGAGCTGCAGTGGGAAGCAGAGAGGGTGTGAAAAGGCCCTTCCACTTGGCCAACACTTCCACTAATCTCTTCTTAGAGAATTAAGCTAATCTGCAGAGTCATCCAGATCCCATGGTCTTATTTTCAGCACCATGGATAGTCCCTTGTCCCGTGTTTCAAAGTATACCTTTATAGGTAAAAAAGGTAAAGGACCCCTGGACAGTTAAGTCCAGTCAAAGGCGACTATGGGGTTGCGGCGCTCATCTCACTTTCAGGCTGAGGGAGCTGGCATTTGTCCACAGACAGCTTTCAGGGTCATGTGGCCAGCAGGACTAAACCGCTTCTGGTGCAACAGGACACTGTGATGGAAACCAGAGCTCATGGAAACACCGTTCAATGCAGAGGTACCTATTTATCTACTTCCACTGGTGTGCTTTCTAACTGCTAGGTTGGCAGGAGCTGGGACAGGGCAACAGGAGCCACCCCGTCGTGGGGACTCAAACTGCCGACCTTCTGATCGGCAAGCCTGAGAGGCTCAGTGGTTTAGACCACAGCGCCACCCGCGTCCCACTTATACCTTGATATAAGCCCAGGAAATAGGCAATATAGCACTGGACCCCCAAGGAGCAGCACTGATGGTTCCCAGTGGGCTGGAATCCTTTTCGTGCTGCAATGCAATGACAGGGTGGCTGGGCAGGAAAGGAGCCAAATGCTTCTTCCTAAAATGGAACCAAAAAGAAGAAGAAGAAGAAGAAGAAGAAGAAGAAGAAGAAGAAGAAGAAGAAGAAGAAGAAAGAATTTAGAAATAAAACTCTCTCCCACTGCACCATCGATATCGTGTTAAAACTAGCTTAAGACTTTTATGAAGGCATCTTAACGTTAGTCCAATATACAGTGGCAATGTTCCACTTAATGTAATCCCACCAATAGTTCCAACGTAAAATAAAGGTTCTTTAAATCAACAAAATAATCCTTATATAAAACATCAAAGGCTCATAAGGAATCAAGCTTTCCATCTTTCTATCCATAGACAAGTCATCATTAGTGAGGCTATGTACTGCCACATTCCATATCTATAGCACTGGACTAATATAAAGTAGTGGGGGGAATTCTCTTGCTATAAGAGCCAGATACGTACACTCCAATCGGTCCCATTCCAGGTCCTCCTCCCCCATGAGGAATGCAGAAGGTTTTGTGGAGATTTAAATGAGAGACATCTGACCCATAGTCTCCAGGACGGCACAAACCAACCTATCAAAGGAAGGAGAGCACAAAGTTTCAAAAGAGAAAGAGAAGGGATTAGAGGGATAAACAAATGAGATTATTTCGTTTTTCAGAATCAAGTCTGCTGATGAAAAGAATTAAGATTCTTTTAAAAATAGAAGTTTGCTGTTGCTAAAAAAAATCAACAAAACAAAGATTAACATATAGCTCTACCTTGTATTTAAGTATATGTAAAGCTTTAACTAAATTTCAGTATTTTATTTTTTTTATCTAAAACAAAACTTGTAAAATGTAGTTTTAGATTTTATGGAAAGGTCAGAGACAAGATTCTTGATTTTTTTAAATAACAAGATTCATAGTGTGGTTAGTTACGTCCAGTCAATTATTATTCATTATTAAAGTGGTACAAAATTTCACCTTTAACATTTATTTTTAAGCACGATTCGCAAATTCAGTCAGGGGTCTGCATTAACAGAAGGAGCCTATAAACTGGTTTCCCACCTGAGCATTCATGTTTGCTCCATCTAGGTAAACCTGGGCTCCATGTTTGTGAATCAAGTCACAGACATCACTGATATCCTCTTCAAAGACACCATTGGTCGATGGGTATGTGATCATGATAGCTGCCAGGTTTTCCTTGTGTTTATCCACCTTCAGAAAGGAGGAAAAATAGACAAAAAAATTGTCAGGGAGAGATCAAGGAAATCAGAGCATTTATAGCAGGGGTAGCCACAGAAATTGCTTAGAAGGTATTTGGACATTTTGTTCCATAACTTTATTTCTATGCAGGCAAGCAGGTTAGAGACTCACTTTCATTGAAAAATGAGAACACAGAACCTGGGCTACCACAGGAAGCAACAGGTTGGTGACCTCGATTTACAGTCTTCCTTTGAGAGGATGCTCTATTGCAGCAAACACTTCATTGCTACAGTTGCTTATCATCAGCTCTTTCATGTTATCTGGTTTCCACTCAAATTGTAGCAAATAAGAGGGAAAATAACCGTGAAAAACGGACACACTACAGAACTGACTCTAAAAATTAGATAGGCTATCGCACATGTTAACAACTGAAGCTACACATTTAAGTTTTGCATAATATTATGCCAAAAAAAGAGAGACAGGCACAGCTTCCTCTTCTATGTAATTTTATATGCCCATTGAAAATTAAAGAGTTTTTAGCCGAAGCTTATAATACCGTAATGCATTCAAAAGAAGGGCAACCAACTCACCATAGCCTTAAGATGAACGATATCGATGCTTCCATTTTTATCCACTTCTACTGGCTGAATCTTCATCCCTGCCATCTGAGCACTGGCTGGGTTAGTGCCATGGGCAGATTTAGGAATGAGACAAACCTTAACGGGGGGGAAAGTTAAGAGAGCGTCAACCTTGCAAAAAGCCAACTAAAGGTACATTTTGCAGCCCTCTGAACTCTCTTCAGATGTTCAGTTTGATCACATGAATGGAAAAGAGGGAGAATTCTGAATGTGGGAGAATTCTGCCCCTCCAGGAAGCTCTGCGTGCCAGGGGCACCCCCCACGAAATGCCATCTGAGTTAGTCTGGCGGGAGCTGCTTTATTAGTACATGCAAGTTAGTAAGGGGAAAACTGCGGCACTTTAGACAGTGGTGCTTTGTAACCACACAGAAAGTGAGAGGAAAAGAAACTGCAATAAATTATGGATGATAAATATTTCTGAATGGGGGAGTCATCGGATCTAAAAAGATGCCTATTCTGCAGCAAAAGCTGAATCAAATAGTATGTCGCTAATTCATTGACTGTGGGAAGAAGAAAACAGACATCTCCTTGTTTCATAGATTCAGGCAGGTAGCCGTGTTGGTCTGACGCAGACAAAACAAATTTAAAAAATTAAAAAGTTGTCCAGTAGCACCTAAGAGACCAACTAAGTTAGTTCTGGGTATAAGTTGAAGAAGTGTGAATGCACATGAAAGCTTATACCCAAAACTAAGTTGGACTCTAAGGTGCTACTGGACAATTTTTTAATTTTTAAAATTTATTCCTTGCTTCATGGTTCTGAGTCAAGTATACAGAGTAAACAGCCAATGTTTATCTGCTATTTAGTTTTTTAAATTGGGTGCATTGGTTTGGGCAGGGAAGCAAGAGGCGGAATTTTTAAATGAAGCCCTAATAATAGATTGTTTGTTGAAAAGCAAGAATATTGATGCTGATACCTCTGCATGTTCAAAGTATCCTAGCTATGAATTTCAATTAACAACACTGCTCTAATCCCAACACAAAAGCCTTCTGGCTGCCCCAGTGAGGTTTTGAAAAATCTCAGTACCCAGAGCCAGCCCCTGGCATGCCCTTTCTTCTAATCTCAACTCTGCTTTCATGCCACTAATGAGCTAGCTCCTGGATTTCTGCAGCAAAACGGCACAGTGTGTGCCTAGCTGCACTCCAGATACAACAGAATATACTATACTTCAGCAACAACTTTCATTGATGAGTAGAAACTCAGGAACAAAAACAGACCAACAACCACTTTCAATAAACCTGTGCAATGCTTTGGTATGGATTATGTTTCACTCTTTGCTGCTATACTGCGAGTTGTTGGTTGGGGTACATGAATTTTGGCTGGCTTTGGCGCAGGACCAAACTTCAGAAACAGAGAGGATTCTGAAGCCTAGAAGTATTGCTATACTGATCCCCTGTTCCTGTCCCAGCAAGGAGAAAATAGTTCCTATAGTCATAGTGAGCTGGGGGCAGAAAGGTCCCTAAACCCAGATGCTTAGGAAGTCGAGGTAACTTTATTGTTTTAGTATTTTAACATTTGTAGGCTTTAAAGTAGGCTTGTGTTTTTTTCTTGTTTTATCTTTTTATAAGCTGCTTTGAGGGTTTTTCTTTTTTTTCAATTGAGCAATGCATAAATTTTATTAAATAAATAATAAACTGCAAAAACCAGAATGAGCCCAGCAGAGGCAGGCACCACAAACCTTCTTCCTAAAATAAAAGATACCCACTCACAACTGACCAGAACATTTATGGACACCTGGTAAGTAATGTCTCTACAGTGGTACCTCGCAAGATGAATGCCTCGCAAGACGAAAAACTTGCAAGACGAAAGGGTTTTTGGTTTTTTGAGTTGCTTCGCAAGACGAATTTCCCTATGGGCTTGCTTCGCAAGACGAAAACGTCTTGCAAGTTTGTTTCCTTTTTCTTAACACCGTTAATACAGTTGCGACTTGACTTCGAGGAGCAACTCATAGCACGCGGTGTGGTAGCCTTTTTTGAGGTTTTTGAAGACTTTGGTGATTTTTGAAGCTTTCCCAAAACTTTTCCGAAACCGTGCCTCGCAAGACGAAAAACTTGCAAGACGAAAAAACTCGCGGAACGAATTAATTTAGTCTTGCGAGACACCACTGTACTCTAACAATAAGGGCTTTAGGTATCCCACGTGTTTACGGAACTGCTTCAACGTGGAACACAAAATATGGTTTATTCCAGTCCCTTCCCTCTATCTGTTCCCTTGTAAAGTGAACACGACAAGTTTACCATTTATTATGCGGTTCTGCATAATAGAACTACTGATCAAAAGTCATGTGGTTCAACAGTGATCTGTGGCACTTACCGGTGGTATTTATGGAATCCTGACAGAATGGCTACTTGTGCACGAAAGGGAAAGACGTTTGCAATGTAGTTAGTCTCTCAATAAAAAGGAGAGTGGATGCAAAGGTAAAACAGAGGAGCTCTTGCCCATGCAAACAGGCCCCAAATCATACATTCAGTACAGCCATGAAAGTGCCACCTCTAAGCATGAATAGTAGCATGCAGGATTGTCAGTTCAGGAATTAAACAAAGTTCATCTTTTTCACTTACACTTCTGTGCCATTCTCCTTTTGAATTTAAATAAGACTTGATTGCAGCAAGTCCAGCATATTCGCCTTGAGCTCCACTGCAAGACCACAAAGCTTATTATAATATACGCGTCTGAGCAGCTCGGCTCAGCATCCAGTTTTTGAAAATTTAGTTAATCAAGTCAGTTTAATCATTCACCAGGAACAAGTATCGTTCATGTCTACAATTTGGGCTGCGCACACATATCCTGTCTAGCTGAAATATATACACACAGAAAACAGATGTGAAATATAATCTCTTATTGGTGCATGACACAAGTTAAGTCATTTGAGATGAACAGATTCTCATCTCTAAGCGGTTCATGCTACAGCATTGCCTTTTTGCTTCCCTGAAGAAGTCAAGAAAAGGGAAAGACGTCAGGATATTCAGTAACCAGCATATTGTAGCAAAGCTGTTCATTACAGTTGGCCATACCTGACCTGGCCTTTAACATATTTAACATTTGTTAAAAAACCTGAAGCATTTTTGCTAGGGATTGTAGGGAAAGATCTGCCAAAAAAGCTGAAAAACATCTTCATGTATACGACAATGGCCGCGAGAGTTCTAATAGCACAAGGATGGAAGACTGAAGAAGCCCCAACTAAAGAATAATGGCAAGAAAAATTGATGGATTATGCAGAACTGGAAAAACTGACATATAAGCTATGGGACAAGGATAACTGACTTTAAAGATGAATGGGAACCCTTTATAAAGTATTTGAAGACGCAACAAAGCGAACTGGACTCCTTGGCTGGTTTTGAATAAACATTCACAAACTTTTTATTGATAATAATCAGCTAAATAGTTTGAGGATCTATACAACTGTGTAACATGCAGAAAACACCATTCTTAGAGAAATCAAAGACTGGAATTGAGGGAAGCCTGCGGGTGGGGGTGGGTGGGTTTTGTGTGGGAGGGTGGAGGGAGGGAGGAAAAATGGGGGGGGGGAGATGATATGTTTCTGGATAATATGTTTTGTTTTAACTTTGAATTTAAAAAGTTAAAAAAAAACAGAAATGCAAAAAAAAAAAAAAAAAAAAGGCCTTTAACATATTTAACAACAGTGAGCAAATTTGCCACTAGGGCTTCTTCTGTCTCAGGGCTTCTGCAGTGGGGAAAACTCTGTCATTGAGGGGAAGTGACCAAACTGCTGTCATTTCACAGAGGTTCTCCAAATCACAGGCACCTTCAGAAATCAGATAGTTGCATGGATGTGTGAAACAGCCCTTAGGAAAAGCAAGAAGTATGGCAAGTGTGCCTGAAAAACACTGGTTCAAGCAAGATTGTTCCTACCTGTTCGGTTGAAAAGAAATTCTGTCATAGCCTGTTATCTCACACAGATCCTTCTCAAGCTCCCTGAAAAGCTGCTGGTATCCTTGAGCCTGATCTAGAGGTACAAAGGGGTGGATATTGGCAAATTCTTTCCACGTAATAGGCTGCAGAAAAGAAAAACACAAACACGGAAGGGAAAGTGAATACTTTTGGGTTGAAGAATTTTTGTACACCAGTTATATAGGATACTTATGATATATGACTTGTAGGTTTCCACACTGTAAGGATAGGTTGCACATTATTACCAGCTAGAAAACATGATTATGAACTAGAAAAAAAACACATTTTTTAAAAATACAAATCAAATGCCATTAAAAGTCATCAGTATACTATTTGTTCTCTGCATTACAGGACTGATTCATTTTGCTGAACAGTTCTGAATATAAATACTCTAGAAAGCTGTATGAAATAGAGCAGGCTTCCTCAACCTAGGCCCTCCAGATGTTTTGAGACTATAATTCCCATCATCCCTGACCACTGGTCCTGCTAGCTAGGGATTATGGGAGTTGTAGGCCAAAAAATATCTGGAGGGCTGAGGTTGAGGAAGCCTGAAATAGAGCAAATATTTAAGGCAAATATTATCAAATACGTCTCCACCCTTTTTTGAATTTAAATAGGATTCTGTGTTCAAGTTATCTTAAAGTGGATTCCAAACTTTCTTGTTTATCTACAATGATGCATCATAGCAAGTGGGTCCTGTGATTTCAATTTTTATTTCAAAAACTACCATATGCCCAAGGTTGTTGGGACCATTCACAAGAGCACTTCCACAAGGATCTCACCAAGACACAAAATACTCCTAGGAGAAGAAAGCTTATTTAAATCTACCCCCAATCTTTAATTTTACTTAATGTTCACATGGAATTCTGGGGGAAGGGCTATTACTGCTTGATTAGCTACACATCTCTCAGAAAATAAAAATGAAAAAGCTTACTGTAAGTTCTGATGAACTATTCAACTTCATTGTACAGGATCCCTGAGGAGCGGAAAATGTAGTCAGTAAGTAAAAACATTTAAACAAAAACAAAAACAAGAATCATGCAGAAGAAAAGAAAACGTAGCCAGTATATTTCAACCAAGGACACCAGCAACTGCCATTTTTTTTCTTTTTAAATTAATACCTACCAAAGGAATCATGCTGTGAACTAAGGAAATATCTTTGTTTTCTAATCTCTTCATATACCGCACAATATTTGTTTCAGAGTGATAGCTGGAGACACAAAAACGTACGTTAGCAAACCAGTTAACCACACAAGCCATGAACTACATAAATCAATGAAAACCACTGGACCTTTCCCACCCCTTCTTCAACTTTCCTATTTATCTTGAAAACTGAAGTTAAATTTACTTTTTCTACATAATGCAAACAGTGCAAATATAATAAGCACTAATTGGTTAAAAAGTTTGGTTTAGTTTGTTGTTCCAAACCCAGAATTGTGGTTGAGGTCTCTCCGCCTTAATCATGGTCTATAGCTAAGGTTTGCCCTACAGCTGTATGTTTCGGTTAAGCAGGAGAGACTTCCAGATTGATCCTGGATTTGGATATGCTAAACCAAACCTTGGTTTAGCCTGGAGAAACCCAAGTGGGTGCAAAATGGGAGCCAGCCTGTTCACACGGTAACAGTAAACCAAACTTGGACTTGGACCAGGTCATGGTGTGCTACTTAGTAGAACCATGACTGTCCCATGAACAGTAAGCCCATGCTATCAAGTGATAGTGTCAGGGAACTGCCATTGGCTCAGGGGCGAGGGGGGGAAAAGGCGGATGGATTACAGAGAACCCCCAAAGATCGTGGGAAGCAGCACCTCCTCAGCGGAGGAAGGAAGCCACGCCTCTAGTGGGGAGGAGGTGTAGGGCTCGGAGGATGCAAGGCGGTGCCAGGACACCTTGTCTGAGCAAAGCGGGGAGGAGGGAGGTCCCCCTTTACCCAAGCCTTCATTGCGCAGAAAGCTTTCGCACAGAGAGGGGAGGCGTAGGCTGGGGCTCAAGAGACTACTCTGCCGGGGAAGATTTAAGGACCGCCCACTCTCAGATTCTGCTAGTGAATGAGCAAGATGTGGAATAGAGGCGCTCTGCATTGTAAAGGTTTTTAGCATCGATAATAAAGCTTTAGAACAGACCAGTGAGGCACCTTGCCTGATTGCTCTCGAGCAACCACCTGATAGCCATAACAGATAGATATGGGATTGCTAGATTGAGGCATTTCTGCCCACAGTTATTTAGGCTGCATTGTAAATATGAATGGTAAAAACGTAAGCTAGGTAACTCAAGCCTTAACTTGCCCCGTGTCGTAAGCGTCCCCGTGTCCCAGGGTCCTGGTCCCACAAGTCTCTATGTCAACACGCCCACGCCCACCAGCATGAACACGCTAAGTCACCAAACCCCACTACGTGTGCGAGAGATCACAGAATGCTGGGGGGGGGGGGCATGATGATGTACAGCACCCCCTGGTGACGGCGTCAGTCCTAGGCATTTGCAGTTGCGGGGACAAGCTGCCGCCACTACCCCATAGCTTACATCACAGCAATGTTTTGAAATACTAAACCAAATTTCTCTCTCACAATTATAATCCCGTAGACTTCTTTTTCAGATGATATCAAGGGGAAATTAATTAATTTCACAAACCTGTTGAATACCTGATGTGTTAGGAATTTCGATGTTCTCTTAAACGCAGTGCCAAAAATACCTCTCGTTTCTCCGTCCATGCTCTCAGCCACCAGTTCCTTTCAAAACAAGAAAGACAGGGGGGGCTCTTAAGACGTTACTCGTTATCCCTCAAAAAGAATTTATTCTGTCAGGTAGTAGGGAAAAAGCTGTCCTTGTTTCAGCACTTCTGCTTTCATGGTATTTATGTAAAGGCAAATCTTTCTCCAGCTCCCTGGATACAGGGAAACCCTGTTATGCCTAATTCAAAAGCAAGGCAAATTGCTCTTAAAAGAAGACTGCCATGAGCATTTTGTCTGCAAGGATGTTTTCTTAAAAAGTTTTCTCTTCATCTGAAGTAAGTACACGACATAAAAATTAGAAATATCTGGGTATACACTTCTAGTCTTTCAGAAGGTGGAAATAACATTTAGTTCCCATAAATCAAAGTCATTAGAGGAGTTTTTTTAAATAAATAAATTGGGGGAGGTAGAAGAATTTTCTTTACTGGCCCACCCTTCTCATTGCTGAAAGCTAAGATTTCTTACCATATCTTGTGTAATGCAGAATTTTGGTGCAGTACAAGTTGATTAAATTGAACTCAGATCCCTCATTATCTCACAAAACAATACTCACACCTCCTTGGCAAGAGGTGGAAGTGGAGAATTAAATCACCAAGGCAGCTGTCCATTTAAGGACTCAAAATTTAAAACTGGCATTTTGCATTTCTTAGTACAGAAAGTATTGATCTGATGTGAAGAGATCTTTCCTATTCTAATTAATTCAAGAGGGTTCTGGAAGCTTCTCTGTGTGAAAGAAACAAGCAGAAGGTTCATGATGTTTGGGTTATTCCTTCACAGAAGCTGAGTACAGCTGGCTTAAGCTGGTTCTGTGATCTCTTTCTGTTCTGACTATAATAGTAAGGCCAGGAGGAGCTTGAGTTTCACTTTCTCTTCCCTCTGGTGTGGTGTTCTGTACATAGTATGCTTAGTGTTAAGGTTTAATCTTATTATAAATTATTGTAAGTTTAAGTTAAGTCTGCTGCAACTGGATTTCTTATGGACAGGGCCAATCCTGAATGTATTGTATTTGTGATCATTGTGCTCATTTGCCTTCAGTGGCAGTAAAGCTCTGCTGGATGAAACACAATTGCCTCTGGTCTATTATTTAGGAATCCTGCAACGTGCTTAAGTTTTTACTCTGCTAACTATATGCTGGAGTTCTGCTCTGGATCAACATTGATTAGAATACATGACAGAGTCTACCAATTAAACGTTAAGCACTCTGATCTGTGATCTACTTACAGCGGAAGACTCACAACCAAAGATCCATAACAAGTCATCCAGGTCTTTCTCAGTTACAGTTTCATCTAGAGATACTCCAAGCTATTGACAGTTGGAAGGGAGGAAGGAAAGTTTAGTACTGAAAAAACTCAGTGTACTTTCAAAGAGCACAAAACAAAACATTAAAGTAGTGTAACAACTGTTGACATTTCACCAACGTGATGTGAAGATCCCGATTACTACAACAGAAGGGAAAAAGTAACTAATTTTCTCATCAGGTTCAAATGATACTGGTGGAAGCTTACAATAATCTTTTTGCATTTTCAGTAGCTCCATAGGTTTAATACTGTATATGCAATTCTTCTAGCCTTAACTGTAGAAGCGCATCATGTTTTATAAAACTGTGCTTAGCAATTTCAGCAACCTTCCACTATGTATCTGCTCAGTTATTTAAAATTTAGGGGAGGAATTCCATGTAGTGCTAAGGAGATGGTGTTATCAGTATTAGCATTTCCGCTTGCCTAATGGAATGATTGACCTTCTCCTCCACCCGTGTACTATGGAGTTATCTTGACCTCCCCAAGGCAATTTGGAGGATGGGGGAGGGAAGGAAGAAAATCCCCCTGTGTTAGTGGAAGTCCTTGCATAGGCTTCTGCTAGTGGGACCAGTAAATGGAATCTGCCCCTTACATTTTCCCCCTCTAATGAAAGTGAACTCAGAAAATGTGAAGCAGAATTTAAAAATTCAGACCCCAAAAGAAAAGGGTGTGCAACACTCCCTCTCTTTACAATTGATTTATCTCTCAATAAAGCTGTCTGGATAATTCTAATACATCATGTTACAGAAGATTCAGGTTACGTGTTTTTGGGTTGCGGATCGTGGGAAATCTGGAAGTACCGGAATGGGTTACTTCTGGGTTTCGCCGCTCACGCATGCGCAGAAGCACCAAATCACGCTGGCGCCTGCGCAGACACGGCGCTTTAGGATGCAAACACTGTGGGTTGCAGACGTGCCTCCGTCACGGATTACGTCCACAACCCGTGGTTCCACTGTATACTGTTACTATTGTATGTTGACTTTCTAACCTAGGCAGGCTCCCAATTTTCCCCAGTTCTTCTGTGACTATCAGAGGGTTCTTGTTTTCCAGAGATGAGCTATGCAAAGTTTCACTTTGGCAGTAAGATCAAGACCAACTTCAGAGTGACACACAACATACACAGGATTGTTTGGGGCTTCCTGGGTAAAGCACAGCCAGTCCTTTCATGTACCATGCTCAAAATTGTTTTCATTTTTATGCAATCCCAGAAGATTTGCATCAAATCTGCCTTTGATCTTTTACATCTCCAACAATGCATAACTGATTGTATGTTTTACTCAGTCTATGCGAAGTTAGATACCACCGAAGTGCAGCCTCGATTTTTCTCCATCACACTAGTGCTTAATGATATCATGGGAAAGTTTTCAGACAACCAGCCCCAATGTGACATTGAAAGGAACACCATCCAAGAATAAATTTAGCCATCACTTACTGTACCATCATTGTAAATCCGGAGGTTTATCTGCCTCTGGGCTGCTCGGAGCAAGACTTCTTGGACGCCACATCCACACTGGATTTTCAAGGTATCAAAAAATAGGTCATGTTGCAGTTTATGACCAGCTCTCTTCAGACCTAGCAGAAATAACATGTGAACTCTTCGCTCCACTGGCTGCTCACATTTCTATAATGTTCTGCATATAATATGCAGTATTTTGGTTGATACGGTTTTCAACAACAATATGCTGGGATTATGGATTTCTACTGGTGTTATAACAGACTTGCCTAAATTTGTTCAGAGTTGGCAGGTGGGGGTAGCCAAATCTGTCTTATGAATCACTATAAACTGCACTGTTGCCTATTTCCCCACCTCGTCTGGTTCCTCAGATATGCAGTCTTCCAATTTATCTTAATCCTAGTTCAGTGTTTCAGTTTCTTCTGCTAAAGCTCTTCCTCGAGTGCCTATTTTATCAGATATTTACCACAGAGCTGTTTCAAAGCGAAAGGGTCTCCCTTATGATGTCTACATTTTTTCTGGTTAATAATCAAGTTTTATTATACAAGTTTTATTACATAAAATGTTTTATGAAGACCAGTATACAAATAAGTACATAAAACAGATTTCAGTTGTTGCACAGAATATTGAAATCTTTGAAGAGTCTCCATCATGCAGCCATTAGATTAATTTTAACTCACCTTCAGCTAAGATGAGAGTGGCATTATGCACCCTCCTAGCAATGTGCTTTAGTCCGTTAGCGCCATGGTAGACTCCGAACATAGCAGCCATATTAGCCAGAAGTGCCTAAAAGGCACAAAATTGGGGGGAAATAAGTCAGTTCACTAGCAGGTTAGTGTAAGGTATTTTTTGGGGGCGGGTCTTGGAGTATATTTAGGAAAAAACAACCCACTAATATTTAAAACGGAGGGACGCGGGTGGCGCTGTGGGATAAACCACAGAGCCTAGGACTTGCTGATCAGAAGGTTGGTGGATCAAATCCCCACAACAAAGTGAGCTCCCGTTGCTCGGTCCCTGCTTCTGCCAACCTAGCAGTTCAAAAGCATGTCAAACTGCAAGTACATAAATAGGTACCGCTCCGGTGGGAAGGTAAACGGCGTTTCCGTGCACTGCTCTGGTTCGCCAGAAGAGGCTTAGTCATGCTGGCCACATGACCCGGAAGCTGTACGCCAGCTCCCTCGGCCAATAAAGCGAAATGAGCGCCGCAACCCCAGAGTCGGTCACGACTGGACCTAATGGTCAGGGGTCCCTTTACTTTTAATATTTAAAACATTCTATTTGTAATTGAGTTCAAATCAACCCACACAATGAAAAGTTACAATTACATTCCTGACATTTTAAAACAATAAAATAATCATTCAGATCTCTTGAATGTAAATTTGCAAGAAAGGCCACATTGAAGAGAAAGCTGTATCTAACTGTGTTCCTCTTCACTGGAAAAGTTATTTGATCCCAATGAGGTTTCTGCAAAAGGGAGCGGAGAGGTGGTATCTGTCGCTTCTCCTTGTGCATTTCCAAATGTGCTCCAAAGGATTCCGGTATCCTTTGGAAAATTGTGGGATATGGCACAAGGGGTTACAGATGAAAGCAGGTGCAGTGTTTACAAAAAAAAAAAGAGATTTCCTTCCCCTCCCATTCATTCACACCTTTGCCAGCAGAAGCAGCTGGATACTGCCCCAAAATACCCACATATTTTACTATCCCCATATTCAAATAGCGTGAACACAAAATTTAAAAAGTTTATAAATCTACTACTTTTTTAAAATGACTGAAGGACTGAAGAAAAGCTCACCTGCGCAGTGCATATGTTGCTTGTAGCCTTATCCCTTCTTATATGCTGTTCTCTGGTTTGCAATGCAAGTCGATACACTTCTTTTCCATTAGCATCCCTTGAGCCATAAAAAGAAAAATGGTTACTCTCTCAACAAAGAACAGCTCTGCTTTTCTTAATAAAAGGTGACCGGTATACTCAAGAAGGTAATGCAAGGCTAGGATGCTTGAGCAAAATAATTAAAAAGGCATTTAAAAATGCCAAACGGTTCCTGAACCAATCTGTCGGTCAAGGCACCCTCCATTCACTTGAAATCACATGGAACAATTGAGTGCAAAGCCCAATAGTGCAAATGACAATTCCGCGAAACAAGATGTAAGGACCAGTTTCACAAAGCCTGACAGACTGTGAGCAAGGGGAACCACAAGCTTGACTGATACAAGCTATGAAATCTACAGTGTGTGCCCTTGACCTAAACCTTATACAGTATACTAGTTTCTTGAACACACTCCTCCAATTTAGGCTTTTGAAGGTGTTCCAGTGGGGACACACAATTGTGGAAGTAAAGTTCCAGCTGAACAGAGATAGCATCTTTGCATATGTAAAGGGATGTATACAGAAAATTTAATAAGGAATCCTTTGAAAGCATGGAAACTCCATGTGGACAGTGGAGCCCTAGGCGCAGTAAGTGTGGAAAGTGATTTGAGGGGAGGAAATTATATTTATATATTAGTGCATACGTAAGTAAAATAAATAAATAAATCATATTCTAGCCAAGAAGATGTGTGTCTCATATTTGACAAAAAGCTCAAATCACTTAATGGCAAGGGAAATGTGTTATGAGAAGGATGGAGTTTTGCACAATCGCCCGAGATGTCTTCAGCACAAGTCCCATGACTAGGATTGAAGCTTTCAACTTCAAGGTAGCCTACCTTGTAACTCCTACCATTCTTCCAGGCATCATTCGCACCAGGTTCTCCTTGACAGCAAAAAAGGCTGCGTGTGGCCCACCATAACAAAGAGGCACCCCAAACCTCTGGGAGTTGCCCAGAGCGACATCAACACCAAACTCTCCTGGAGGTCTCAAGATGCACAGAGCTAGCAGGTCAGTAGCACAGCAGACTAGAGTCTGAAACAAGGAAAGAGATCAGCATCGTTGTCAGAACAAATGAACCATGGCCTATGTTATGTAATACCAGTGACAATTAACTAAGGTTTAATCAAAGTGATTCTAGTATGTCTCAAAGAAAACAACAATGAAAGAACCAGTAATGCCTTAATTTCATGTTTAATGCAACTGTGCTGGGGTATATAAATTACCTGTTCCCGGTACCTCATCTACAATAAAGAGTATCGTGATGTAAATTTAACCGCTATATGCAGCATTAGGAAGAAACCTTGTATTAAATCAGATCATTGGTTCATTCTGAAACAGCTCAACCATTTATTTGTTGAGAGAAGCAGATTTACTCCTACAAACTCTGCATGCAGATCTTTGGCCTCTATTGAAGTCAAATAAGGCAAGGGAGACCTACATCTGCACAGAGAGGTTCATTTCCAAAGAGTGTTCTACAACTTAAGTTATAATAAATCTAAATGCTTAAATATACAAAATATGTCAGGAAAAGGTTATGACTGCTTCGTTTTACCCCGTTCTGATGGGCTTGATCAACAAATGCAGTGAAATCTTCCACCTTCCCCTCGGTATCTGGGTACTGGAACAAAACGCCGCTGACATCTTTGCCACTGAAGTCCATTTCATGAGGCAACTTCAACTCAACAATAATGCCGGTGTAACTGGAAAGCAAGAGAAATATACAGGAAAAGAGTAAGCCATTTCCTGCTTGTAAATGGGTTTTCAACATCATTTACGGATTGGATCCTGACTTTACCCTTCCACAAATGGGAAGGCTCCTATCCACAGAAAGGTTTTAATCCAGTGGAGGGATGGAGGGCACAAGGAGAAGGGGGCGACAGAGGGTGAGATGGTTGGATAGTGTTTTCGAGGTTACCAGCATGAGTTTGACCAAACTGCGGGAAGTAGTGGAGGATAGAGGTGCCTGGCGTGCTCTGGTCCATGGGGTCACGAAGAGTCGGACACGACTAAACGACTAAACAACAACAACAACAAAGGGATCCTGCTGGTGAAGGGGGGGGGACTGACTTTTGCTGAGTCATTGCTCCCCCTGCAGAACCCAGCAATACCTCCCACAATGGTCGATGGCCCCCCAGTCCCCTGGAACAGTATGAGAGGAGGTGCTGGGAGCTAAGGCGGGAGCGGAAATTGGCAAATCTCCTCTCCCTCTCCTGCACAGGAAGAATGTAACTCGATTCAAGGGATGTTCCTGCTGGGAGCAAAATTGATTTGAAAGAAATAATGCAACAGAAGTAAACATTACTTTGCTCTGGTTTGCACCACTGCTATCGTCTGAGGATGGCATCGGATGTCGACATAAAACTTCCTCCGCTTATTATGCCTGTTGAAGGGGGGGGGGAGAGAGACACACAAACACACAATGTAAGCATTTCAAATATGTTTCATGCCATTTTTATTGCAGGCCAACAAGTTTCTACAGCCTACATCATTACTCCTGATTCGCTTGGGTATCTGGCCAATAGTTCAGGAAGGGCTGGCAGGAAGTATCCATCAAAACCAATAAACCACGAAACCAATAAAAACTCAAGCCTGCCACTTAGTTACCAAGATCCACATAAGAAAATTGTGAGGCAAAACACTCGGTTATTGTTAGAAGATTCATAACATTCACAGAGAGCCATGAGCCCTGATAACTAAATATTGCTTCCTGTTTTTTGTCAGTTGCTTGAGAGGAAAAGCAATGGAAGGTTATCACCCTTTTTGTGGGTTTTCCTAAACCCCCTTGGTTGGTCACTGTGAAAACAGGATCACTGACTTTATGGTCCCTTGGCCTCATCGTTAAGTACCCTCCAAATCACCCAATTGTGATTTATTCAAGTTTGGTATGTATTTTCTCTTTTAGTATCCCTTTTCCTTTCTTCATGGTTAACATTTCTGATTACAGGCCAGGGGGCAGCGCTCATTCTGTTTAATATAACTACTGTATTGAACCTAACTGCGGGGCCCTTTATAAAACAAAAATGCTATTCCAATTATTTTTGTTTCCGTCTGTTACCTGTGGCACAACTGCATAGCTTCGGCTGCAGCAGTTCCTTCATCTAGCAAAGATGCATTCGACACGTCCATTCCTGTGAGGTCACACACCATTGTTTGATAATTTAATAGACTCTCCAGCCTTCCTTGAGATACCTCTGGCTGGTAAGGGGTGTACTGGGTAACCCTATTAAAAACAAAATATTTCAGATATCAAGCTTCTGGCCCTTCTGAACCATGTTTCCAAAAAGGTCATAATCTCCAATATATTTTAACTGTCTATTTTAATACCATTTGAATCTGGCTGATATTTGTGTTGCAAACAGAGAATGCACCATAAGAAAAACAAATAAATTGGGCTTAACTTTTAGAATGTGACTATTTGCTGCTGAATAGAAAGCATTCATGTCAATTATCAAACAGTTATCCCCAAATATGCTAGTCTAGAGGTATCAAAATTCAGAGTCAAGCTGCACTTAATCTGTTAACTTGATTATGCTGCAACTTCAGTTACTCTTCACTAACTGATCAGCCAATTCTAAAATACTGAGTGTTGTAAAAGATTCTGGTTTCAGAAACCATGACACAGAATGAATAATCACAGCTGGTGTTGCTATGTGCTATTGTAAGACTGGGTAAAATCTTCATTTTGCGTGTTTAATTACATGCTAAACTTTAGATGCAGTTCTTGCGGGGGGTGGGGGTGGGGGCAGAGACAGAAACAGAGAAACCTGCTTTTGACTGTGTATGCCTGTTTCCTGTGAGAACTTAATTTAGAAATTAAGCCCTGCCCACCAGTCAAGTTTGATCCTGATAAAGGTCTGGCCCGTGGAGCCAAAAAGGTTCCCCACTCCTGTGCTAAAACGTATTAAGTAAAATATTTCTTGCAAGTGATAAAGGGTGGATCTACACACAGGAAAAAACACGCTATAAATAAGTCAGAAATTAAATTGTTATAATAAAAGCAAGAAAACTATGTAAAAATCGCATAGAAAATTCCTTTTGCTCTCTGCCACCATCTGCTGTTGCGTGTTTATAATGCATTCAAAACATTGTTTTTTGCCTAATGTAGCTGAGTCCACATAGAAAGAAAAATGGTTGTGTCTAAAGAAAGGCAGGGAACCTTACTTGAATTGTAAGGAACACTGTTGTCAAGTCAAAGGCCAGGTTATAACCCAAAAGGAGTGACTTATGAAATAGTGACTTTAGCTATGAAAGGCTAAATGTAGTTCAAAGATAAGGAGTAGCCAACATGCTGCCCTCCAGTTTGCTAAGAAGCAACAGGAAGAAAAGAATATTGATGGCACTCCCTTCAGTCCCTGCCAGCATAGCCAATGGTCAAGAATGCTTATAGTACAAGTCCAATAATATCTAGAGGGAATGACCTTGGCTAGCCCTGCTACAGATTCTTATTTTTCCAGCAAGGAGGAGTGTTTGTTTTTAGCTTTGATAAGTTATATAACAACTTTGGGGGGGGCAGTTTTGTTTTTGTTTTTACTCTGCTCAGCCTCTGACAAGTACACAGTGAAGTTTCGACTTCAAAGAGGAGAAGTCAAAGATCCATGAGAAATTTACGGGCTCTGAAGCTGTTCCCATTCAGTCCAGTATGTGGATAAGCTTCTGAATTCATTTTAAGGCATGAGTAAGCCAAAGGAAAACTTCTATTATCTAAACTACGGTTAAACAATTCACCAAGGCACTTGCAGTGGGTTAGAATCTCCTGCATGCAACCAGGCAGGGTGGCGGTTTCTTCCCCATTAAGCCACAAAGGACGATCACAGGGATGTGCGGACAGGTGTGCCAGGAAGCTTTTTTTGTGCTAGCTGTTTTATTTAGTTAGTTATTCATTTAATATAATTAACATCACTATATGCATTTATATCCCATCTCTCTCTCTCAAGCTGGGATTCAAGGTGGCGTACAGCATTTAAAAATAACATTATAAAATACGAAGTAATAAAAACAAACTAGTTAAAAACAATGATTTAAATATATAGGTAAAGGTAAAGGTACCCCTGCCCGTACGGGCCAGTTGTGTCCGACTCTGGGGTTGTGTGCCCATCTCACTTAAGAGGCCGGGGGCCAGCGCTGTCTGTAGATACTTCCAGGTCACGTGGCCAGCGTGACGAAGCTGCTCTGGCGAGCCGGCACCAGCGCAGCGCACGGAAACGCCGTTTACCTTCCCACTATAAAGCGGTACCTATTTATCTACTTGCACCTAGGGGTGCTTTAGAACTGCTAGGTGGGCAGGAGCTGGGACCGAAAGACAGGAGCTCACCCCACCGCGGGGATTCGAACCGCCGACCATGCGTTCGGCAAGCCCTAGGCGCTGAGGTTTTACCCACAGCGCCACCTGCGTCCCAAATAATATATAAATATATAAAGCACAGTTAAAAGGTAAAGGTAAAGGGACAGCCATTAAAACACCGTTTTCCCTAACAGCAGCCCAGCAGTCAGCATTGTCTGCATCTTAGTTTTCAAAGGCCGGTCTGAAGAGGAAGGTCTTAGCCTACTGGCAGAAGGATAACCAAGAGGGAGCCAATCTAACTCTCTTGGGAAGGGATTTCACCATATGCGAGCAGCCACAGAAAAGGCTCTGTCTCGTGTAGCCACCAGCTGAGCTTCTGGTGTTGATGGGACCAAGAGAAGTTGCTCACCTGAGAATCTCAACACCTGGGCAGTTTCATATAGGGAGATATGATCTTTCAGGTAGCCTGGACCAAAGCTATAAATGGATATGTTTGCAAACCTTGATTAAACATCTAAAAAAACCCAAAGCCTCAGCTACCTTTGAGAAACCTTCGAATTGTAGACCACTATGTGACTATGGAAAATCCCTTAAGTTTCACAGATAGTTTACCATGCACCAAGGCAACTGGTTCCTCAGGAACAAGCCTCCACGGAGTTAGTTGCACAGTACTTTGGATCCTGACCAACCTACTACCTTCCTATAGCAACAGCATTGTTTTACTCACAAGTAAAGTATGAAAACAGGTAGACAAAACACTCCTATTCAACATCATGAAAACTGATCACTGTATATTGTTCAGGCTATATTTAAATAAACTTTTCTAACCCTGAGAGAGAAATTCAACCCCCTAACAAACAAGTAGCATTTCTGCACATGATGCTGCACATAATACAGTAGCAATCCGGCACATTAGTAATTACTGACCATGCAAATTGGTCCCTCTCCCATCCCCAGAATTTGCATTGTTTTAATTGCGTACGCTTATTGAACACACAAAAATCACTCTTCAGGATTATCTATTCATTACCATGATAGTTGGCCGTTATTGATAGTCTCCCGTTCTGGCATCATTCACATCTTGCCAGACATTGAACCAAAGTACAAGAAATTGCACACATTTTCTAAGTATCTCAGAATACTGTCATCAGTATGAAAATAAATAAAGTACAAATTAGGCAGGCAGTCATTACGAAAATAAAGTGGATTTCTAGGGTTAAGTCTAGACTTATTGTCAACTCATCCAAGAAGCCAAACATACTTTCTATTCTTTGTCCGTTCATTTATGTTCACGTCACGTTACTGGAATTCATTAGTTCTGTTTCCAGGGCAACACCACAGCGGACAGATAGCATGAAGACAGTCCGGAAGAATCAGCACAAAAATGTGTGCAGCTTAACACTGTCCCACAACATTACACTGCTAACAGCCGATTGTGGGTTAGTGAGCCACACTCTTTGTTTATTTAAACGCATCCTATTCTCAGTACTTTGATTAAGGAAACTAGAAATGCCACACAATCTAAGGAATCCTGGTACACTTTACCATGTCCCAATTGTCTAGAGAGGTCTGATCTACACTGCAAGCATATTACCAGGAAGGTGGGGGGGGGAGTGGGAAATGAAGCCAAATGCTTGAGGATGAGTCAAACAGAGATGTGAATTTGTTTCTCTAAAGTACAAGTCCCAGAGTTCCTTACTCCCTGGACAATATTTCCTGTGCATAGGCAGGAGGAACAGGGTGTGGCAACTGATCAGTAGTAGGACGGAGGGATCAGCACCATAATAAGGAGGGATAGTGAGATCCCAGGGGTTGTGGTGAAAGCCAGAGGTGCAGATAAGATCTACAAGCTGCAGAGCATGTGAGGATGTTGTATGTCTGTACTGAGCCTAGAGAAATTATGTTTGAGCACTGCTTACCCGTGATAACGAGAGCTAAGGACCATTGCCAGAACTGGGGGATTTGAAGCAATTGCCTATGACCCTCTTTGCGTAGGAAGAATTTTACAAAGCATAATTTCTGCGCAGAAATGTGGGGAAACGTCTGGTCAGGCAAAGAATTCCTTCATACTATAATTGGGCAGATGGATTGCAGCCAGTATTTACCTGGGCTAAATAGCTAGACTTGGCCTTAAGAGAGAAAAAGCCCACTGTATTTTTTATGCACAGTATTACCTACAAATAAACTGAGCAATTGTATGCAACTATCAAATAAACTGAGCAATTGTATGCAACTATCTGTGCAGAGTAGCAGGAATTGTTTACAAAAAGACTCCTACTGAGTTGCATTCTTGCTAGAAGAATTCAAATGTTTGCTTGCCAAATCTGTCAGTGAATGGTATTTGCCTCACACTGTGCTTTCCTGTTAGTCTTTTATAATATTCAAAACAATAACACACAAAAACAACCTCCGGGCCTTTCTATTAGTATCGCCCATCTTTCAGTTCTCATCTTCTTCAAGGACTAATTTTACACTCCCGTACAAGTTTTCCATATTTAACGGTTACAGGAATATACATTGGGGTATTTGCATTCTACCCTCTTCTAAGGCTTTGATATATTTCAATAGTTGAAGTATATCTTTTAAAACTTAATAGCAGTTAGTAGCATGCCCTTGAACCATTTTGAATATTTTGCTGTATGCATAGCCTCATAGGACTTTTGCGTAAACTGACAGTAGAAGTTGAAAAAAAAACCATCTTGTAAATTCAGAACTTTGATGTTTCACCAGAAAAAAATCAGAAGCTTCACAAATTTATTTATAGCTAACTCAGTTGGTCAACTTAATTATAGGAACTATATTTGATGGTTAATTTCGAAAAATTCTTTTCTATAATTTATAGACCTCTTATTAGGGCAACAACAAATTAATTTGTTAGAAACTTTTTTATTGAGTAGGAAGTGCCACCAATTAATCTGTCAGTATATTTTTAGATGTAGGGTGACCTCTTCTAACTTATCTGCTCTTGGGAAAGTATGCTTTTTGCATTAAAACTAGCCTTTACTCATAGGTAAACATATACAAATGCAGTAGGGCTGCAATCCTACACCCACTTACCTGGAAAAAATGGCCTTATTGAACCTAATGGGTCTTACTTCTCAGTAGACTTGCACAGGATTGTGCTGAAATGAATGAAGTCAACTAAATCTCATGCAATTAATTGACTAGCAGCAGTGCAGTCCTAACCATTTTGATTAGAAGCAATTCCAATTGAAGTCAATGGGGCTTACTCTCAAGAAGGTGAGGTTAGGATTATAGCCCAAGGCATCATTAACTGATAACAGATCTATTATTTGTGCATGTTTTTATCCATTATGTAGCTCAGGTTTGTCAGTTGTCTGGCTCCTTGTGGGGAATGGGAATTGATCTTAAAAAGAAATTACAAGTGGAAGCAATCTGCACCTACAACCACATTTATGTATTAGAATAAACATTTCTGCTTTATTGATAAATTTGCTAATGACTGTTCGTTCTGTTCCTCAGATAATTCTGAGCATTTTTTCTTTCATCAGAGTCTTGAATCCCTGAAGGCAGCACAATAATGTAGGAACTTCTATGCATCCCAGCACATTAACAACATGAACAATATGAAATATACAATACAGGTGTGTGTTTAATGATAAAATATGGTACATTACCATCCTGCGTTCTCCAGCATATTCCTCACAATGGCCTGAGGGACTGAACAGTTGTAATAACCCATGCCAATATACGATCTCCAGATCTTGTTCTTGCTGGCAATACTGTGTAAAGTTTCAAGAATTTCATTCTCACCTAATTAAAAAAAAGTTATGGTAGAAGTCTTGAAAAGGATTGATTAATGTGGTACATTTGGAACCTGCTGCTCCTTATAATCTAGTGCAGGTCTGCTAGCACCTCAAATTCATCTCCCTCCCCTTCTACTCCCCAATTTCATTGGCCTGCTCATCTTTAGTGCTGAAAATCACAGAAGTGAGGCAAATATAGATTTGCTACCATCACTCACAATCACTATATTCCAACTGCCCACTTTTGAGTGATGATATTTAGTTCTTTCTGATAAGCAGCGTATTGTGCCTACTCAGTGAGTTTTTTAAAGCCTGAAACCTATTTAAGGTACAAATCACTTGCAAAATGAATTGTATTTCCTTCTTTGCATTCTTTTGAATGCCAAGTGAGTTTCCTTAAGCCAGGGGTGTCCCTCCAGATGATGCTAAGCTGCAGTCCCCAGGAGCCCTGAACATTTACCAAGTTGCAGGGGCTGATGGGAGTTGCCGCCCATCAGTAACCACCCTTACCTAAAACGAGTGGAAGGTAGTCCAGATTGTTAATTTCGCCAGAGACCCGTACAACTCTGCAGCATCATACCAGGACTTTTAAACTCATAAAAACTAGCCGATGCATGAAGGGTCATGATTCAGCTGCTCCAATATGGCCTATGCTATGATATCATAATGAGTTTAGCAAGACTCAGACCACCTTTGGTGGCTATGGGGCAATGGAGAAAATGTTTATATCCTGCGGTGCAGGACAACTTTTCCTAAATTACACAGCAAGAGTTACGTAAGTTCACCAAAGGTTTCTGATTGACAACCTGCTGGTGTCAATTGAACAGCCTTTATATACCTTTTGCTGAAAGGGGATATACAGTGTCAAGGAACCTACACTTGAAAATAGCACTGAATAGTGAAAACTGGCACCTGAGAGCAATAAATAAATCAAATAAAAAATGGCGAATTCATCCCACAGGCAATCAAGAGTATTTGAAACCTGACCACTAGTCATTTAATCACTTTATCTACCTTTATCGTACTATGTCTTGAAAAGAAAATAATAATGCAAACTAGACCTGGGCGATATATCATATATTGCCCAGGACCGGTATGAGGAGCAGACTGCGATGTCGGCTTCATTCAGCGGTACAGTGGTACCTCGGTTTAAGTGCTTAATTTGTTCCGGAGGTGCGTTCTTAACCTGAAACTGTTCTTAACCTGAAGCACCACTTTAGCTAATGGGGCCTCCTGCTGCCGCCGCGCCGCCAAAGCACGATTTCTGTTCTCATCCTGAAGCAAAGTTCTTAACCTGAAGCACTATTTCTGGGTTAGCTGAATCTGTAACTTGAAGCGTATGTAACCTGAAGCGTATGTAACCTGAGGTACCACTGTATATCACTAAGGGCTCCCCATCCGCAGCAGAGCCATCCACTTGAGCGGGAGCCAGCACCAGCTGGGGGATCCTTTAACTGCTCGGCTGAACAGTGACGGAGTTAGCTTCATGGGGGCCTGGAACAGCGACCATGCCGTGCACCCGGGGGGGGGGGCGGCGAGCTGTGCGGGGTGTGTGTGATTTGCCTTGTGCGGTGGCGGCAGAGCAAGGCCACTACGGTGTGCCTTTTTGTCACCCCCCTCATGGATGACACCCAGGGTGGACTGCCCCTGCTTCCTACGCCCCTGTGGCCGAGGGGAGCGGCAACTGCACACTCCTCAGGTGAGCAGTTAAAAGATGCAGAGGGAGGAACAAGCTGTATCGGTGCCTCGCTAATGCAGCTTTTTTTACCCTCTGCGCAGTACGAGGGCAGAGTGGGATGCCGATTTTACTCAGCAATATATCGCTGGTGAAACTGCCACCACTCCTGAGTCCCTCTGCTAGCAACACTCGCTGGAGGAAGTCACTAGTAGAGGGACCCAGGAATGGTGGCGGTTTCACCAGTGATATACCGCTGACTGAAGCCGATATTGTGGTCTGCTCCTCATACCGGTCCTGGGCGATATATTAATATATTGCCCTGCCTAATAGGTACATATAGATGGAAGATACAATCCATTATGGGAACACTGTCCAGGAACAAGTGATCTCAGTATGGACCTCGTTAAGCAGAGTTCACTTAATCTGCATCACAAGCATTATCTTTAAGTGATTTGTGCATATGATTCTAAATGTTCTAAACCTTTGTCTTGCATATCTGCATGGAAATCTTTCCTGTTGTCCTGCACTATGAGAATCATGTTTGCCATATTGCTATGATACTTCGTCTGCTCTGTTCTACTCACTTGTGTGCCTAATGATCAGGACACTAATAAAGTTACTCCTGTCTCATTTTCAGTTTCCTTCCTCTCCTTTTCGTACTCAACAGAAAATGAACCATTAAAAGTTTAAAGTCCAGAAACATAATACTGATACAGCAAAAACGGATATAAGTTTTTTAATGATGTGCTTTAACTTCAGGAAACATTTAGGAGATGCCTTTAAAAAAAACAAGGACAACTCAACATTTTTTTTACTCCACTGCACTATTTTCCTCTACCTGATAGTTAGCCTAGTCCAAAGGTACAAAACAGGTCCAACACTTTTGTATGGAGTATTTATCTTTATAGAATACAGACATTGGCCTCTGATTATGAATCTACTTGGCTAATTCGAGGCTGTCCCCTCCTCATTGTGCAATGAAAAAGCTATAAAGCAAAGGACTCAATGAAGGGGGAGCTGGAAATACGAGAGGATGGTAAACACCCATTAAGAAACACTTGGAAATCAGCCATTCTAGTCAGCCTACTGCTTCCAGTTTTCTAGGGCAGTAGCAAAGATGAAATGCATTACACCAGACCCACTACACTGAAAATAGTTGAGTAATCCTTCAAGAACTTTAGCTGGCAATTCTTTTTGCTGAATAAACACCTGCTGCTGACCTTGTTTATTTCTCCCACTGGGAGCATTGCATAACATTATCGGAGGCAATGATCTTAATGTACCAAGCATCGAGTTCATTGATCTTTTGGCACCGTTATCTCAGAATGGGGGAAGGGGAACAAAGCACATACGGCTCCATCTTAGCTTTTATAATTCAGAAACAAGGTGCCCAACAGCTGAGTGGCGTTATTCCTAGTTCAAGAAATAAAATTATTGGTATTTATTATTGTTGTTGTTACTATTATTATTATTATTATTATTATTATTATTAATCTGCCCGGCCCTGGCTATTGCACACATGAGCCCAGACTATCTCCATTGTTTCCAACAGGGTAGTTGCCTACTCTTGAGGTTTTGATGCCTACTGAAAACATTTGTTCACCCAGGCCTTTGCTGGTCATTGTCCAGCTACTGTAGTTGCTATTATTTCTAGATTTGTTGGATTTTAATGGGCTGTTTTATTGTTCTCTGTTGTAGACCAACATGGATTTTAAAAAATGATGATGGTATCAAAGTATATTGCATAAATAAATATCAGTAAATACTTAAAATGTGCAAACGGTGCTTGCATAGTTGTTTTAAACTGTGGGCAGTAAGGGTGGGAAATAAATATGGGAAAACCTTTGTACATTCACTTTCATTTGTGTATCACAGCCCTTTGGCCATAAATGGCCAGAGTATATACTTGTTTGCCTCAAGCTCTCCTATGTTGCTGTTACCTCTCATCAGCTATAGACTCATCAGGTGGCAGAAGTACAAAGTGTTCAAAAACAAGATCCAGTAAGGGACTTTTTGTGTTATAAACTTGTTGACATGAATTTATCATATGTAGTTGCCACCAAATTAGAATATGGCACAAGTTACCAACCAGATTGCGCAATGTTGTATTTCTCCCTCAGCCTTTTGGAATACTGGAATAATCCAGTTTACATGCCAAAGTTTTGAGGCACCTAGTTGTCACCAACCCCTAGGGTATGCTTAACTTTGAGCTGCAGCGTTCTGTAACAGGCTTCAGTAGACTCACTGTCAAAGGAGCTTGCTGTACTCATGAACAGAAATGCAGCCAACTACTATTATTATGTTATCAGAGAATCACCAAGTAGATGGCAGCCTCTTACAGGATGTTACTAAGACATACTAAGGGACCAGTGGACCCAAATAATGCTCATTTATTTAAAAGTCAGCAAGGAAGCACTCAAGCACAAAAAGAGCAATATTGCATTAAGTATAAGCTGAAATTAGTGTCATGTTCACTACACAAAATACTATATTATGAAGAGTTTAGTATTACTAACTCAACTCCTTCGCTTTTGCTGCAGGAGTTTTATTGTTGCCATTCTGCAAAACCTTAAATAAAGTTTGGTCAGGTCCCAACTGCATTTTGGCCCTTGCTTAATTATCCTGCTATATATAGGTCCATAAATAATGGACTGGGTATGAAATCTTGCTGCAGGGAGAAGAGATCTTTGCTGAAGAGTGGGAAGGAAGAGCTCACCATCATCATTACAGTGGTACCTTGGGTTACATATGCTTCAGGTTACACACTCTGCTAACCCAGAAATAGTGCTTCAGGTTAAGAACTTTGCTTCAGGATAAGAACAGAAATTGGGCTCTGGTGGCGCTGCGGCAGCAGGAGGCCCCATTAGCTAAAGTGGTACTTCAGATTAAGAACAGTTTCAGGTTAAGAACAGACCTCTGGAACGAATTACCGTATTTTTCGCTCTATAACACGCACCTGACCATAACACGCACATCGTTTTTAGAGGAGGAAAACAAGGGAAAAAATATTCTGAATGAAACAGTGGACGTATCATTTTTGTGCTTCATGCTGTGGCCACAGACATGTGATCTGATGGTGAATTTGGGGTGACCCAATGCAAAAATCCTGAGAATCCCTGTGGATCCATGCTTTGTAACCACGTTTTTGCACCATTGCAGCCCCAGGCAACAGTGGGTGCGTGATTTTTTTGGGGGGGCAGGCTGTAGCCATGGACATGCTATGTGCTCTGATGGTGAATTTTGGCTGACCCAATGCAAAGATCCTGAGGATCCATGTGGACCCATACTTTTTAACCACGTTTTTGCACCATTGCAGCCCCAGGCAACAGTGGGTGCGTGATTTTTTTGGGGGGGCAGGCTGTAGCCATGGACATGCTGTGTGCTCTGATGGTGAATTTGGGGTGACCCAATGCAAAGATCCTGAGGATCCATGTGGATCCATGCTTTGTAACCACATTTTAAGTGGGGAGGGAAGGAAAAACACAGAAGGCTAAGAATGCAGGAGAGGGCTATAACGTGAGGAAAGGAAGGCAAAAGTTTCCCCCCACCCACCCACACAAGCCAGCCAGCGTGCGCTCTCTCTCTCTCTCTCTCTCTCCCTCTCCCTCTCCCTCCCACCAGCATGACAGAAGAAAGCATTTTAACTGCATTAAGAACTATTTAGCAGCGAAACCTAAGCTTTGCCATCCCTTAAGAGGTACAGACACTGTAATCTTCCAGATCGCATGAATTTACAGGCAAAACACTGTTTAAGGATTTCATCCTTTTAAATGGAAGAAAGCATATTTGAATGCTGTGTGTCTCCAAAAACAAAAAGCAGGAAGTCAAATCAGAATTTTAAGCCGAACCTGTAATCTCTCTTCCCTTCACAAACATTGTTCCCTCCGGAGCAGGGAGAGGAATTAGAAAGACGCTCTGCTCTCCTCTCTTCTTGCCTGGAGTGGAGGGGCTTTCCCTGCTCTTTGTTCCGTTTGAGCAAACACAGCAACGAAACAGAGCAGGGTGGGCAGTAAGACCCTGAGGCAGAATGCAGGAAAGCAACAGCTTCCTCTCTCACGGAGCTCCCTTCTCCCTGAAGCGCGGTTTGATTTTTGCCTCATTTTTCGGCTCCAGGGACCACACATTCGCTGCATAACACGCACAGACATTTCCCCTTCCTTTTTAGGAGAAAAAATCTGCGTGTTATAGAGCGAAAAATACGGTAAATACTTAACTTGAGTTACCACTGTATTAAAAATCAGACTGCATTTCCGCTCAGTTGAGGTGAACGTACACGTTCTGAACATAAAACGTAAAGAAAAGCTGCAGAATGAGAGCATAGTTCATAGTTTTTACTTAAAGGGAAAGAGATTGACAGATGATTGCCAATATACTATGTTCCTGTAGTGTATTCAGTTTTAAAGTAGCAAGATGTCTGTGAATATTTTGACTTATTGTTATTATTAATTTATTATTTATACCCCACCCATCTGGCTGAGTTTCCGCAGCCACTCTGGGCGGCTCCCAATTGAGTATTAAAATAAAAACAATACAGCATCTAAGGAGCCTAGAAGTCATAATTATAATTTAAGAGGTTCCTATGATACCTAGACAACTGCATGCTACACTGTGCTAAGTACTAAAATGAAAGCATTAGCTGAAGTCAGTAGGGAAACCACATCTCCTCTACAGTTTAAAGGTGAACATATAGCATGTTGGTGCATAGGATTAAAATTATGGCCACTTTCCCCCTCCCCTGTTTTCCCGTCGTACTGCTAAAAGCTAAACAATGGTTTGGCTTAGCATTATGCCCAAACCTCAGCTTGTGATTTGTCTCTCTTTAGGCAAACCATGAGCTGTAATCAAGGTTTGTTCTTGGCTTACTGCCCACTGTTTGCCTCTGGAACACAAATCATAAACCCAGATTGGAAGGTCGTGCTTAGCCAAACTATTGCTCAGCTCCTATTAAGAATGGGGGAGGGGAAAAGCAACTAATTTTGTTCTGTGCACTAATCCCACCGTGTTATGGTTAACTATGGTTTCAAGTGGCACATGAACATTGCCAATTTCAGCCTATATTCTGAGTCTTCGGAAAATGCAATTTCCCCTAAAAAATGTTAATTGTGAGGATGGAACACTTATTGAATTATATATACCACCCTATACCTGGAGGTCTCAGGTCAGTTTACTTCCAACAACTAAGAGACATGTCACGTGGCTTGTTTAGTTATGACACTGATATAATGTTGCACATCAAATGCAAAATGTACATTTTAAAAGAATGAGCAAAATATGCATGAACTGTATACCATTTCACACCTGACACACGATGCTTTCTTTTATACTGAAACATTATATCCAGGTAACAAAAAAACCCAAACATTATAAATTGGCTGTAAGAAACCACCACCCCTTCAATAGTAACTCTTGAGTTATCTTATTAGGGAAGGGTTGTATCCAACTAGATTTGACCGAGAGCACAGCTATTGAAATGAATGGTTCTAAATTAACTTCGTCCATTAATTTCAATGGGTCTCCTCTAAGTATGATTAATATTGGCAACATTCCAAAAATTACAAGTCACAAATATTATATCAAATAGACAATAATATAATCCAGAATTAAAAAAAAATTCAACCACAATCTGGGAGAAGACAGTTAATTAAAGAAGCTAAGCTATAAAAATATAAAAGCTGAAAAAAGACTAATAAATTTTCCATAATTTTCTATTACCTCTATATAGAATCTATCTTTACAGACTATTGTTCCTCGGGGTTTTTCATTCCGCCTGCTGCTTCTGTTCTGTGATGTCATCACAAAGTAACCAGATTGAACTGGCCAGAACCTTACAAAGGGCTGCTGGGCCTAAAGTTTACACTCAAAATGCAGCTGGCTGATGAACAACACCAAAATGAGAGCAAGACAATTCAGTGTGTTCTAGATCTTTAAATGCTCTCACAGATGAAAAAGAAGAGATTATCCCTAGGGGAAGGAAGCTAAAAGATTATAATAGTGCAACTGTTTAACAAAGTTTGATTAAACCATCTATATGTCATTAGCACATTTCCCTGGTACTTTGTTTAGAGAGCACTTTTATGTTAAGCACTTAAGGAAATCTTGATAATGCTAGATATAATTTGTTTTATTTTGTTTTAAAGATGTACCTTCCGCCTCCCAAACCCTGGAAGTTTCTCCAAGAACCTCTAAACAAGGAAAATTATGAGTATTGAAATTTTGCACAGAGGGGCAATTTGGTGACAAAGTACAAAAGGAAACTTATTTTAAAATCTTTTTTTGTACTTGTGAATCAGCATCTACACAATGTGACATCATCACACGTAACATTTGATTGGCATTGCAAACTGACATACCTAGAAGAAACAGTGTGGATGAAGATGTTAGAATCTGATCTCCTAAACTATTTCTTGAATAATGAAACCCACTAGAGCCATGGCAATGTAATGTGATGTTATCTAAAACTGCATATGCTTCATAATGGCAGGAAAATGTTAAATATTTTAGATTGTATAGTCATCTAGTTTTTGCACCAAGCCTTTTAAGACAACTCGCTATCCCACAACTAAATCTATTGCTGATAGGGAGAATGAAATTCTCCTACCCAGCTATACTAATTAAATCAGAAGCACTGAAAAGCAGAGAGGGGAAGATTTCATATGAGGCTTTTTATTTGCCCCTAGGCTGAAAGGGACACTTACAAATGTGGTCATCCATCTTCAGAGGCCGTTGCAAGCGGATGTTGCCAGGAATGGTTTTATCGATCAACTCGTCAATACTCTAAAAAGGCAAGGGATAGGGTGAAAGGCATCACATGAACCGACTGCAAGTTTGAAGTTCTGCAACACCTAAGCCGCGCACCAAAAAGGGGGCATTATTGAGACAAAGGGTCCAAACAAGAGGAACGGATGAAGGGAGGAAAAACTCACGAGGAATCTTTGCTGAAGAGCTCGGGCTCATGCAGCCGAGGTTTTATGAAACGCGATTTAGATCTCTCCTCCCCCACTTTCGAAAAGCTCTTTACTCTGAAGTGAAATGAGGCCAGATGGCGTGACATGGTGGGGAAGATATTGATGTGGGGCGATGCGAAGGAGAAAGGAGAGCGGGCAGACAAAGCGAGCGCTGCCCGGAGCGCACAGAAAGAGGGGAGGCGAGGGTCAGCTTGGGGTACGGGACGGGGGCGCAAAGCGCATCAGCGGGGAGAGGGAGACCCCCGGATTTGGCTCACCGACAGCCCCACCGTCTGCAGCATCTCTCGCTTCTCTTTGTCCCCCGGGCCGATGTGCCTCTCGGAGAAGTCATCGTGCCTGGGCAGGAGTCTCTCGATGCGCCTCGAGGTGTTTGGAGAGGCGGCAGCGGCGGCGACGGCGCTTTCCCCGACGGCGCTGCTGCTCCTCCTCACCCCAGCCAGCCTCTGCTGCTCCCTGCGTCCTCCCCATCGGCCGGGCGCCTTCTTGCCCCCCAAGGCTCCGCCGTGGGGTCCGTGCAGGCTGGCCCCCCGGCCCACCAGCCGCCCCCACCACTGGACGCAAGACTGCATTGGTGACCTCGCTCGCTTGCCGCGCCCTCGCACTGCGCTTCCCCCGACGGCACCACCTGCGACTCACTTTCTGGCGGCCAGGCGCCCCCCGGGCCTCCTTATAGCCAATGGCGAGGCGAGGAGGAGGAGGGGCTCGCTCGCCCCGCCCCGCACAAGCCACCTGCTGAGAGGGCTGGTCCCCCCCCCCCGCCTGCGAGAGCCAGCCAGCGCTCCCTCCCGCTCACCCACCCACCCCAGGATGGCCTGAACCAAGCAGCGCGCAGAGGACAAATGACCCGAGGTACTGGCTTGCAGCCACGTTCTCGCCCAGCAGCGCATCATCCGTATTTTCCGCTGCTGCAGGAGGACAAAGTGCCGCTGCTGCGCTCACGGGTTTCACTGGCGACACACCACCACCGGGGGGTCCCCCTCTTTCTCTCATCAGCCTTTGCTGCTCTCGGGCTTTTATTATCAGGCAGTGTTTTCAGCGCCTGCCCCTAGCATAGCTGTCAACGTTTCCCTTTTCTTAAGAGGGAAATTCATTTATTCCGAATAGGATTCTTCGCAAGAAAAGGGGAAAGTTGACAGCCGTGGCCCCTAGGGTTCCCCTGCCCTCCCCCTACTATAATAAAATTGGACGGCCTGCGGTAATTGCCCGACCTTCTTTACTTTCCGAATTCTTAGCTGCAATCCCCTTTTCACCTCCTTCCCCTACGTGAAGTTTAACTTCAATTTCAGCAGCTTCCCCCCCTGCTGGAATCCCCCCTGACTGCTGCCGGCCTAATCTGTTGTGCGGCGTTATCTCTTCTTGCAAACACCAAGCGCTTCCATATTGGTCCCTTAGGTCAGATAAAAAAATGGGAAAAGCAGCAGCTGAGAAGAGTGGCAGCGTTTTGTGTTTAAAGAAGCACTTGCCTGCTTTCCCCTCTTACTTAGAACTGCTGCGCAAGGGTAAAACTAGGCTTTATTGCACCCGGGTCAAAGACCCAGTTTGGCACTCCTCCATGAGCATTACTGGGCTGGGATCCTCAGTGGAGCTCCTCTGAAGGCTTCACCCGGCCCCAGAGCAAAAAATCCTGCTAGCCATCCCCCCAGTTGCTACGGCTCTGGGGTGGGGCTTGGGGTACAGACCCGTAACACAAATTTGTATATGCTAATTCATAGGAATAGTTACCAGGTTGACTTTCAGAAAAGAGTGAACTGCAGCAAACTCTGGCTCTTACCTACTATGGCTTACTGTGGGCTATGGGGTGCCAACAGGATTGTCTGGGTACCCTGGGTGTAGCCAGGGGGGGCGCAGCTGCCCCCACCAGAGCAAGTAAATCAATAAAAATACTTAAGAAGGGGTTCACACATTGCATGATACTCAAAAGAAGTGTACGATCCTGTTGCACTATTTTGGCTATTATTGCTATATAACAACTTCCTCATTTACTTTCATCCTTTTTATTACATATTACAAGTTGTCATAATTTACCAACGCTTTCTTTGACTTCCCAAGTTCCACTGAGCTTTAGTGTAAGTCTGTCGTGCATCTGTCTGCGCTCATCTCCTCTACATATGAGTTTTATCTTTTCAGAAACCATTCTCCTTCTATTTTGACTTATCTCTCTCTTGCTTTGGAAACAAATTACTGAACAGCAGTAGCAGCCTCAATACTTGCGAGGGATCCTATTCCAAGGGAGTCAAGATAGGTTTTAGCAGATATTTTGAATACAAGTCTTGAAAGAATGGAAGATGTCACGCTAAAATGCCTATAGCCATGAAGCTAACTGAATTATGCTGGACAGGTCACTTTCAACCCCTGTTTTACAAGGGAGTAGAATTGTACCATAAGGTTTGGAAAATAATTGTAAAACATGACATGTACTTAGGGTTGCCTACGCAATAGTGAGCTGATAAAGAATTGCAAAAAAAGCTAATGGAATTACATCATGTAATGACATCTGCACTTGCTATGCTGACAGGGATATCCATTGGCAGTGTATTTGCCTTTCATGTCCAGAAAAGAAGTGGGAGGCAAAATTTGTTCTTATGTATACAAGTAAAGTTAGAAGTTGGCCTTCTTTATCCAAAAGTCTATTAATTTATTGGATTGTACTCGCCATGACCTCAGCCTGTCCTGCCTACGATGACAGAATTTCTGCCTTATCTATTACAAAATACATAGCTTTTCTGGCTTCACCATTATCTTTATAGAGTTGCCTTTGTTACTTGAACATCTCTTAAGAATCTCTAAAAATGATAGCCTTTCTCAATAAGTATTGCAAAATGAGAATTTAAGAAAATCAGAAATGATGAGATGGGAGTGAAATTAGGGAGTTTTCTAATCTCCTTCTCTTCTACTTAGGGCAAAAGATCACACAGTATAACACTAAATTAAAGCATTATGGATACTCTGTGCTTAGTGTTATCTAATTAAATAGCACTCACCTTGTAATGCTAAATATGGTCTAGGAATATGCTCACCTGATAAAAAAAAAACCCACTGCCTATTAACAGTGCCTACTATCAATTTTGTTATCTACTGCAGGCAATTATGCAATAAGTACAAGGACTCCCCTTGCCCAATCCTGAATTACTGGGAAATAAAATGGGGCTTTTGGCCAGATTTAGTTATTTCTAGCTTTGTGCCAGTAGAAGGTTGAGAAACTCAATGGGAAGATCCGTAGTTCTGCTTTTCTTACCCAGAGGTAAAATATATCTACTTATTTTTGTTTTTAAAATGTTCACTGAAAAAATACATTGGGAAAAGCATTTCCTTAGCATTTAAGCAACTTCTTGAGAAGGGGCATTTGTTAAAATCATCATTATATATCCTAATAGTGAACACAGCTCTCCAAGTGCCAAAACTTACTGTATTTTTTGCTCTATAAGACCCACTTTTTCCCTCCTAAAAAGTAAGGGGAAATGTGTGTGCGTCTTATGGAGTGAATGCAGGCTGCGCAGCTATCCCAGAAGCCAGAACAGCAAGAGGGATTGCTGCTTTCACTGCGCAGCGATCCTTTTTGCTGTTCTGGCTTCTGAGATTCAGAATATTTTTTCCCCTTATTTTCCTCCTCCAAAAACTAGGTGCGTCTTATGGTCTGGTGCGTCTTATAGAGCGAAAAATACGGTATATAAAAGGCACCATCCACACAAAAGAGGGAAGGGTCAGCAAGTCTGGGGAAACAGCAAGGTTTTCAGAAATGCAAATAATCTTGGGGTGGGATCTACAAGGGAACAAAATAGCACAAGGAGAACTGAGCATGCTCAGTGGCCACAGAATGCTGAGTGACTAGTGGAGGAGAGAAAACAGAAAAATGGGGAGGTGGTGGTGGTAAATGGAGTAAAGTACTAACAAAAGGAGTCTGACTGCCTGGAACCCTGAAAAGGAGATCTCCACATTGCATTGTTTTGTTGCTGGTCCTGCTTATTAAAAGTCTAAGAAAAAGAGATGTGAACAAAATGACACAGATTCCACAGCTGTACTGGGTGCAGAGCCTGGGAGGTGCCACAGCTATGATGTAGAATGAAAGGCAAGGGTGTGTGTGTGTGCCAGATTTTGGAGTCACACAGGGTGCCAATGAAATTTGAGACCCCAAAATCCACCATTGCAGATTCATAGCTTTTGCTTACAAGTCATTTCATTCTCCATACTCAAATTTCAGTTGTTCACCTTTGCTCTTATCGCAGTAACCTTACGATTGCTCCAACGGTCCTGAGTCCATAATATGCTGAGTTGTAAGCTGTGTGCTCTGCTTTCCGCGAGGGAAAAAGAGTCTTAGTGTGTACTCTTCTAAATCAAGCACCAAGTCTAATATGCATAAGGAACTGAACATTCACTTCCTGGACCACCTGGGAGGGGTACTGTCTTGGTTTTAGAGCCTGGGGCTAGGGCAAAGGACAATGACCAGCTCAGTGAGATCCAACCATCAAAACCCACAATTTCCCCAGCTTTAAGAAATCAGACACTGCTGGACAGGACTCTGAGACAGGGACATCCTCAAGGGCATTCAATGAGCTTCATGCCCAGAAAGGGATCTGAACCTAAATTCCATACATCTCAACCACCAATTGGTGATACCCACTAGCCTTAAGTGAAGTCTCAAGACTCACTTTTTTGTTTAGAATTACATCTGTAACAGTCCTCTGAACGTATTCAAACTAGAGTTACCGTATTTTTCGGGACTATTGGACGCACCGGTCCATAGGACGCACCTAGATTTGGTGGAGGGAAATAAAGGCAAAAACATTTTATTCCCCCCCCCCCCGCCAGGCGCGGGGCTGGGGCGGGGAAGCCCGAGCTTCCCCCTCCCCCAGAACGGGACCCAGAGCCATGCCGAAGCTGCGCGCAGCTTTGGCATCGCTCTGGGAGCTTGCGGGGGTGGGGGAGGAGGAAGCCTTCCGCCAGCCTCCAAACCATGTCGGGAGACAGCGGGATGGCGCGCTGCGCCCCTGCCGCTGTCTCCCGAGTTTGCGGGGCTGGCGACGGGGAGGAGCAGGCTTCTCCCCCCGCCAGCCTTCTAGCCAAGTCGGGGGACAGCGGGAAGGGCGCGCTGCGCCTCTCCCGCTGTCCCCCGAGCTTGTGGGGCTGGCGGTGGGGCTCTCCTGAAGCCTGGAGGTTGTGGGGCTGGTGGGGGGGGGAGAAGCAGGCTTGCTTCTCCCACCCCCAGCCTCCAGTTCAGGTCGGGGAATAGCGGGATGGCGGAGCGCTGCCATCCCGCTGTTCCCCGACCTGATCTGGAGGTTGTGGGGCTGGGGGGGGGGGGGAGAAGCAGGCTTGCTTCTCCCACCCCCAGCCTCCAGATCAGGTCGGGGAATAGCGGGATGGCGGAGCGCCGCCATCCCGCTATTCCCCGACCTGATCTGGAGGTTGTGGGGCTGGGGGGGGGGGGGAGAAGCAGGCTTGCTTCTCCCACCCCCAGCCTCCAGATCAGGTCGGGGAATAGCAGGATGGCGGAGCGCTGCCATCCCGCTGTTCCCCGACCTGATCTGGAGGTTGTGGGGATGGTGGGGGGGGGGAGAAGCAGGCTTGCTTCTCCCACCCCCAGCCTCCAGATCAGGTCGGGGAATAGCGGGATGGCGGCGCTTCGCCATCCCCCTATCCCCCGAGCTTGTGGGGCTGGGGGGGGAGAAGCAGGCTTGCTTCTCCCCCCGCCAGCCTCCAGATCAGGTCGGGGAATAGCGGGGGTGGCGGCTCTGCGCCTCCCCGCTGTCCCCAGCTTTTGGGTGCAGGCTGCTGCCCGCAAGCCTTGCGAGCCCGCGGGACATTCCGCCGGGCTTGCAAGACTTGGGATAGCTTCCTGAAGCCTGGAGAGCGAGAGGGGTCGGTGCGCACGGACCCCTCTCGCTCTCCAGGCTTCAGCAAAAGCCTGCATTCGCACCATAGGACGCACACACATTTCCCCTTCATTTTTGGAGGGGAAAAAGTGCGTCCTATAGTGCGAAAAATACGGTACCTTATAATGTAAAAGGTGAAGAATGTGATTTTGCCATGCTACGGTCTCCGCTGGAAGTTGAGGTAAAGTTCAATCTCTAGATAAGATACAACAGCTTAATAGTACAAACAATTAAAATGCAAATGGCTTTGAAGCGGAAGTTGGGCTAGAGCTTTGGTAAAATGAGGAAACATATTTTAAAGCATGTTGTAATCCAATTAAGACAAAATTTGGTGTACAGAGAATATACACTTGTTCAGATATGATTATGGCTGCAGATAAGCTCAACAATTTTGTTGAATTTTATTAATATATGCATGAATGAATACATTGGGCATTTATACTCCTTCCTTTAGCCAAAAAGGCTATCAAAGTGGTTTACAGAAAAGCAAGCTCAATCACAAGTTCTTAAAGCAAGAAGCAATATATATATTGCCAGAGCACAACTAAATGCAATACAGCCATCTTCTCAGAAAAACTCTTCACAAAGTTCAAGAGGTCAAGACACGAAGGCTTTAGCAACTAATCCACACCTAATGACCCACCTAAGTGGTACTCAGGATATCACTCAAGAAATCACTCAAGATATCCCCCAAGTAATTAAGGAACAAAAGAAGAAAAGGCACACTAGCCTGGGAACTTCCTCTCTGCCCCCAGAACATTGGAGGCTATACACCACACCCCCTCAACAGTATTTATAGGAACTCAAACACTGAGATCCTGCTCTGTTCCAGTAACAAGAAGCCGAAAGCACCAGCCTGAAGATGACGAGTGAGACCTCGTCGAAACGTCGCCTAGACACCCCAACTTTTACACGGGAAGACACCCGAGGACACCAAAACCTGCATTCCTGTACCCGTGAAAATCTACGAAAGCATATATATATATATATATATATATATATATATATATATATGTTTGCACAATGATACTACACTCTGCCATGAATTTATCAGATGTATAGTACAACCTATGGAAATGTTTGACATGTTATAAAATAATACTAGATTTTTACATATTTGCTGGAGATGCAAACCTATATAAAAATGAAGATATGCAATTGTGCCCAGAATGAACTTCTACTTGCATAACAGGACTTCAGGTTCCTCTCCTCCTCCCTGCCGCCTCTTGCACATCTACCAAATCTCCTTGGGAGGGTTGGGGAACCATCTGGAGCAGATTTTAAGTAGGGGTGGGGCTGCAAGAGAGAAAAGAGGAAGGTGAATTTTTTTTTTGCACCATGTTATGAATCATCATATGGCTAGAAGCAGTCAAACAACAGGTGTCATTGGGTATCCTTTGTATTTTATACCACAACTCGTAGAAAAAGATGACCCCTAGACGGTTAAGTCCAGTCAAGGTGACTATGGGATGTGGTGCTCATCTCGTTTTCAGGCTGAGGGAGCCGACGTTTGTCCAGACAGCTTTCTGGGTCATGTGAACACCATGTGGACAGGACACTGTGACGAGTGATGGAGTGCACAGAAATGCCATTTACCTTTCCGTCACAGGAGTACCCATTTATCTACTTGCACTGGTATGCTTTTGATGCTACGTTGGCAGGAGATGGGACAAAACAATGGGAGCTCACCCCATCATGCAGATTTGAACTGTCAACCTTACAATCAGCAAGCCCAGGAGACTCAGTGGTTTAGACCACAGTGCTAGTAGAACTGCTAATGATGACTAGCACAGAGAGTTTCAATATCTTAGATGTGAGTAAACATATAAATAATCTCATCCCTATCAATAATTACACACTACTGGTGGGGACCTCCCGTAGGTACCATTTTATAAGAATAGAGCCTTTAGTGTTGTGGCACCTTCCTTCTGCAATTCCTTCCCATTAAATATTAGGAACTAGTTCTGTTGTCTTTTGGTGCTTACCGAAAGTTTTCCACTTCCAACAACCCTTTCAGGTAGAGCTATTGCTTAGTCTGCATCTGCATTGGAAATGTTTTTAGATGTTTTACCATCTGTGTGTTTGCCCATTTGGGGAAAAGGGCAAAATATAAATTTAATAATAATAAGAATAAGTAGTAGTAGTAGTAGTAGTAGTTGTCGTAGTTGGATAGATAGATAGATAATATTTATTACGGCCATAGGCCCATACAGGTAAAAACAACACATAAGTGACAGCTTGTGCCGTGGGGAAAAGAAAAAAAAGTCGCTAAAACACCACTATAACAATAAATACTATAAGATGGAAAGGCATGCTACGCCTTAATTAGCTTGTAGCGCTCCTTGGCGTCGCTTTTGGGAGAGGACAGCGACCAGGAACCTAGCCACTTTCAGGGTCGTGTGGGAATCCTTATCCTGCAAGATTTGGGCAAGGTGGAATTTTGGTGGGGTACCCTCTAGTTTCTGTATGATTGATCCCAACAAATTTGCCCGTGGCACATTGAACAGGGGGCAAGTGAACATAATGTGCTGGAGGTCGTAGTTGGAAGTAGTAGTAGTAGTTGGAAGATTTATATACAAAGGCTAGGAATCACTTTCTTTTCACTTGTTCTCCTGAATTTGATCTTAGCAGAACGGTGAATTAGTGCAGAGCAGAGACAGAAGAGAAGCAAAGCAAAGCAATAATAATTGTAATTAGAGAAACAAGTAATTAAAGCATGCCCCTTCATGAGAACATAAACCGACATTGAGGCAATTAAGTGTCTACTTGGACAAACTCCCCAGTGAGTTGAATGGGATTTGCTCCTAGGTGTGTAATATGATTGCAGTCAAAGAGGCTATCCATCACTACTTTTATAGAAACAATAAACTGAACCTACAAAGTTAATGAACCTAACTGAGAACTGTTAATAACTTACATTATGAGATCTTTGTCATGAAGAAGAGCGTTGCTACATAAGACAGTTATTTTGTGCTATATTAAGAGCTCCAGTTTAGCTCAGATTCTACTTAATTTTGAAAATGCAATGCCTCAGCAGCACTGAAAAACTGTAGTGCAGAAGAAACCTAGATAACCAATTCCTTTACACCACAACATTGTATATGTCCTTTTTCATTGATTAACAAAAGCCTGATTGGGAATCTTTAATTGCCAAGCATTTAAGAAAGAAGTTTTCTCACAGTCAGGCTCAGCAAAATTAAAATAGTCCGTTTATCAGGGCAGAAAATAGAGCTATTACTGAACTTTAAAAGAAATTTCAACTCTAAACACAATTACTTATACATTTTGGATCTGGATGTAACATTTGTAGGAGTGGAAGCTCTCATCATTTATAAAAGGAAAGGCATAACACTAACTGACTGAAAGGGTATTCACAGTTTTTACAGAAGAGGAAGCTATGACTGAAAGGGTATTTAGTTTTTGTGCAATCATTTGTGCAGGACATTCTGCAAGAAGGTCAGCAAGCTTTTTGTAGACATTCACAAGCCACAGCTTTAAACAAAACCAGAAGTTTGAAAGATTGCACTTTTTCATCAGAAATACTTGGTTCAATAAAGTGTTACGAATTTATCCTTTCTTCATAAGCTTTTCCTTATGACCAACATAAGACCTCTCTCTCCCCCCCTCTCTCAAGCCTATTATAGGCACTGCCAAGTTCCCTGCTACCACTATAATCAAGAGAATTTTTAAAAACACAGGCAGGGGAAGACCTTAACTCGCTGAGGGATGAGACCTGTTGACTACCCTCAACTGGTTTAGCCAGCCAGTTGAAGCAGTTTCCTGGGGTGGGCCTGCTGTTGCATGCTGACAGCTTCTAGCAGCCACAGGTGAGAGCTGAGTGCAGGGTATGGACCAAAGGCAGACAAACTACCACAGAAGGAGCACAATGTGTCCCCCATCAGAGCTACTAGCTCTTCCCTATTACCCATACATCCCACTGAAAAAAGTACAGTTCTACTAAACATGGCTTGGCACCTGTCAAGTCCATGGAAATTATACACAGGTAAAATTATGCAGACTCAATGCAGTCACAGCACGAGAGACACTTGTACTAGGCAAATTCTTTACTCTTTACACGATTGTTGGTGTGCATCATTTTTGAATAGTCACTTGAAGATGAAGGCAACACTTTGCCTCTGAAGATGATGACAATGAAACATCTCTGAGTATTGGACAAAGTGTTCTGCCTTTTCAGCCACATACGAAGTTCCAGCAAATTACATTCAGGAAAACTATTTAAGAGCTAAGGGCACAGCTCTATGCTGGTATTAGCTAACACACTATTCAAAGAGTGCCCTGCATATTTATGTATACTCCAAGCTATAATCAGACACCTATTTCTAACAAAACTTCAGCTCTAAAGGTCAAATTTAATTACAATGCAATAATGCCTAAGCCCAATCCATAAAATTACAGTTGATAGCATAAATTAGCAGCAAACTTAGTTCGGATGCACTGCTACTTCCAATATCGATTAACTTGAATTTTTAAATTAAAAGTTCATTTCTGTTAGCCCAGCTCAGGGATTAAGATGAATATTATTGTGCTAAGCTAATTATTCAACAGAAAAGAGGTTCAAAATCATGCTTTGTTTTTGTTTTTTTAAATTGTTTGAAACTAATTGCTGATTTTTATGCAGTAGGCAGAAGTTGTTACCAATGATTTGAGATATAACATATCCCAGTTTTGGAGGCACTGAGTTAGAAGAGAAAAGTGGTCTATACATCAGCTATAACTTTATATATGTAATGTTCATGCCCATTAACTAGCAGTTGACATTAGAATGGAACCTTACCAGGTTTTGTTCAGTTTCAGCAACTATCCATAATAATCATGTCTGGAGCAGAGAATTAATATGCTTGCATATATGATATAATTTACAAATCATTTTTTAACATGTTTAAATCAAGGTAAGAATATGACTGGGCACTAACTACTTTCTGTTAAGAGTTAAAACACAATTTCTGCATAGAGAGTAGTCATTGTTGTCTCATCACTGCCATCTTGTGTTAGCACACAAGACAGAAAAACACACACCCTGTTAACAGCAACGTTAGCAGTGACACCTTGGGCTTCTTCGGGAGGAAGGGCAGGATATAAATTGAATAAACAACAACTATTTTTTTCATAACTAAGTCCCAGTCATGTAAGACGTAAAGAGGCTTAAATATCACACTGCATTGGGCTTTACATTAGCTGGAACATGTTCTACTATCCTATAGTTAAGAGAGTCTGATCATGGCAAGCTCATAAAACTGGAATAGGTTGAAAAAATGGTACAGGGAGCAATGTTATGATTTACTGGTAATGTATGTAAATAATTTATAAGCAAAAAATTCAATAGTTCATGTAGCAGAACTGACCCCCACAGTCAAAAGCGAACATATCAAGTAATCCACAGATGAAGTAAGTTATCAAAAACATTAAAAATGTTGAGATTGTTATTTCATTGATTGCTGACCCTTTTGTGCTCATCATAATATGTCCAAACTAAAAAATGTGGGATGTGATAAAAGGCTAATTCCTACAAACTCAAGGTATACCAATTTTCCCAGAAACACAATTTTATTTATTATTTCTTAAACAAATTTATAGACCGCATAAAGCTATCAAAGAAGTACGGGGTAAAAGCAGAATGAGACACAAAAACACAACTCCAAGAACAATAAAACTACCCATACAAACTCTCAAAACAACAAAACAATTTCAGCAAATATAAAATTGACCTTCCATAAATAACTGCTACAATTCAAGGAAAGCCTTCTTAAATAAAAATGTTTTTGGGAGGTACCTAAACATCACCATGCTAGGTGCCAGGCTGACTTTGAGATGGAGCTGCCACACTAGTTTCTTGTACAGGTTAGGCATACCTCTCAGGCATATGGTACCCACAACAATGCCCCATCTGAGGAGCGTAGTTGCCATAGCATGGATATAGTGGGCAAGGCCTTTAGTTATTTGCCTTTAATAACTGCATGACAGGTAGAAAGTCAACAGGTGTACTCTTTCCAGGCTGGATAGCAAAAGTTTATTATAGGCATCTTGTGCAACTAACTGTTAAGGGCACATATTCTTCGGGGGAAGGGAGAATGGCAACTTTATAGTATGAAAGTTTTCTTTTGCAGAGTAACACTTTCAAATGCACCCATCATTTGGCAAACACTTTTGTCTCAATTACAGGCTAGCAGACTTCATAACATTCCATGCTTAAAAGAGCTACAGTGGTACCTCGGGTTAAGTACTTAATTCGTTCCAGAGGTCTGTTCTTAACCTGAAACTGTTCTTAACCTGAAGCACCACTTTAGCTAATGGGGCCTCCTGCTGCTGCTGCGCCGCTGGAGCACAATTTCTGTTCTCATCCTGAAGCAAAGTTCTTAACCTGAGATACTATTTCTGGGTTAGCTAAGTCTGTAACCTGAAGCGTATGTAACCTGAAGTGTATGTAACCCGAGGTACCACTGTAGTTTCAAAGGTATTCCCAAAGAACTACTAAATTTTACTATGTGCCAATTGCAAACTAACCTGTAAAAGGAGTTATGGCACAGAAGCTCAAGGTTAGGGAGGATTATTACCATCAAAAAAATGTGATTTCTAAACACTTGGCTGCTTTTTGGCATTAACATCATGTCACAGCTCAGCATTTTAATTTTTTTATATAAGAGTAGCAAGTAAGATATTTTGAGCTTAACGACATATTCAGCCGAGAAGCTAGAAATAACGAACATAATTAGAAATCATGCCACATTGGAATGCAATGTATTTAGGATTTTTCATGCGTTTTCTTTGTGCTGTGCCACCAAAAGAAAGAGTGTGGGAGGTGCTCAAAGAGAGCATTCTTAAGTTACCACTGTATTGCCCAAGCAGAACACTGGGAGCAAGTGGAGGCAATAGTTGCTCCCTGCAGCCACCTTAATCACTCACACTCACTTGCTAGCAGGAGGGATGAGGGTGGTAAGCAACAGCCCTGTAAGGTGCAGTCACTGTTACCAGCAGTGCTCTGTTCTTAGCTGTACTGTTTTGGATTTTTGTTAAAAACCTTTTCGTTTAGCTAAGCCTACCCAGAAATGTAAAGCTGATGTGTATTTTAATATGTATTCTTATTTTATAATTATATTTTAAACTACTGATATTATTGATACTGTGATTTGTTTAGGCCACCTTCTTTTTTAAAAACTTACTTTTATTCATAATTACAACGCATATTTTATGTAAACTGCTTAGAGGTTTTTACAATCAAGTGAGATACAATTCTGTTAAATAGTAACAAATAACAGTAAACCTTAGCTTACTGGGGGGGTGGTGTATGCATGTGGAGGGCGATGCCTGGAATCTCCAGGGGAAAAAACAACCTGCAACTGTAACACTTTGTAAACCGCTTTGTAAAAAAAAAACAAGCAGTGTATAATTTTTTATGAATTCATGTCCCCCCAAAATGGCACCCTGTTGCCTAGAAGCTAGATTCCCAATATATGGGGGGAGAGGGTCATTATGGTTAATCATTCAGCATATGCTTAAAAGTACAACCATTTCTCTTATTTCCTCACATGTTCTGGCGCTAATAACAATGAATTAGGAAACCCTAATTAAAATGTATTGCTAACTTCCTGGAGAAAACCCTGTTTTAGGTACCTCAGGAACAGCCTGGTATGGCAGTTTAAGAAGTGTGGAGGCTGTCCAAGGAGGGCGGATTAATCGCAATTAAGGGTCACCCACTGCTGTTTAGCTCCGAAGGCCTTCTGGCAGTTCCCAGTGCCAGAAGTTACAGGAAACCAGGCAGAGGGCCTTCTCTGTGGTGGCACCCTCCCATCATATGTCAAGGAGATAAATAGCTATACAACTTTTAGGAAACACCTGTATCAGGAAGCTTTTAATGTTTGGTGTTGAATGAATGAATGAATGAATTTATTTATTTGAGTCACAGACCAGAAATATGGAGATATACAGCAATAGAGAACATGTAAATATACATAGGTTAAAATCATAAGCTCTATAAGTTTTATCAGAGTTTTATCAGAGTAAATAACACAGATACGAAACAATTAAAATATGCAACTGACAACCTTAACCGCTAATTCAAAATATGTGTGTTAAGACATTGGCCATTAGAGTCATTCGGAGCTTGTCTCCTTAGTTTTATAGTGGCAGCACAGAATGTGGCCACTTTTAAGGGAATCTCTGGCTCCCTGTCCCTTCTATTAGACATTTTAAGCAGCTGTCACCAGATCTGCTTAGGGTCTGTTGCATGCAAGGAGCGGAAAGCAGCGAATGTTATGTCCCCATAGTAATGACAATATTGACAGGGCAGGAGTAACAGTTTCAACTTTCTTCAAAGCACGTGGGAATATGGTTTACCTCCAATTCTGCCTTGCGGATTATTTATTTATTGAGTGGTTTATATACAAGGTGATTCATAATGAAGTATAGAGTTTCCATTTATAGCGAATGGAAACTGTATACTATATTATGACTCACCCTGTATATAATATGTGTGTATAATATTTTGAATGTTTTATGTAGTTTTTCAGTTTCATTGTTCTGCACGGGACAATGACAATAAAGATATCGTCTATGTATCGTATATATCGTGTGTGTGTTGGAAGCCGGCCCAGAGCGACTGGGCCAGGTGAGTTTCGTGCTCCTTTCTTACCTGCCTCCCCTATAGCCTCCCCTACAGCTCTGCCCGGCCTCTCACCTCCAGCTAACCGGGCGAGGGCCCCCTTCTTCTCCCCGCCACCGGCCGCCTCAGCTGCCGCGCGCTGCGCCTGACGCCGGTTCAGCCAAACCGAACTGGCGGCTACAGCGGCACCTCACGAATCCCGCGCGCATGCGCACAGCCTCTTGCTGCCAAACAGGAGCTCGCGCTCCCTTGCCTCGGAGTCTTGAAGGTCTGCCGCGCTGTTAACCCTCTCGCGGTTGCGGGGGGAATGAGGAGGAGGGCGGGCTGAGGGGAGGAGGAAACCATCGCGGGGGGGGGAATCTCTAAGGTGGGAGAGGGAAACAACAACGACGACGACGTCGTGCGCCCAGCATAGAGCCGCCAACTCTTGTTGTGGGGGAAACACACCCACCCCACGTGGCGACCCCACGACGTCCACCACCACCACCACCACTGGCTTTCTCTTCCGCACTCCACACCCCCCCGGCTAATTCCCCGCCTCATCCTCCTCAAGTCGCGAGCCTCCTTCGGTCACGTGGCCTCCGAGGCAGGAAACCCCGCCGCCGCCGCGTTCTGGCGTCACGTGACGCCACAGCGTTTGCTCGCGGCGGACGAGAAAGAGCAGAAGAAGGAAAAAAAGTGGGTGGGAAGGTGTGGGAGGAGGAGGAAGAAGCCCTTCGCCGACAGAGGTGCGCGTGCGCGGCCCGTAGCTGTCATTCCGCGTACATTAGAACAACAAGTCCCCACCAAAACGAGGAAAAAGGGGAGGGGAGGGGGGGGGACGAGCGCGAGCCAGCGCGCGCGCGCAAAGAGTTGCCGCCGCGGTCGGAAGCTTTCCGAGGAAGTGCGGTGAGGTCTTAGCAGCAGCAGCAGCAGCAGCAGCAGCAGGAGGGCTCCTCGCTTCCAACCCCCCTCCCTTCCCTCTCCCGCGCTGTTAACCCCCTCGTGCCCGGCGAACCAAGGCGGAGCGGCTCGGCGAGGCGGCGTCGGCGCCTGAGGCGGAGGAGGGAAAAGGTATATCCGGGCATGGCGGGTGGTGGTGGAGGATAGGAGGGACGGGGAGGGGTTTGCCGTGCGTCTCGTGAGGGGAGTAACAGGTGGAGAGAGGGGCGGAGGGCGGGGGGGGGGTCTCCGGAGGATGGGCTGCCGGGGGTGGGGCCCTGGGAGGAAGAAGGTGTCTCCGGAGGCCCTGAGGGAAGGAGGCTCTGCTTGTGGCAGCTGAGCGCCTTGAGGGGCAGGGAAAGGTGGGCAGCGCAGCGCCGAGGGCCGGTGTTGTGAGGGGGGAAATATTTGGGGGTTGGGTGGAGGTCGCCGTGGGACCTGGCAGGAGGGTTGGCCGGGGGGGCCTCTGAGGGAAAGGTGCTGCTCCAGGCAGTGGGGCGAATGGCTGGCCCCACTGCCTGGAGCAGGGGGTTGGACTCGATGGCCCTTGTGGTCTATTCCAACTCTATGATTCTATGGCCAAGAGGGCGACGACGGGCCCTTCTTCCATGGCCAAAGTTGGCTCTGGCAGGGTTGAGGCGCTTGGTGTCCCTGTGGATGGGGGAGGAAAAATAAGAATAAAAATAACACCGAACAAAATGCTGGGAAATGCCCGCTTGGGTAGGAAGGGACAGCAGCAAACAGCAGGTTTCGTTTCCTTGGGACTTGAGAGTCTATGGCCGCCACACACAGGAAAGCCAACCCTTTTGAGGTGCAGCTGGCTCTTTCGCCCTGGGTTTCAGTTTAAAAGAAAAACAACAACAAAAAGAAACATATCACGGTGTTTACTTTTAGATTGCATTCCTGGAATAATGAAAGCACTGAGTCATCTATAGGCTTCCTCCAAGGGTCATGTGTAAGCTGCCAGAACTGGGTGACCACAGCTGTTGTTACACTTGACTTTGCAAGAAGTTTCCAGATGTGTCTCTCATGCGAAATGTTTGTGGGTTCCTTATTGGTTTTGAAATGTTTGGTGTTGTAAAATCTCGTACTGTAATTCTCAGAAACTGAGAGATGTAAAAAACCTAAAAAAACCCCCCACCTTTTGTTCCCCACTCCTTGCTTGAAAGTTATCATACGCTAAACTAGTAGCAAGGCATCTCCTGTGTAGCTGTATCAGAGTATGATAATTGATTGTTATCTAGTGATGTCCCCCAACAGTAGCTGAAGCTCATGTTGTGTAACCAGAATGTGGTCTGTTGCTATATTATTGAAACAGCAGTCATGGCATAATCAACATAAACCGCATAATGGCTAACCATTGAACTTTCAGTGAGCCTTTTTAGTTTGTGAATGTACAAAGTTTTGTGCATTATAATCCACAATATTTGATGCCACAATCTATTAAACTTAAAAGTGTCACGAGACTTGTTTGTTAGGACATTTCCAAACTCTCTTTATACACGTTGTCACCTGACTGATGCAAATAATCCCTTGTCCAGGTGTATTCTCAGTTCTCAAGATGCAGTCCTTTGCTTCTGCAGAATTGTGTAGCTCCACCCCTATTCCACCCATTCCTGGACTGCAATTTAATAGTCTGAGAACTCTCCCACTCAAAACAGTGGAGTGCATATAAGACCGACAAAAGTAAAAAACTCCAGCAAAAGTTTTTGTTTTAAAAAAACTTCTGTTAATATAGATATATATATTTATATGTTTCTTTGGAGCTTGCATTTTCCAAAAAATATGCTAAACTCAAATTTTAAAGAAAATTGTGAGCAAACTGCTACATTTTTCTCTTCCTCTGCAATTCTAGTTCCCGTGTATTGTATCATGCTATCATGCGACTGGCAGGTGCCAAGAATGAAATCTAGATGCAGTTTTATCAGTAAGAAGGCTGAGGCAGTCACCTTAGGTAGCTTATTTTTGGTGCCATTAAGGGTGGCAGAATGAGAGGGAGACAAATCTGTTCCTCGGGCACAATTCACTCTACAAGTCTTGATGAAATGGAGAAAGGTGTGCAGCAGTATGTTCATGAGTGCGCTTGGGAGTGTTGTTTGGATCTTCTGCCTCAGGCATGGGTCAGCCCTGATAAAATCCAGGTTCAACCCTTCAGATAATGTACAAGCTCAGTCAGAAACAGTGTTTCTACTTATTTATGAAAATTGAGCTGGTGTGAATTGAGCATCACTCTCTTTCTGCAGGGTGAGGGTTTTGGTGGATTGCTTTTTACAAGGACGAAGGCAATGTGTTTTCCTTTTGCTAATCCATCCACCGGTGGGCCCCTGGGAGTGGTGAAATGCTCTTTCTTTGCTTGCTTTATGTGGGTCATGTAGATCTGAAACCTTGCATATGAAGTCACAGTTATGCCAGTCAATGTCTCTATTATCATTCTGTTACCTAAATGTTTTAGAAAATAGTATTATTTTAGAAGCATGGGGCACATTTGCAAGGGAAAGAATTGCAGATATTGTCAAATGTAACAAAGCAATGTCTGAAATACACAACAAATTCCAAGCTGACTTCTCTTTGAGTGGGTTCTTTATCATCCTTTCTCTAATCAATGTAGTAATGGTGTCTATTATTGTGAGAGTTGCTAATGCTTTTAAAGTACTGTGTTTGAATTTTTAAAATGTGAATATTTGATCAGAGCAGTAACTTTTTAAAGGAATGTGGTCAGTAAAATTGTAAAAATTAAACTTTAAAATCTTTTTGAGGTACCCAAGGGACTGTTGTATAAACTTGAAATTTGGAGCTGGAATAAATTGGAGGTCAAAATTTCCCACGTCTTGACTGAGGATTTACTAAACAGAGAGCCCCATTTATGAATTCCCATATGGGAACTTGTGTGTGAGAGTTTGCACTCAGATGTATTTTTAGCATTATTTCTAAAATGTCATATACATATACAGGTTTTGGTTCTTTGTCTGAGCTGTGTGATGATGCACATGTGTCTTAATAAGTGCATTGTAGAAACAAAGGTGGATTTTGGGCAGGGTGACTGGTTCTGCTGCACTGGGTGCCAAGCCTAGGGGGCACCACAGGATTTTACAACTTTGACGTAGTTAATTGAGCTAAAGAGAAGGCAAAAGGTGGTGTGGGGGATTTTTGCCTCTCACAGAGCACCTCTGAAATTTGAAAGACTAAAGTCTGACCCTGGTAGAATTGTAATAAATTAACCTGAGATTCTTAAAATTCTATTTTAAATGTGCTGTTATTTCTAGTAAGTAATAATCACAACACTTTTATTAGAATTTTCACTTTTCTTCTGTGTTTTGCTTTTCTGGCATGCCAGTGAGGCACCTGGTAGGAATAATCAGGATGCATTTTACACTTGTATTTTACAAACTGCTGATGTAAATAAAGAAATGCTTATAGAGTACCTCAGGGACATTAGTTAAATTGGGAATGAATGAAGTGTCCTAGCCTTTCATTCATGAGAAATAAAGGCAACAAAAGAGCTTTCAAAGCAGCTACTGTTTATAAAAAAGTAGCAAATGAACTTTGTATTATTGAAGTGGAGATACATTTGTTGCTGAAGTTGAAATGCCTTCTCTGAGCACAATAATTATAAACAAGTAGTTGGAGATGTACATACATACATACATCATTTTATTTGTATGCAGCCTTTCTTTATTTAAAACCATGCTCAAGGCACCTTGCAACATGAAAAAATACATAGTTACAAATATAACAAAAGTAGTTGTAAACAATAAATAACACATCAAGAAGTACACAACCAAATTTATTCCACATAAATGATAATAAGATCTAAAAATAAAGATACCAAAATTAATATCAATAACAGCAACAAACCCCAACTATACCCCAACCCAATATGACCTGCACCATGGTGCAACTTTCAGGCTTATAATCTGAATTCTTCTCAAAGACTGCTTTGCAACTTCTGCAGCTTAGTCCCAAATGGGACATATTGCTCTGTGATAGAGGGCTAGCCCCCATTACCATGTAAACTACATGGATTATTTTCAGTGTTGGTCATATTCTAACAGACCTATTGAAATTAATATACATTATTAACTTAGTGGGTCTACTCTGACTATAACTTGGTTGGATACAATCACATGTCCAAGCCCTCTCTGTCATCAGAACCAATGATCTCTTCTTGCTTGTCTGTGTACAGCATGATATGCATATATGTGTTCATTTTTGTGCGTGTGTCTAGATCTAATTCTGTTTTTCTTTTTTTACTTGCATCTGTACAAATTCAGTCATATGGGATTGATTGCACTGTCTCAGTTTATAAGCAGCTTCTGTCATTTTTCCTGCTGAAAAATGCAAAGCTTGATGTGCAAACCTGTAGATCAAATGGTTTAAGTCACAGCTAGGGAACTGTAGGCTTTCCTGATATTGTTTGACTCGACTCCACCTTCCATCAGCACCAGCCAGCATGGCCAGTGATCCACATTAATAGAAGCTGTAGTCCAGTATCTGGAGATCCAGAGTTCCCTTATATCAGACATAGGCAAACTCGGCCCTCCATATGTTTTGAAACTACAATTCCCAGCATCCCTGACCACTGGTCCTGTTAGCTAGGGATCATGGGAGTTGTAGGCCAAAAAACATCTGGAGGGCTGAGTTTGCCTATGCCTGCCCTATACGTGCTTTAAATTCTTTATACACAGGACTTTTAGTGGTTAAGAGCAGTAGATTCGTAATCTGGTGAACTGGGTTCATGACTCCACTCCTCCACATGCAGCTGCTGGGTGACCTTGGGCGAGTCACACTTCTCTGAAGTCTCTCAGCCCCACTCCCCTCACAGAGTGTTTGTTGTGGGGGAGGAAGGGAAAGGAGATTGTTAGCTGCTTTGAGACTCCTTAGGGTAGTGATAAAGCGGGATATCAAATCCAAACTCTTCTTCTTCTTCTTCCAATCCAATATTTATTTATTAAAAAAATAATCCTCCTTTTTCCCCTTCCAAAGGAGGTGTTCAAAGTAGCTAACAAAATATAGAAGCAACCACAAAAATAACAACCCCATACTAAAACAGCTAAATATCAAGTCTTTTACCAAAAACTGTATGTAAAAGGGGGGAACCCAGAGAGCTAGAGCTTGCAGTTGATTAGTTTAAACAGCATCAGAATCAGAGACTTGTTTAAAAAGAAAAATTTTCAGATGCCAGCAGCATCTTGATAAAGAAGGAGTTGATTTCGTCTCTTGGAGCAGGGAATTTCACATATGGGGGGCATTGCCACATAACAAGCCCACTGCAGGGGATGGGCCTTGAAGTGGCTGATCCCAAGTAGTTTAGATCTTAAAAGATAATAATCAACCCCTTGAATTATACTTGGAAAGAAACCAGCAGCCAGCGTAGCTGTTAGACTAAAATGGTTGCATGGTCCTAACACTCGGCCCAGTTAAGATTTTACTGGCAGCATTCTTCAGTGATTTTAATTTCCTAGTGGTTTTCAGGGACAGGCCCACCTACAACATGTTACAGTGTTCCAATCAAGATGTAACTAAAGCATTTAGCACCATGGATAAGGTTAATACTTGCTTTATTTCCCACAGTTTAATTTATTCCATTGGCAGTACAGCTCAGTGATCCTAATGTTTAGAATATGTTTTTCACAAATAGAGGACATTTTTCACTTGTCAAAACATTTTTGTTCATTCTGCTAGGCTGCAGTGTGCCAGTGCATATTACAGTATGCTAAATGCATTATGCAATATATGTTCAGGCAACTGTCAATCTGCTGTCAAATCAGTGAAACTTAAGTTTTTGTCTCATTTTTTTGTGTGCTATGAAAATGAAAGTTAGCTTGTGGTAGTTTATAACTTGACAGCTTTGTTGCAAAGGTTTGTGCTCAACAAGAGGTGATGCTCTTGCCTTCCCTTGTTCAAAAGAAAGTCACAGCTGGCATAATCTAATTTGGACACGTGAGATTTCACTAAATGTAGCTGAGTTGGAGCCCATTTTTCTTTGTTATGAGATGGAGAAGTAATATGTAACATTATATTCTGCTTTGCCTAGATTGAAACTAGAGCATGTAATTAAACATAGTGTATGGCATATGCTTTTTGGTTTGTTAAACCTAAGTGGCTATTATATTTATCTAGCCCAGCATTTATACTGGAGGGCGTGTGGCTTGCTATTCTTTCTGACAAGTTATTTTAAGTTTGGTACAGCTAGCTTTTGCCACCAGTTCAATCTCCTGCAAATTGGGAAATAATTGCATCTAACCCTGAGATGGGCAACAGGTAACTTTCTCCCATTTTTTAAGTCTGAGTTTGAACTGGGGTGATAACAGCACTGCTACTACCGATAAATATATGTTTGCATATTTGGTTGGTAGAGCTGATTGTTCTGCCGTATCTATGCAGGGTGGATAAAAATCAAAGATTTAAAAATAAATTTAAAAAATTAGGATTTTTTTTATTTTAATCAGATTTTTAAAATAAAATGCTTTTGGAGGAAAAGTCTTTCTAAAGATAGTTTTCTATTTAAGTTACATTATAGTCCAAAGGCTATTAATCAGGAAATAAGGATTTCTTTTAAGTTTTTCATGTGTGCTAAAACTCAGTCTATTTTTTTAATAAAAAAAAGTTTAACCATATCAGTTAACAAACATGGATACATATACTATAATGTTACTGCTTTAGTTAAATAAATTGTTATCAAGGAAATGATTATTTTTCTCCTTCCAATAAAGTACAGCAGAAAAGGTGTCCAAATATAAACAGTTAACTTATTAAACCTCACAGTAATTTCATAATTATCTTTCTATGTATTTCTGATAGTATAACCAAATCGGTAATTTCTGATATACTGTAACTGTAAAAACTACTCTGAAAATTTATTATTCCAAAAATGAAACCTTTCTCTGGTTGTAAATATTAAGATCATACCATCAGGAATGAGTTTTTATGTAAAAAAATTTTTTTTAATCAAGTCTTACTGACTAGTGATTTAAATCGCGATTTAAATAATGGTTTAAATCGATTTGATTTAAATAAAACCCACCCTGTATCTATGTATTTTGGCATGTTAACAAGAACATAAAAGGAAGGCTTGAAATGACTATGCTCTGGCAAGTTAAAAATACATTAAATTCATGAGCAGATGCTTGGTTATAAGAATGGAAGTTCAAATGTACTTCTTCCTTCTTTAGGAACTTAATTTTGCTGATGCAACAATGGGATTGTATGGAATAAGGTTGCAGAAGCCTCTCCATCCCTATAATGACTTTGGATTTAATAATAATGACTTTACTATCAAAAGACAGAGATACAGATAACATAAACATTACACGTTTTTGCAAACAGTGCCATTTCAGTCCTCTAACAGTCTTCCAGAGCAGCTTTGGCGGATGACGCTTCTGCCCTTTGCTACAGTTTTCTGTTGAGAAATATAGAACAAGGAAGACTTTTGCTACCTGCACATTAAAAGTCAAAATAAATTTATTCTAATCAGGAGCTTCCCCCCAATATTGTAACAGTGAAACTTCTGTCAGGTTTCAGCTGCATGATGTCTGTTGGAATAAGTTTAATTTGTTTTCATATTACAGCATCTTTTTACAAACACTACTGAGTTCTTAACACCAGTTTGCATTAGATATTTGTCTGGAGCTGCATGTTTCATCTGTCAGTTATATTCTGTTTGCTAAAAACTTTCAGTATAAAATAGTTATAAACTTAGATTGCATATTTTATTAAATTGATAAAAATGTATTGCTATGTTTGTAAATATATAAAGGTTTATTATTATACACTTGCATTAATACAAATTATCTCTCTCCTGCAGTCTCCTGGTACATAAGTGGACAGTGACCTGTTTGTTCCGGTTGATGTAGAAGACAGGTGTCAAATCAGCAGGTAAAAGCCAATGTTTAATCTGTTCACAGCCTCATACGCTTATTAGGAGTTTGTTAGAATGCCAAGTAATGTATTTTCTCCTAAGCTTTTCACTTTTGAACAGCAAATACATAAAAGGCTGCATATTTATTGTTGGACTCTTGTGCTCTGCTAAATCCTAAATTACTTAGCGGTATTTCATAAAGCAGGAGGTCATCCTATATGAGCAATGAATGATATTACTGCTAATGCTTTTTTAAAAAATGAGGAAGTTGCCTACATATGGTGGGATCTACATAAATCCCCAGCACATGGGCAGAAACATGCCAGGGAATTGGAGTCTTGTGCAGTTTTCAGAACTTGCATTCCTTCATTCAGTGAAGGGCTGAATTGGGCATGAAGTTGCACAGAGGAATTTGCATTCCACATAATGGCCTGGTTTGCTAAATGCCTGTACACTGAAGACAGGGCCAGCCTATGGGTGTCTGTGGAAATAATTTATTATTTTGAGGAGGAGGGAAGTCTGCTACTTGTAACTACAGGATATTTATTTGAATATTTATTGTCTTCATATGACTGAACCCCATGCATCATTACGTAGTGCCAAAGGAAAGCAACAAGAGCCAGTGTGGTGTAGTGGTTAAGAGCGATAGGCTTGTAATCTGGGGGAACCGGGTTCGCGTCTCCGCTCCTCCACATGCAGCTGCTGGGTGACCTTGGGCCAGTCACACTTCTTTGAAGTCTCTCAGCCCCACTCACCTCACAGAGTGTTTGTTGTGGGGGAGGAAGGGAAAGGAGATTGTTAGCCGCTTTGAGACTCCTTTGGGTAGTGATAAAGCAGGATATCAAATCCAAACTCCTTTTCTTCTTCAATGAAAAACAATAATGGGCTGCGGCTGATGATGATGATGTATGGAATTAGGCATTTCAGAACTAAATTCTGCTTTATTTTTGCATTTAGCAATAATGGATAAGGCACTTGAAAGACGTACAGCTTCACTTTGTGCAGTTAACAATACTGTAGGACTCTAAACCACATTAAAAACCCCTAAGGCTGACCTTTTACACAGAAACTGCCTGGGCTATGATAAATGCCAGACATAAGCACTGAAAGCAGCCAGACTGTTTTGCTAACACTTATCAGTCGATAACAAAGACGCATATAAGACAAAGTGGATCATCCTTTAAACAAAAACTAGAGTATTTGAGGGTCTTGATTGAAACAATGAATAACGTCTTTTATAAATTTCTCCTTGGGATGTGTCTTCAACTTGAGTTGTGTTCCCAACATTGTTTCCTGTCCATTTTTGTTCCTAACCTTGTCTTCATAACCACATATTTGTATTATGCACAAGCAATCAATGCAGGAGAAAAGAGGCACAACATGATCAGCAGTTGGATGCAGTTGCATTGATATAATGTATAAAGCATTTACAATATTTTTTTTACTCAAATACACTGCTGCATGACTAACAGTGTTTGTGTTTTACCAGGCATAAATCTGAGCAGCCATGGCTGCTCAATCCTTGGACCCTCCTCCAAACCCCAGCTGTAAAATCATGACTTTTCGGCCTACAATGGATGAGTTCAGGGACTTTAATAAGTACTTGGCTTACATGGAATCAAAAGGTGCTCATCGTGCTGGACTGGCAAAGGTAAATCCTTTAAAATTCTGTGTAGAGCAAAGAACCACCAATTTTAATACGTACACTCCGTATAAAGTTCTCATAAAGATTATACATATCATTATAAAGATCTATCAGATAGCTAGATAATACTAATACGCAAATGACTTAACAAACAATATATCAAATGTCACAATGCGAATGAAGTATAGCTGGGCGGGAAATACTGCCAAATATCAGAAAAATGTTGCATGGGTTTGGCTTTACCAACGACTGCCTGAAAAGGTTACACAACAATGTATATAAAATTCTGTATTTGTTGGGGACAAAGTTGGTACTCATATTCTATTACTACAATTTATAAGCTACTCACTGATACATCCTGCAGTAAAAGAATAATGAATGAATAGCTATTGTTTTTTGTTTTTTAATTTATTTACAAATTTTCCCAAGACGTTTTTATCTGATGGTAATTTTCCTCCAAAGCCAAGTGCTTTTTCAGTTTTGTTTCTTTTAGTATGTCTTTTTCTACAGGAAACAAATTAAAATGTATTCGTTTTCACTTGTTCTTACATATTTACATTCTGTTACATTCCCTGTTACATTCTGGGGCCTCAGAAGTACACATGGAACATCCTTTGCTAGCAAGGGTTCTCCATTCTCTTCTGTAGAAAAGACAGATCTCTGCATACAGAGGGTTTCACGTGCATCTTCTCAGGGGAATTTTTCTACAAAGTGAAATGCTTTGTAGATTTATATTAATAGCTTGTTCGATACCTTGGTTTCATATATAATGTTATGCATTAGATAAATATAAAGGAACAACTCTCTTGGGTTATTGTTTTGCACACTGGAGACCTGTGTCGTGAAGTATGCAGGTGTTTTCTAAAGGGGTGCAACACAATACTGCTAATGAGATCTTGACTAAAGCTAGAGAAAGAACCAAACAAAACTGGCCTCCTGAGATTGTATTGCTTCATAGTTGCAACCTAAAAATTATGTAGTATGTCTTCAGTGATTATGGCATTTAATTTTATTATAATAATAGTAAGAGACTGCAGATGTAATATTTACATTAGCTTTTCTGTGGCAGCTAAAAGAAATCAGTGGACTGACTATACATTATTTGATATAACATATACAAACTCTCTCTCTTTTCTTGTTGCACTAAAATGTCCAAAGCCAAGAGACATGACACCAAAACAAAGAATAACCCTGATTTCCTTGATTGTGGTAATATCCATCTTTTGTCCAATATTATACAGTGGTACCTCTGGTTACGAACGCTTCAGGTTACGAACTCCACTAACCCAGAAGTAGCTGCTCCTGGTTGCGAACTTTGCCCCAGGACACGACTGGAAATTGCGTGCCGGAGGTGTGCGCACAGTGGGAGGCCCCATTAGTGAAAGCGCTCCTCAGGATAAGAATGGTTTCAGCTTAAGAACGGACCTCCGGAACGAATTAAGTTTGTAACCAGAGGTACCACTGTATTGGAATTAGTAATGGATGCATTTGGATTCTGCCATTATAATGCAACAGTTAGGATAGTTGGTCAGGGTAAAGTATGTTGTAATAGGGATGGGTGGGTTTTTCCCCAGTAGTGCTGAACTTATTTGTCCTCAATTCCTCCAGGCCTATTTCTAAAGTAAACACAGCATACCATGTAATCTTTTCTATCTGATGTGTAATGCATGATGCAAAACAACATTTTATTAACATGTTGGCATTTTTATTTGAATATTGATTACTAAAACTTGTAATATGTCCTAGCAGCTATATAGTAGTATGCAGTTTGAAAATTAAAACCAGAATTATTTTTTCTTTTAAAATGTCCTATTTACAGTGGTGCCTCGCAAGACGAAAATAATCCGTTCCGCGAGTCTATTCGTCTAGCAGTTTTTTCGTCTTGCGAAGCAACCCTATTAGCGGTTTAGCGGCTAAAAGCCTATTAGCGGCTTAGCGGCTTAGAAATAGGGGGGGGGCGGAAAAAAATCGCAAGACTCGCAAGACGTTTTCGTCTGGCGAAGCAAGCCCATAGGGAAAATCGTCTTGCGAAGCAACTCAAAAACGGAAAACCCTTTCGTCTAGCGGGTTTTTCGTCTTGCGGGGTACCACTGTATCTGGTCTGCATCTCATCAGTGAGAAGTGACTTTGTTAAAAGGCTGCATATGGTGTTAGTTTTTTAATATAGTGTGCATTTTTAGTAATGACTGTATTCTTCTGGAAACCCTAGTCCATAATTCACAGAGAAAGGATCTTGAAAGTCACGCTTTATGCTGCAATCCTATATACATTTACATGGGAGAAAGTCCCATTGAGTTAAACAGGAATCACTTCTCAGTAGAGAGGCATTGGATTGCATTGTTAGAGGATGAGTCAATATTATTAAGACTATGGTTTTAAATTATATCAAGTATTTTTTATCAAAATATTCATAAAGTGACTTACAATTACAGCAAAACAGTAAAATAAGGTACATAATACTGAACAATAATAGGAGAATCAAAGTAAGGAACAGTCCAGCAGTCATGTTAAAAAGCAGAGAACAATGATTAATCAAGTACTACAAGAACACTGAAACAAATAAAGGTGCACTTGTGATCCGAAGTTGATGAAGTAAGGATACATGCTTTTTGGTCCTAGGGGCCTCTTTTAACATTGACGGTGAAATATTAGCAGTATAGAGTAGAATTTCAAGCATACAACATAATTTTAAACGATAACCTGCAGAGGGTCATCTACTTATCAAGCAGATTAAGTGGCCACCTGTGTTGTGCAATCAACATTTTTATTTGATTTATTGTATTTGTGCCGCTTTTCATTCAACTGAGTCTCATAGCAGCTTACAAACAATAAACACAATAACATAATAAAGCATAATAGAACATCACAAAAACATAAATCTTATGAGATAATTAACAAATCCTCAATAAAACAATTATGATCTAGAAAACACTTAGCCGAAAAGCAACTAAAAATAATTACAACAAAAGTCGAATTACATATTACAATACAGCTTTCATAATCTATAAAATACTAACATTAACAAAATAGCAACTAAAAAAAAAAAGCTAAACACAGTTAAGTTCAGACACACGCTCTACACACCCGTGTGACTCTTTTCATTTCATTAAAACATACATAAAATACACATAGTGCTTGTTGTTAAGCCAGGACAGCCAGATGCTGCATTGGCTGGTATCCTCAGGAAGTGGGCCGTGGTGGAGATGAAGGGGCTGTTGGGCTTACCGCCGATGGTAAGGTTGACTCTGGGTAGCCTGCCCAGGTGCCATTGATGAGGAGCTTGCACACATCCCTCTCAATAATCAGGAGATCCATTCCCACTCAACCCTGTCCTTCTGGAGTGGCAAGTCATGGCTGCACTCTGTGTAGAGGTTGACCAGGAGTGTCACGGGCGGTCAAAGTTCTGGCGGAGGACGTCGGGACTGGGGGCAAGACGGCGTGGGAGCAGGAACGGGAGTCTGGAAGCCAGGAGCCAGGAAGCTGAGGGTCAGAGTGCCGGGAGTCAAGAAGCCAAGGGTCCGAGGGTCAGGAAACCAGGAGTCAAGGGTCTGAGGATCAGGAAGCAAGGAGTCAAGAAGCCAAACGTAGCAAGGCAGGAAGCATGTTGCTGTGGCAATGAGCCAAAGGGAAATGCTGACCTTATATCCCTTCCCGGCTCTTGTCATCAGGTGCTGTGAGTTACCAATCGGCCTCACCTGTGCAGCCACACCTTGCCTCTTGAGAACAAACTTAGGAAAGCCCCAGTCCTGCGAAGCCCTACCGGTCACAGGGCCTGGCTCCTGCACGCACTCCTGACAAGGAGGTCCAGCAGTGCCTCCATGCTCGGGATGCTCTCGTTGCACGATGGTTCATCTGCCAGCTGCATCTCCAGCTTCTTCAGCTGAACCTTGGCCTATATGGTAACAGAAGATGAGGTTGCTGGTAGAGGGAGGGAATGGGGCAGCTAGCTGAATCCACCAAGTGGTAGGGAGATGCCATGATAAAGATGCTGAGAGAGCCTCAGCAGGATCCTGGTGGCTTACAGCTGTTGACTTGAAGCTGCACCTCATTCTTAGCGTCCAGGCTGCTACCCATGGAAGGCATGAATCACAGGGCATCAGCTGGTGAGAATGGAAGATGAGAGGTAGGGGTGGGCTGAGGAGCTGGAGAGTGTGGAAGTGGGGATGCTTCTATCTCCATGTCTTCGGGCTTGCTCAACTGCTGATCCCTGGGCTTCTGGTGCTGTTTTTGTTGAAGCCAAGTGCTTGGTGACCTTGGACTAGTTATCTCTGTGTTGTTTTTCCTTTCAGAACCAGTTTTTTTTTTACTATATAATGTATGACTTATAATGCTGAAATTCTTTGGGATGGAAACTGACTCAATATGTTTTCATGGGTAGTAGAGTACAGTGGTATGTTGTTAAATATAAATTCTCAGAAATTTATTCATGTTGGCTCCAAGAGAAGATACTGTGAGAATTAAAATAGTTTGAGCTTTGTGGCCTCAAAAAAATCATCACTGACCTTGAGTTAAAGAAAAGCATGCAAATGTTCTAAATTCACCGTGTAGCCCAAATCACAAGTGCATGCTTAATAGTCATGAAAATGAGAATTGCTATGCACATATTTGATTTTTAAGCATACATCTTAAATGCACGGTTTCTCTACCTCCCTAAGCAATATTTAGTTCCTTTTCAAGTGTGCATACATTTTCTGAAAAATTGTGGAATAAATACTTGTGCAGAGCATCTTACTGAAGTCCTTACATGGCTAAAGCTTCTGTCATATGTTTTTACCTGATGCACATAAATGAAGAGACATGTACTAATTTCAGGATTTTACTTGCCTACATTTTCACAATTTCTTTTAAGGGGCAACATCTTTTGCTGAAATTAATTTTGTCATGTATTTTAGAATTGTGCAGTTTAATGTAAAGACAATCCAGTCTGAAAGCACTTTAAAAAGACCTTCAGTGTATTAATGTTTATCTAGAAAACAAATCAATGATGGATTTAGGGTGGTGCGAGCAGTCCCCCCCAGGGTGCTGAGCCACGGGGGTGCATCATCATACCTTTATTTGTAGAGATAATGTACAGGTAAAATATGGGTAAACTGTACCTAAAGGAATTATTGTGAAAATAAGAAATACTTGGGCAGGAGCACTATATTTTGCCCTTGCTCAGGGCACCATACTACCAAAGTCCACCCCTGAAGAAATTCAGGCTTTTTGTCAACAAAAGAAAAACTTGTGACCATATGCCGGCATCCCTCAAGGCACTGTTCAAGTGTGTTCAAGCTTAGTTCCGTGGTGTAAACTACTTTGGTCTTGGTCCAGAGCCCCAGAATATGGAAAACCTTATCTAAATTTTGTAGACCAATGATCTTCAGCATGTCAAGAGTCAGGACTCACTTGGCACAGGGCACAAACTTCCAAGACTGCAGGCCTGTGCACGTGGAGGGTTGGGCTAGCAGGGGGGAAAATGCTGTTAAAGTACAGTGGTGCCCCGCAAGACGAATGCCTCGCAAGACGAAAAACCCGCTAGACGAAAGGGTTTTCCGTTTTTGAGTTGCTTCGCAAGACGAATTTCCCTATGGGCTTGCTTCGCAAGACGAAAACGTCTTGCGAGTCTTGCGATTTTTTTCGCTCCCCCCTTTTTCTAAGCCGCTAAGCTGCTAATAGCCTTTTAGCTGCTAAGCCGCTAAGCCTTTAATAGCCGCTAATAGCGCTAATCCGCTAAACCGCTAATAGGGTTGCTTCGCAAGACGAAAAAACCGCTAGACGAAGAGACTCGCGAGAACGGATTATTTTCGTCTTGCGAGGCACCACTGTATACAATTTGTCCACATGCTTACAAGTATCCTTCTATCAAGCAGTGCATCTGTCCATGAACCTAGGCCAAGAAACACAATCCTTACACAATCCAGACTACAGTTGTGTCGCAAGAAGAAATTAAAGTTCCACTAGTTGAGAGCCATTGTAATTTGCAAAGTTAAGTCACATGTATAAAACACACAGTTTATTTCTTTAAAATATTCCTGAGCAAGTTACAATTAAAATACAAATCCCTGTGCTCACTACATCCATGTATAAAAGCAAGGCAGATAAATTAAACCAGAAAAAAGTAAAAGGCAACATATTACTAAAGAATTAAGCCATAAATTGTTCTGGTAAATCACTCATTTTGGTGAAGAGAAGCACTGAGGTCAACAGCTTCTAGTCCAAATGACAATTAGCTGATTCATGGAAGATAATTCAAAACTCATGTAAAACACAATACAGTTCACATGAATTGTGATTGTGTGTGGGTCTGGCCCTGTCCACTACTAGAAAGTAGTCCCTGGCAGCTTTTCACTTAAGTAATGCAGTTCTTTACCTAAAAATATACTCACACCTCCTTTACCTCGTCTCTGAATTCCTGCCCTTTAATTTGTCCTAGGATCTCTTTCCAATCCTCTGGCTGTCAGAAAAGCTATTCTTGTCCCAAGAGCCCCATGTGGGGTTTTTAATTCCTTGCAAACTGACAACTTTCCCTTCCTTTACAGAAATTGATCTGCAAGTGTTCCAAGTGCTTTTGTCCCCAGAGTACTTGGAACACTTGTGAATGTGTTGTGCCATTATGGCATCTTAGCCAATTAGTTTAATATTCACTGCCACAAGCAAAATGCAATATAGAATGCCTGACAGTTCTTTTATAAAACAGTTATCATAAAGGTAAAGGGACCCCTGACCATTAGGTCCAGTCATGACTGACTCTGGGGTTGCGGTGCTCATCTTGCTTTATTGGCTGAGGAAGCTGGCGTACCGCTTCCGGGTCATGGCCAGCATGACTAAGCCGTTTCTGGCGAACCAGAGCAGCGCACGGAAACACTGTTTACCTTCCCGCCGGAGCGGTACCTATTAATCTACTTGCACTTTGACATGCTTTCGAACTGCTAGGTTGGCAGGAGCAGGAACCGAGCAACAGGAGCTCACCCCGTCGCGGGGATTTGAACCACCAACCTTCTGGTTGGCAAGTCCTAGGCTCTGTGATTTGACCCACAGCGCCACCTGCAACCCTTCAGAGTTAGCATAGGTTGGCCTTTATTCATAATTTGGAGTTAACACAAATATTAGCCTGTGGCTATTATGCCACTGTTATTTTCACCTTCTTTTTCTATCATGCATAAGGTAATATTTAACACAATGTAACACATTTTTCAGAAATTAAAATCCAGGATCAAATATTCTCTCTGTTAAAACATTGGGCACTATGGCTGCACGCCAGGGGTATCTAACCTGTGTCCCTCCATATCTTGTTGGACTCCCAACTCCCATCAATCCCATGGCCAATAGCCAGGGATCACAGAAGATATAGTCCAGCAATATTTGGAAGAGATAATCTGGCCTTATTATGGACCAAATAATGCACATTTAGCAAAGCTTTTGACTCCCTCTTGAGATATAGCAAGAAGCTTTGGCACTGATACTATAGAGCAGGAGGCTGCTGTTCAAAGAAAACGAATAGAAAATTCCACTGGTAAGCAGCATTCTGGCAACTAATATCTGCCATTAGGCCACCAAATCTACTGGCTTTACATGAATGTTGAGTTTTCCAGATAATATTGCTGGCTTTCCTTATATAGAATTTCATTAAATGCAACTCTTTGTTTTCATCCTTTTAAACCTTCTTTTAAGTTACACTGGCTCCTGTTAATATGCTGTTCCTCTAAATTTCTAGGTGATTCCCCCCAAGGAATGGAAGCCAAGAAAATGCTATGATGACATTGATTCTCTGATTATACCAGCTCCAATTCAACAGATGGTTACCGGGCAATCAGGGCTCTTCACTCAGTACAACATTCAGAAAAAGCCAATGACTGTGAAGGAGTTTCGGCAACTTGCCAACAGTGACAAGTAGGTATAGTCATTCAGTGCCACCACAAGGTGGAGATTATGTGGCTGCACGCTTAAGTTACAGTTTTACTTTAGAGTAATTAAGTCATGTATACTGTAGGTAATCTATAGATTGCAGTTTATGGTTTCTAAATAAAAGCTATAGTTTAAGAATGCATGCAAATGCACACTTATGCTCATGTGTGCATTTCCCCCCAATAGAATTCAATAAAATTCCTTAATACATGGCTTCTAAGGGCTAATAAAAACACATTCCTCTAATTTTTACCCTTCCACTTTTTCTGCAAACCCTCCACACAGGCTGTTCCGCAGACAGTTTCTATTCTCAAGGTCACACAGCTTTTGGAGATAGGGAAAGTTTCACTTTAGAAACTATATCGATATACCTTTTATATTATTGGTTCTTTGGTAGGAGGCTGCCTAAAACTATTAGAAAATAAGCTGATAGCAGTATTTTGATTTCAATTTAGAAGCAATGAATGTTGTCAGCCTGCTTGCACAATTGGACTTCCTCTCCTCCTACTTGCAGTGCCTGGTGTTTCCACAAAATCTAACCTGGATGGTTGGGAAAATCTTTTGGAGCAGGTGGAGGGCTGCAGTGGGCTGCAGAAGGAAAGGAAACTCCTACTGCATTTGCTGGAAGACTGTTGAGTTGCCAGAGAAAAGACCTTTCAGCAAAGCAAAGCTAGCAGCTGTAGTTAAGTCAAGTGAAATATGAATTATCTTAATGTTACTTTTAAGAGTGTTGCAAGAATTACTTTTATTCCAAAAATTCCAATATTTGGTTATGGTTCATATATAGTATCTCGTATCTAACTCTTGTACAGTGGTACCCCGCAAGACGAATGCCTCGCAAGACGGAAAACCCGCAAGACGAAAGGGTTTTCTGTTTTGGAGGCGCTTCGCAAGACGAATTTCCCTATGGGCTTGCATCGCAAGACGAAAGCCCATAGGGAAATGCTGGCGGTCGGGAGCAAAGACTTTCGCCCACAGCCAGCCTTCAGAAGAGGACCTCTTCTGAAGGCCGGCGGGGGGCAAAAGTCTTTGCTCCCCCCCGCCTGCCTTCCCCCCGCCTGCCCGGGGCGATCTTAAAATGCTGGCGGGCGGGAGCGAAGCGTTCGCTGCCGACCCCCAGCATTTTAAAATCTCCAAGGGACAGCAGAGAAGTCTCTGTCCCGGGGAGATTTTAAAATGCTGGGGGTCGGGAGCGAAGCGTTAGCTGCCGACCCCCAGCATTTTAAAATCTCCCCCTGTCCCGGGGAGATTTTAAAATGCTGGGGGTCGGGAGCGAAGCGTTCGCTGCCGACCCCCAGCATTTTAAAATCTCCCCGTGTCCCGGGGAGGTTTTAAAATGCTGGGGGTCGGGAGCGAAGCGCTGCCGACCCCCAGCATTTTAAAATCTCCCCGTGTCCCGGGAAGGTTTTAAAATGCTGGGGGTCGGGAGCGAAGCGCTGCCGACCCCCAGCATTTTAAAATCTCCCCGTGTCCCGGGGAGGTTTTAAAATGCTGGGGGTCGGGAGCGAAGCGCTGCCGACCCCCTGCATTTTAAAATCTCCCCGTGTCCCGGGAAGGTTTTAAAATGCTGGGGGTCGGCAGCCCGACCCCCAGCATTTTAAAATCTTCCCGGGACACGGGGAGATTTTAAAATGCAGGGGGTCGGCAGCGCTTCGCTCCCGACCCCCAGCATTTTAAAACGCTGTTCCGAAGGGGGGTGGTGGGGACACCTGCCCCAGCCGCCCCACTTCGGAAAGCTGTTCCGAAGTGGGGAGGGGGGGCGGGGACACCTGCCCCAGCCGCCCCACTTCGGAAAGCTGTTCCGAAGTTGGGAGGGGGGCGGGGACACCTGCCCCAGCCGCCCCACTTCGGAAAGCTGTTCCGAAGCGGGGAGGGGGGGCGGGGACATCTGCCCCAGCCGCCCCACTTCGGAAAGCTGTTCTGAAGGGGGGAGGTGGGCGGGGACACCTGCCCCAGCCGCCCCACTTCGGAAAGCTGTTCCGAAGCGGGGAGGGGGGCGGGGACACCTGCCCCAGCCGCCCCACTTCGGAAAGCTGTTCCGAAGCGGGGAGGGGGGCGGGGACACCTGCCCCAGCCGCCCCACTTCGGAAAGCTGTTCCGAAGCGGGGAGGGGGGGCGGGGACATCTGCCCCAGCCGCCCCACTTCGGAAAGCTGTTCCGAAGTGGGGAGGGGGGGCGGGGACACCTGCCCCAGCCGCCCCACTTCGGAAAGCTGTTCCGAAGCGGGGCGGGGGGCGGGAACACCTTCTGAAGGCGGGCAGGGGGCCAAAGTCTTTGTCCCCCCTGCCTGCCTTCCCAGGGGCTTTTAAATTGCCCCGGACAGCGGAGAAGTCCTCCGCTGTCCGGGGCGATTTTAAAATGCCGCCCGCCAGCATTTTAAGATCGCCCCGGACAGCGGAGAAGTCCTCCGCTGTCCCAGGGTTTTTTAAAATGCTGGGGGTGGGAAGAAAAGCCCTTGTCCCCCCCCCAGCCTTCAGAAGAGGTCCGGGGACAGACTGTCCCCGGACCTGGTCTGAAGGCGGTTTCCCTCGGAACGCATTAATTGATTTTCAATGCATTCCTATGGGAAACCGTGCATCGCAAGACGAAAAAACCGCAAGACGAAGAGACTTGCGGAACGAATTAATTTCGTCTTGCGAGGCACCACTGTATTTGGTTTTCTACATTTGTGATATGCAAGATAAGCCCACTAAAAACAGTCAGAGAAGAACTATGGTATTAAACGAGACTGCATAGATTATAGGAAATGGCATATGCATTTGAGATAGGCTTGGAAAAATGAATTTGCTCAAAAGACCTATGGTACAACACAATATAACTGGAATGAGACAAATAGATGAATGCATACAAACCGTTTCTATGCTATTTTTTCGCACTCTGGTTTATATTCATGTACTTTAGCTAGAGGTGCTTCAAAATTATCTGTCTGCGTTGGCATAGTGAGGTTGAGGGATAGGAGAAGGAAAACACCAAGTCACCTAGCACAATTTGTTGACTTGGATAGTTCAGCCAGTTCTTGATATTAGTTGGTAATAGAGCCAGATTCTTGGGACTTTCAGTACAGTAGATAAACTTTGCAGGAAGACTCCCCTCCCCATAAATAATATCTAAAGTTCCTTGTTCACTTCAGGTGTAATAACATGTCACCCCTGATAATAATAATCACATAAGTTTTACAAGACACACAACAAATTTATAACTGCTGACCTTTTGTAACTAATTCCTTTCTTCTCCTCTCTTTTCAGATATTGTACCCCAAGACATTTAGACTATGAAGACTTGGAGCGCAAATACTGGAAAAATCTAACTTTTGTGGCACCGATCTATGGAGCTGATATTAACGGAAGCATATATAATGAAGTAGGCTCTCTGTTCAGTCATCCTTAAAAATTAGCTGAAGTTGCATTGTTGAAAAAAGACCCATAGTTTAACTATTATCTGATTTCCATTTATTTCAGTGCATGTGCACATTGTATGATGAGTTTGCAGTTTCCCCATTCTTATGAATGTTTGATGAAGCTGGGCGTGACATGCAAAAGCAAAGGCTGCAGTCTACACACCACCTGAGAGTATGGCCCACTGAACACAATATTTTTATGTTGTGAAACTGCCCTGAGATCTTGAGATGACGGGCAGTATAAAAATAAATTAGAGCTTTTTTTCTATGTATGAGTAGGCATACATAGAATTGTCCCAATAGTAGTTTAGAGTTGTACCTTGGTTCTCAAACCTAATCCATTCCGGAAGTCGGTTTCAAAACCAAGGCGTGCTTTCCCATAGAAAGTAATGCAAAACGGATTAACCTGTTCCAGACTTTTAAGAACACCCCCTAAAACAGCAATTTAACATGAATTTTACTATCTAACGAGACCATTGATTCATAAAATGAAAGCAGTAAACAATGTACTGCAGTCACACAACCAATCAGTAGCTGAACTGGGTTCCACACAGTCACAAAAACAAAAAAAGAAAGCCACAAAAACGCAAAATAAATAGCAAGAACAGACAGACCTCAGCGTGACACTCAAAACGGAAGTGTGACACTCAAATCGGAAGCATAAACTCAAAACGGAGCACGATTGGCTTCTGAAAAAAGTTCGCAGATCAGAACACTTACTTCCGGGTTTGCAGTGTTTGGGTTACAAGTTGTTTGAGTACCAAGCTCTCTTCCTCTTCCGGTAGCTTAGAAAGAAGACACGTGTGATACAACTCACAGCCAGAGGGAAGGGAAACAGCAGTATTTGAACTCTTGTCCTGTGCCCTGCATTTGGGCATTTTAATGCAAGAAGGCCAGTAATGCAATTGGGCCAGCTATCCCAAATGGTGGAGAAAAGCTTTTAATAGAGGTATATTGATTTGGCAACCGCTGGTACTATAAAGCTGTAAAGCCTTTGGGAATTTAGTGGAGTACAATTATCTTTATGTCTCCTCTTCTGCATCTCTGAAGGAGCTACATAATTTATTTCCCGTTTCCACTCTTAATAAGCATCAGTATAACATGTTGCAAAGGAAGCACGAGACACCCCCCAAGAATAATGCAGTGGTACCTCTGGTTGCGAACAGGATCCGTTCCGGAGAACCATTCGCAACCTGAAAAGAACGCAACCCGCATTATGTGATTATAATTCGGCGCTTCTGCGCATGTGCGTGACATTATTTTGCACGTCTGTGCATGCGCAAGCGGCGAAACCTGGAAGTAACCCATTCTGGTACTTCCGAGTCGCCGCGGTACGCAACCTGAAAATGCTCAACTTGAAGCAAACGTAACATGAGGTATGACTGTACATAATGAAAAGTTAGGCAGGGAAAATGGTGACAGAAAGGAAAGAAGTTGAAGGAAACGTCTGGAAGGGTATAAAAATAAAACACAGAAGTGGTGCTGGGTTAAATGGAGGTTAGGAACATTTCTAACATGCAAAGGAATGCAAAGGGAAAAGTTGTTAGAGAAGTCTTGATATTTATGCATCTTTAGCAGGGAACAATTGATATATAGTACGTATATTTTCTTCAGCCACCAGGTGGCGGCCTTGCACAAGAAAACATTTTCATGTGTGTTGTGCTGTTAGTGAAATCTCTCAATTTAGAATCTAAATCTCTCATATTTATTCAAATTAGGGATTTTCATGTATTCAATAAGGATGGATAAAATACAATCTGTCTAGAAATGAGGCAATGGAAGGAGCAAAAGTGCTTGGTGTAATTATTTCCTCATGAGAAGCCATATGTGATAAATGAAACATTTGAATTGTGTTATCAAAAGTAAAAGCAATGCAGAAGACCTAATGGAAGCAATGTAGTTTCAACATTATATTATGGCTTTTATTCCATAATGCTTCCTTTAAAAAAAACCCAACCAGAATATTCCAAAATTCCAACCAGTCATTCCATTGTGATGGTTCATATTATGCATGATAAAAATGTCTGAATTCTTTAAACTTGAGTGACATTAAAATCAGTGCAAAATCTGTAGAAAACAACCCCTCTGTTAATAAAGTCAGTGAGTCAAGGAGCTATTTGGAATCATCCAGAGGATTTTTTTTACATTTTGCTTTGGAGAGCTGAGCCCTGTGCCATATATAATACAGGATTCTGCTTTTTAAAATGGTTTCCCAGGTGTCATAGGAAACTGCTGTTCGAGTAACACAACTTCAAAGCCCACTTGGATTTATGGAAGCTTGCACCAGTTGTTAGCCACTAGTGTCCAGGAAACATATACCATTTCCTAGTTTGAACGTTTGTACAGAAAAGATCTGTCTTTTCTAGTACTCAGTTTCAACAGTGCGCTGTAACCAAGGCGTCACATGTTTCTAAACCGCACGTTGTACATGAACATCCATGTCTACATGTGCAACCTTGGAGGCTTGATATCTTGGGATCTTTTATCCAGAGTCGTTGCACACCCACTGCACTGCATCATTAGTCACTTTAATTCATTGGAGGAATTAGGAAGAACCACTGAGTCCCAATTTTGGCTCCAAAGAGGAAAAAAATGTTTGGTTAATTGCAGCACTAAAATGGCATTTAAGAGTAAAATAGCTTTGTGGCTTGAATGACTGAAGAGTAAAATGGTTGGTTAGAGCATGATTGTACCTAGGCTACCCAAACTCATGTTTGGGTAAATAGTTCACACTTGTTAATATCATGGAAACAAAGGTAGGTGAAAGCAGAGGGTCTAGTTGTTGCTGTATAAAGAGCAGGGACTGGCACTAGCGATCCGGAAGGCAGAACTGTAGGGCTAGATGCTCCAGGGGAATGCTTGAATGAAATTAGATATATTTGAGCCATGCAAGGACAGAAGGATAATGAGATTTAATAAATGGAGGAGTTAGGGAGAAGTGGAGATATTGAAATGCCAGTAATAGCCTGTTCTAACCAGAGGAGAAGGTTGGGCTTTCACCGTGACCTGAGGGTGTGCAGTTGTCATTAGACCAAAGTTTCCAGCTCAATGGGGAATGGATTTTGGGTTGCTGCTCCTCGCTGCAGGGAAAATACTATGATTGTCATGGGTTGTTGAAGCAAGCAAATTTGATTCCTTAGAGCCCTCTCAATATAGGTCCAAAAATTGATTATTTCATTTAAGGGAACTCAAGGTTCCTAACTCACCTGAATAAAATAACAAAGATTGAAAGGAGGCAAAGAAACAGGGTAGAGGAAGCAAGTCTTAGGGTCTAGATGGGCTGCAGCAGTCTACTCATATGGATGTACCACAAGACTGAACAAATGTTAGCAGGCCTTTGAGGAGAATCACAGAGACTGAACTGTGGAACAGCCTGTTGGAGAGAGATTGAACAACATGGTCTCAGGGTGGGTGGGGAGGTGGACTTTGCTTTAGGGGACAGGCATCTAAGACAAATAACTGAGGCCGGGGGGGGGGGGAGAAGCTTCAGAACAGGAAGCATGCTAACTAACAGGTTGCAATATTCCCCAAGTTTCCTGCAACAGTTTTACGTGGACAGTCTTGGGGCAACAGTGAATCTCATGTGCCAATCAAGTTAAGGGATTCTAAGTTCATACTGTTTTGGACTTGAGTTTCAGAGGTGCCTCATATGAGAAATGAGGGTGGAGGGAGTGCAAGTTGGAAGGCAATTTTTGTTTGCCCAGGTAAATCAAACTGAATTGAGGCCCGTGCTTTCATTTAAAGTTTCATTTAGAATACATGTGTAGTTTTGCACTTCTCAGTCCCATGAAGTAAGATGTCTTAGTGGCATGTATCCAATTAAGTTATTCTCTGAATAGACCCAGTGAAATTAATGGATCACAGTTCCATTCATTTCATTGTGGCCACTCTGAGTATGACTGGCACTGGGTACAACCCAGTGACTGCAACCAGTCTATGCTAAGTCTTGCTTCCTCTGTACTGCTTACAAAGAGCATGTAATTGTTGCAAGTTACCTGCAGAGCAAAGCTAAAAGTATGCCTCCTGAATTATTATTATTATTAAGCTCCTCAACAACCACCAAGGTAGTTCACAGGGCATGATGAAGATTGTCCGTCCCAGTAATTGCCTTCGGTGTCTGGTAGTCAGAGGTATACGACCCCTAAATTTAGTGATATTTTGATATCAGAGTTAATATATTTATAGAAAATAGGTTTATCAATAGTTATCTAGTATTTTACGGGGGTGGGTGAGGAATGGGGAAAAGTGTAGTAGTAAAATCTTAAACAGAGGATTAAAGATAGGGTATAAACTCATGCTTTTATTTCTAGAAAGCTGCAAAATCAAAGCAAACCTTTCTTTCATGATTTACTGTGGTAATAACTGCACTTCTTGAAAGCACTGATAGCATTGTATTTCATGGATATAACTGTCTGTTTTGTTTACTGATGAAGTCTTCTTCTGTACACTTGGAAATATCCTAAGGTAGTAGCTGTCATTTAGAACAAATTGTGGAGTTCTACAAAGAAAGCTGAACTATGGAGTTCTTAATAACAGACATATTTTTCTTAGGTTTTGTCTAGTCTAGTCCAACAGATTTGTGTGTGTTTTCTGCTACAAAAAAGGTAGAAAGTTTAAGGAGCTATTGCATTTGCACCTTTTTTCATAATTGGCCACCACAGTACAGTATTTAACTCCTATTCCTGTTATGTTTTTTGTTTAAAAGTATACCTAGTTCAAGAGATACAATACTGAAATGACAGTGCTTGAGCAAAGAGTAGTTCCTACTAATATTGAAATAGTAACTGCTGCTAAGAGACTGATTTTGTTTTTAACATGTATCTGAAGCTATCCTTTGTCCTATATACAAATAGTCATCCTCAAGTCCTGTGGGACAGCTCTCTTTTGTCTTGAATTTTGCCCTCTCAGTGAAAAGCTGATGGTGCAAGTTTGCTTTTGCTCATATCTTTCCCCCCCTTTTTATCTTTTTTGACATTGATCAGTTGTGTCCCCGTATATTCCTTCCAGAACGTTAACGAATGGAATATCGCTCATCTTAATACTATACTGGATGTCGTAGAAGAAGACTGCGGAATCTCAATTGAGGGAGTCAACACCCCATATCTGTATTTTGGCATGTGGAAGACAACATTTGCATGGCATACTGAAGATATGGATCTCTACAGCATTAATTACCTCCACTTTGGGGAACCGAAATCATGGCAAGTTAACTCTTTAGGAAAATCAATTTTCCAAAATGTTTATTGGTTTCTGAAGGTTAAAGGAGAAAAGCAGGCATTTGTTTCAGGGCACTGTATGTGAATAACAGAAGGATCTAGCCCAGTCAGAAATGTGTAAAACATCTGGAGTTTGAGATTTGCGAGGAAAGAAGAATACATTAAAGTAGAGCTGGGCAACCTGTGACCCTCCAGATGTTGTTGGACTCCACCTCCCATAAGTCCTAGCCAGCGTGGTCAGTAGTCAGGGATGATGGGAATTTCAGACTAGTAATGTCTGCAGAGCCATAGTAACATAGTGAGCTGCCTTATACTATTAGGTCATCTGGCTCAGCACTGGTAGTGCCTCTCAGGGTTTCAGGTGGGAGTCTCTCTTAACTCTACCTGGAGATATCAAAGTTTGAACCTGGGAGCTCTGCACGCAAAGAAGATGCTCTACCATTGAACTGCAGCTCTTCCCCAATGGCTTCCAATCCTTCCCTTAAACATCAGAATAACTTCTTTTTAAAGGCAGAATCCAATAGATCAGTGATATGCAAATTAAAAGGCCTGAATGCAGGCTATAAGTCTTACCGATTAGATTTTTTTTTTAAAAAAAGCTGCTCCACCCACTGTCATTGGCTGGTTCCTGTGATATCACAGAATGCTTAGCTCCTGCCAAGGCATTAAGTTGTTGGTAACAAAGGTCTAGGGACACAATGGGCAATCAGATGGTAGAAGGGGATACAGATAAATTAGGAAGCTGCAGTATCACAACAGTAATCAGCTGTGAGGCTGTGTGTGCCAGAGAGCCCATATAAATGAACGCATGAGAACTAAAATGACGTTACAAGTACGCAACATGGTTACACATGTTTGGCCATGTTTCTCCAGTGAAACTCAGAGAGCTGCAGATGATATTCCATCGTCTTACTCCATGCAACCCCACTAAAATTAGTAAACATGGCTAAGTTAGGTCCATTAATTTCAGTGGATCTGCATAAAACTTACTTCAATAGCACCCTGTACATTTTAATTTAAGTATATATCTAGTACAGTGGTACCTCAGGTTACATACACTTCAGGTTACATATGCTTCAGGTTACACACTCCACTAAGCCAGAAATAGTGCTTCAGGTTAAGAACTTTGCTTCAGGATAAGAACAGAAATCGGGCTCCGGCGGCGCGGCAACAGCGGGAGGCCCCATTAGCTAAAGTGGTGCTTCAGGTTAAGAACAGTTTCAGGTTAAGTACGGACCTCCGGAACGAATTAAGTACTTAACCCGAGGTACCACTGTATTGCTAAAGGCACCACAGTAAGCTTTCTGGGAAGTAAGTTACAGTCAAAAGCATGGGATTTATTTCCAAGGTCAAATATTTGAATCTGGGAATAAAAATAGTTTCTGTATTCTGTGTAAAGGAAGCTGAATATTGTAATGCAGTGGTATTGATATTAATGGCATCGTGCTTTAGATTCTTTTTTGAAATTGTATCAGTGCCAAAGTTGTGTGACCTTGCCCTACCAATACTTCCCTTTCAGTTGTATTTAGATGAGAATGAAGCACCAAGCACTAAACAAATATGTAGCACTTCTTCCTTGCAGAACTACTAGTGTGTTGACCAGTTTCTATTTCAAGGCTAATTGCTTTCATTTAAATGGGCAAAAAAGCTATTATTTTCCTGACAGTAATGATGTACAGCACTCTAGGTTCACATCATTGGTGTAAAATATGTTTGGGGTTTTCATTTTTAATTGTATGCATTGATTTGAAATGATTGATTTTTATAAACTGAATTGTATTGTAACTCCAGTAAAGAAAAGCACCCTTTTCAGATAATGCAGCTGAACATTTTAAAAGTAGGTAGCTCAAATTTAAACATCAGGTTTATTCAATGATAGTCAAAATATGATACAATAAATACAATATTCATATAATTTAATGTGGAAACTATATGTTTTATTATCACGTTGCTAAAACAGATTTCAGATTTATTTTATTCCAGTGCATCAAACTAATATCTAAGAATAAAAATGCAGTTTAAATGCTACGTTGGAAACGTGGGAAACACTTTGCTGTGGATTCATCTCTGCAGTTGTACTATAATATTTGAAAAGTGCCTAAATGGTATAGGATTACAATCCTGAGTATTTGGTAAAGAAATACTATGCTTGAATAGTCCTAGAGGTCACTTAGTGATCCGAGGGGTTGTTTATTTCCCATAGTTTTGCAGCAATAAAAAATGGAGGCTAAACATACCCAGAGGACTCCTATAAATACACATCAGACATTCTAATGCGCCTTTTCCTATCAGAGATCTTGGAAACCTATTTTGAAAAGCTGGGGTAGCCTTAAACCACATGAAAACAGGAAGTAGCCTCCTTTTATTTATACCCCCTTTTCTTCTAGAACCTGATTGCTTTGATCATACAATAAAAAAGATTAAGACTGGAATCCTGACTTTACTTACCTTGGAGTAAGTCCCATTGAATTCAATGGGGCTGATTTCTGATTAGACATGGTTATGATTGTGCTTTATACCATTCTCCCTAGGCATCCCTGTTGCATTGGCTTCTTGATATAAGTTGGAACAGAAATGCATGTTCATCTTGCCTCACTGACTGCTGCATTTAATTTTGGTGTTGACTCACTTTTATTCTCGGAGATACATGGGTCCTTTTAATAAATGGTAGTGACACCTCAAATTCAGATACAGTGGTACCTCGGGTTACATACGCTTCAGGTTACATTCGCTTCAGGTTACTGACTCCACTAACCCAGAAATATTACCTCGCGTTAAGAACTTTGCTTCAAGATGAGAACAGAAATCGTGCTCTGGCGGTGCGGTGGCAGCAGGAGGCCCCATTAGCTAAAGTGGTGCCTCAGGTTAAGTACAGTTTCAGGTTAAGAATGGACCTCTGGAACGAATTAACTACTTAACCCGAGGTACCACTGTACATGTTTACTGAAATGAGCTTACTTTCAACAAACTTTATACCCAGCTGTAGCAGAGCAGAGACTAAATGAACTTTGTAAAATTATGTCACAATAGTTCACAAAATTACAGAAATCATAGTATGCAAGGTATATTCCAACAACAACACCCCAAAGAGCCAAATTATTTGCTCAAGCAGTTTATGAACACACATACAGAAATGTTCTTTGGGACTTCATGCTTCATCTGAAAACTCATATATTGTACTAAAGCTGGAAGAGGTTTTTTTGTTTTGTTTTTTTTTGGTTGAGCTTTTCTAAAAGTCCATTAGTTACTTATGAAGGACAAGACGTTCAATCTGTTTGTCACCCAGTGAGAGTTGCTACTTCAGCTTATGGTCAAGTATGGGTTCCATTAGTCCCAAAGTAAGTTTGATGAAAAATACTGTTCAAAAAGAGAAATGTTTTTAAGAGCCATTTGGACGTATATTCTATATTCTGTAAATTACCTTACCATTAATTTAGGGTGAACAATGTTCTGGAGTAGACACATATGCATACAGGCAATCAATGCTTCCAATCATCTGGAACAGTGGTTTCCTTACATAATCATTTCTGGGTGCAATCCAATTCAGTTAAAATGAGTGGAACTTTTAATATTCAAACAGTACATAATATATGCAAATAAGTGAACTTACCGTAAATCTTAATGGTCCATGTTTTCTGTATGGAAATAGCACTTTGAAAGGGGGCAAATTGAAAAGAAGTATTGAGGTAGTGTTATTTATATAAAGACCAATAACCACACGTTCTTATTTCAGTTATTCGGTAATGGTTTTCCCCTTTGTTCTCTTTTAAAAAAAATACTTTATATTAGTTTTAATAGACATATACACAGTTTCAACAACTATGCTGTACAATTGAAACTACATTTCTAGCATGAATCTGATGGAACTGACTGTATTGTGCCATAATACAGTTGTTAGTCTTATTTATGGAAAACTAATAAAAACTTATTTAAAAAAAAAATACAGTTGTTAGTCTTTATGGTGCCACAAATCTCTTACTGTTTTTGCTTCAAGAAAGGCAACTACCCCACTGGAAATTCTTGCATTTTTAGCATAATTAACAGAGACCATGTGACTTTATCTTGCCCGTGAGTTTGATTCATATTCTTCCACTATAAAATAATGGATTCCATAGATTTGATGGAAAAACCTTTGTTGAGAAGTTTTTGATAACATGAATCACCTATCACTTGCCTATCCGGGGTTGGTTTCTCAAACTAAAATTTTAATAATAATAAAGAAATCCCGGTTCTGGTAACTAAATATCAAAATTTAGAAGGGGGTGGGGGTGGGGGTGGGAAGCATAAATCCGAAGTGTATCCACTAAAAGTGTATCCACACTGAAAGGGTATCCACTGACAGCAAAATATCTTAAGTGTCAACGTTATTATTGATGTGCTTAGCACTCAGCAGGTACTTAACATTTGAAACTAAAAGCAGCTCAAATAATATCAAGCAAGAAAAGAATGACATTTTCACTGGTGATATTTTAGGACTCATTATGCATTGCCTATAAACTGACATGTGGCATCTAGCCTGTCAATGGCAACATGTAGTTTTTAACAATTCTCAGAAAAAGTAAAAAGAAGCCCCTATATTTAAAGCCCACATTAATAGTCAGGAGAAGCATGTTTCCCAGAGGGCTGTGGGTGTAACCCTGGGACCAGGCCTTTTCAGTAGTAGCACCCTGGTTACAGAAAGGCCTTCCAATTGAGTCTTATCTGGTCCTTTTGGTACCAGGTGTTTCAAACAACTTATGTTGAGTAAGCTTTTTGTAAAAAACAACAACTGTTTTTAGTTTTGGGGAATGCACTGAATTCTGTTTGAGTTGATTATTGTGGGTTTCCCCACTTCCTAATGATTTTGTTTTTGTCTTTCAGGGTTTTTTTTTTACTTATTGTAGGCCACCCAGAGAACTTTTTTGTTACTTTAAAAAAAACTTGATGTTAGCTGTTTCGAATTCTATTTTGTAAAAAAAAAGGTGGTTTTTAAAAATACATAAAATGAATGTTCTGTGTGTGCTATGTTAGCTATGCAGTTTTCTCTTGCAGGTAGACAGTGATTATGAACTCTTCTCTATTTTCTTTTTATGTAAATTTTAGGTATGCTATCCCTCCAGAACATGGAAAACGACTTGAACGACTAGCTCAAGGTAAGATACATATATCAAAGACATTCTGTTCAAAAGTCCCTTCTTTTTAGAAAGGCATCTAATAATTGTGGTTGCCACTTTAATTCCTTTTTAAAATAAAGACTGTTGTCTTTGGAAATCATACGATTTTGAAGAAGTCATGTTATATCCTTATGTTTGCAATATATTGTCATTTCTGTCTAAATTCATATTTAATATAAAGTTTAGGAGCAGTTTAAAATTGGATGTATACTGCTTTGCAATTCTTATTGTATCTATATTATGCTTGTCAGTAGAATACTTAGCTGGAAATAATACCACGACTAAAGTTTTGGGGCAAAGAAATACCTTATACGTGACATTACACAATAAAGTGTCAGTGTCCCCTTTTTGCTGCAATCGCTTTTGGGTAAAGGGAGTATTTTGCACTGGAGACCGGACAGGGCTGGTGGAGGAGGAAATAAAGTCCTATGCTCTTCTGCTACGAGTAATATCCCCTAGAAACTGCCCCTCCCGGCTGCTCAACTTAGTATGGAAATGGTGATAGGAGAAGTAATTCTTATTTGTCCATTTAAACAGTTATATACTGCTATAGCATAAAAATACAAAAAGTTGAAGAGCATTAGAGGAGACATATACAGCAGAAATAACTTTATACATTCATTTCCTGAAAGTTAAGCAATAAATATGGCTACTGTTAGCGTAAAGTCCAGTCCCAAAAAACTAGCGAGACAGTAATATGGAGGAAAGAACACCATGTTAATTAAATATAGAAAATCAAAGAGCTCTTATCCATGCACCTTCACACAGTAATAAATTTATCACTGCCTGTTCTTTTCTAAGCTAAACGATCATTCCTTCCACTACTGAACAGCCATTACAGTGGGGGCAATCACTGGTATACATTTGAGGACAGTGCAGTGTTGTAGAAATATAAAGGTGCTTTTAAAGAAAAGAAATTGAGGTTATTATGAGAAGCTTTGCTGGAGACCTACAGACCTCTTGTGAAGAAAGAACATACATGAACATATTGTATATGAATTCATATATCATAAAAATATATCTAATTTATTAAAATGAGTAACACCAAACCATTACAGCACAAATTCTCAGCTTCACAACCTTGACTGATGGGCGACATCCAGTGGGTGGAATTGGCTTCCATTTGTGCAATCAGACTTTCTTTTCTTGTCCTCTCCTCTGTGTGACTCCCCCCAAATGTTTGAGGACCCCCCCGAGCAGTTTTGGGGTGGGAAAGGGGAAGTTTCATTGCATATATAGAAGTCTTCCCATGTGATATGCGCTATTGCCTAATGAGAGGGATGCTTAAAATTTAGGGGTACACTTGTGACTCCAACATGCATCTTTGATTATTGGGGCTTTGGTTCAGAAAGCCCTTTTTCTACATGCACAATTGATTATTTTTCTTGTACAGAACAGTAGTCCCTTGAGCCATTGTTAAGCCTCCCTTGAGATTTCAAAATGCCATGCTGATTAAAGCATTGGAGTAGCTGTGCTCCCTACCCAAAGTCTGCTGTGTGCCGTTCTCCATGCCCCTGCCAGTGTGTTTGTAAAAATGCCGGTCATCTTAACAAATAGTATAATTTTGATGTTCTTTTTTAAAATAAGTTGTGTGTTCCTAGGCTTGAACAGTGAATTAAAACACAGAAGGTGGTTTTACTAGTGCATAAGCACAAACCTTAATGTTCTTCCAGCTGTATTGTTCATTTCATCTTTCTTTCATTAATTTATCTTTTTTGGCAAGTTTGTTTTGTCACTACCATGATTTGGGGATGAGGTGTATGTGATCTTCATACTGTACTCACTGTCCATAAAGATTACAATGGAATTTTTAAAACAAGCTGTTTTAAAATGATGAAAATGTCACGACAGCCTCACAGCTACAATTTGCATAATCAGCAAAGGTTAATAAACTTGCAGAGTGAATAGATTTCAGGCTTAATTACATATTTATATTAAAAGTGTTGTGCAGAATTGCAGCATCTAAAAAAAGCTGTGAGATGCAGGAAGGTTGGTCCTGCTTACCAGATGCCTACTGAATTAATTGAATTTTCCTAAATAATTAAAATGCTAAAATAATGCAGTAAATGTGGTGAAGCATTGCAGGTTATCTAGGTCAAGTCTGTACTTGATACATAAAATTAAAGGAAGGCTAGGATTTTTTCCATTATCTTGTCTGCCTATCATAATTATCACATTGCCTTTTATGCATGAATGCTTTCATCTTTGGAATCCATTGAAAACTTGATTGACTATGGCACCTACAAATATTTTATCTGAAAGACATTAGACTTGCATCTAATAAAGGCAGCAGTTTGATTTTGCCCTTCAGGTGCTTTCTCATTTATGTAGTTCTTTCAATTTTACGCAGACACAAATGTAATAAAAATCTCAAGTGAGCTGTTATTGCAATTTTGAAACTAGTTATGTTGCTCTATAACATCACAGAATTCTTAAGGTATTTGACAATGTTGGCTTGAAAATACAGAGGAAAATAAAAGTAACAGCAACAAATTATAAATGACTTGCATTCATATCAATCACCCATCTCCTACTACCCTCCTGAGAAAAACCCCACCCCACCCTCCCACTATATATAAGGGTCTGGTTTCTTCTGTTTCAGGGTATCTGAAGAAGTGTGCATGCACACATAAGCTTATACCTAGAACAAACTTAGTTGGGCTCTAAGGTGCTACTGGACAATTTTTTTATTTTTTAAATTTATTCCAGTTCATAGAATCGTAGAATCATAGAGTTGGAGTAGACCACAAGGGCCATCGAGTCCAACCCCCTGCCAAGCAGGAAACACACCATCAGAGTTGTGTCAGACCAACACGGCTACCTATCTGAGTCTAGATTCATATACTGTATCCTGTAATCTCATTCATGTCTTCATGAGAGGCATTTGTTTATGTTGTTCAGTTATGTCCAACAGAGTTGAAACTGAAACAAAGTTCATATTATATATGCTATGATATATAGTCAGTGAATGATAGTTGAGAAATGGAACTCCAATCTGTAGATCTGCTAATTTATGCCATACGATTGTGTTTGTATTAAGGTAGGGGCAACCTTTTGTCTGTCGAGGGACACATTCTTTTGGGGGTAACCTGTTGGGGTCCACAAATCAGGAATGCATTACCTTTCCTTTCTTTCTGCCACCTCCTTTTTATTTTTGTCTCTTCCTTTTGTCATGAAGTTAAGCAAGGGCTATAGGTTGCCCAGTGGGACGTGGGTAGTGCTGTGGGTTAAACCACAGAGCCTAGGACTTGCCAATCAGAAGGTTGGCGGTTCGAATCCCCGCGACGGGGTGAGCTCCTGTTGCTCGGCCCCTGCTCCTGCCAACCTAGCAGTTCGAAAGCACATCAAAGTGCAAGTAGATAAATAGGTACCGCTCCAGCGGGAAGGTAAACTGCGTTTCCGTGCGCTGCTCTGGTTCGCCAGAAGCGGCTTAGTCATGCTGGCCACATGACCCGGAAGCTGTACGCTGGCTCCCTCGGCCAATAAAGCGAGATGAGCAGCGCAACCTCAGAGTCGGTCACGACTGGACCTAATGGTCAGGGGTCCCTTTACCTTTACTATAGGTTGCCCACCCACAGGTCTAGGTACCAGTGTTTGTTTGTTTCTTTTTAATAACTTTTTATTAACTTGCTTTTCTATTTTAACAAACATCTAATATCAATAACATACATGTTACAATTCTTCATCCCCATCCCTCCCAGGCTTCCCCAGCTCCCATTTCTGGTTTGTCATCCCTTTATCATATACTGCTGTTTCAACCAGTCCACTATGTTGTTTCTTCATTGTTTTAAATGTTCTATAAAAAAATCACAAATTGAGACGGGGATGTGGAGAACTGAAATTAATATTGGAAAAAGTAGACAGAGAGAGAAACAAAAATTGACAGGTCCACTCATCCCTACTCAGGACAGTGGTTTTCCCTGGCATGGCCATATAGATTTGCTCAGTTTGTGAAGAATAAGATGCTGTGGTAGAGGTAAGGTGGTGGCAGATTAAAATGTAAAGATGGCCTATTTATTTCAGTGAAAATTAAATTTGCTTATTGTGGTCTCTGTCTGTTATATCTTTGAACAACAGAACTTGCTTTGTGAGTCACTTTTTCAAGCTTCAGAATGGATATTAAAAGCTGCATCAGAATATTTGGGGTAAAGTTAGGCTGGATGCAGAATTTTATTGTATATATTTGAAAATGCATGGATGTTTTATAATGTGCCAAGCTCTTTGGGAGTACAGCAGTAAATTTACTTCTTGGCTTTAGCTGCCTACGAAGTGACAGAATAATTTTTCAACATCTTCAGGCTATGATCTCCATGCTTTGGGGCTTTTTGTGTGCAGTCGCTGCCCATTGCTTCCCATTACGTGGATTGAAATGTTCTGACTTTGCTATAGTGGGTCTGGGTGCTGAACTGACTCATCCAAGAAATCAAATTTCTTATGTGCCAATTTATTTCTTCTTTAAATCTATACTGATTTACTCTAAAGAGGTTTCAGTTTGTTCCTAGTACTAATTTATTTCTGTCTCTTAAATTGCCTCTTTCGGAAAACATGTTTTATACACTTTAAATGACTTAATAAGGTATATATAGCAAGAGGAATTGAGGCTTTATAAATCATGATGGCGATTTTTATTATGTTGTAATGATACTACTGGGAGAAATGAAATATATGTCCTGAGGCCGATGATTATTTATCTAAATTGTGCACCAACAGTTTCTCCAGCAGTTGAGAAACAAAACTCTCCATTTGGGGAGCTGCTTTTGATTATTTTTAAAGAGGACCTTTTGATTTGATGATTCCGAAGATTAAAGAAGTGTGTGGAAAATTAATTAGCTCTGAATTTTAATAAAATTTGACACAATAATTAGTCCTCACAGGCTCCAGAGAATTCGATCAGACTTCATTGTTCTCTCATCATTGTTGTGATGACATCTCTCTTGTTATCTCAACCCACCATTTTCTCAGAAATATTTCAGTGCTGAGGTTGTAGAGTTGGTTACAATATATGCCTATTTCATGTGTGCTAAATAATGCTTCTGTGCTCCTCAGGTCCTGTAAAGGGTGAATATGAGTCCCGTCCCCCCCATTTTGAAATTAAAGGCTCAATATGTGCAAAACAGGATACCAGGATATAATAGCACTGTGTCTTTCTGATTTTTTTTCAATCTGTGTGAATTGGGGAGTAGAGCTGGGAAGGGGCTGCATGCAAATGCGTTAAGCTCATGCATATCCTAACTATTAAATCAGGATTTGAATTTGTGAATGCAGCCAGTGGAAGAGGTAAGATTTGAACTGGGTGCATTCTCTCCTTTCATTCCTTAGGCCAGTGCAGGTGAACATTTGTTTCCTGCCCTTCTCTATAAGGGAGCCCAGAACCAAAAGCATCAGAACGAAATAAAACAAGCTGTTAGCTGTAGTGTTTAAACTGAAATTTGTAGGGGTGGGACATGGAAAATAGGAGAAGATTCGAGCCAGGTCCCCCACCCCCCATGGCAGTTAACCCTCTGCTTCCTGTATTGATCTTGGGGACAGATTGAATTGGATGCGTGCACGCACAGAACTACTTATGGTTCAGAGAGTCCTTTTTGTACAGGCAATTGATTTCTTTTTCCTTGTATAGAACAGTGGCCTCCCTGAGCCATTTTTTTAAAGCCTCCTTTAAGATTTAAGGGCATAGATGAAGCCACACTCTCATAGGACATATAACAAGATAGCATACAACATAAAAACATAATATAGCAACAGTAGCATTGGTAGGAGAATCAGTAACATGTTGATAAAACGGTTTGGTAAAAGAAAAATCAGTTTCCAAAGGCCTGTCCCAAAGATGTCTACAATAAAGCAGGACTCCTGGACTTCTTTTAACTGGGTAAGGCATGGCAAGCTAAAGCCTTGGTCCCTGTTAAAGCCTGAACTCCTGAAGATCTTGGCGATCGGGTTGGAGCATAAGGAATCAGGCAGTCCTTATCAATACCATTATAATTCGTAATTCTGATGTTCCTTTTTAACAAACCATTTGTTCCTAGCTCTGAACAGTGAATTGGAGCAATGAGGGTGGTTCTAAGAATATAAGCTTATAACAAAGCTTTATTATTCTTATCATGGATCCTGCAAGACTGAGATCTGCAATGAACTGAAATATTGAATAATCTGAAATACAGGTTGCTGGCCCCAGGCATCATGCAGCTCTGTCTCCAACCCTCAAAAGAATGGAAGGACAATGTAGACTGATTTGGATTGAAACAGGCCACAACTTTATTGATTACAGATGACAGAGGTTAGGGTTGGGCACGGGGCAATCAAATTCTTCCAGCCCACCTGCTGGAAGTGATGCCGTAGGTCAATCCATAAGCAGGAGCTCCTAAGATAGGATGACCCCTGCAGGGATCACTGTCTGGGGGCGTCCCATCAGCCCTGGCTCCCATCTGGGCATAAGGACATAGGCAACTCCCCCCGGATCCCTTTAACAGGATAGCCCAGCTTTTGGAGGATCAGGCAGAGGCTGCAACCATAGGCTATGTAGCTGAGATCACTTTAATGTGGAATACACTATTTATCTTGTCAAGGTGGTTAATGGTTGATTCCACCTTCCTCTGGTCTTGTATACCTTCTCTGAGTGTGCCTTCTGCCTGCTATTGCCCATCTCTGGACCTGCCCACCCAGTTATTGATGCACAAGCATATTCTTATGTTCATCTGTTAAACGTTGGGGGTATGGATTTTGTGCAAAAATAGTATTGGATTTAATAGTAAAACCTGTTCAACATATTCATAGAAGATTGGCTTTCAAAGCATGTCTCTTTCATTGTGTGTGCGTGTTCCTGCCCCCCTCCTGCTGAGATGATATAGAGCATAATTTTCCAGGGTCATTGTAAATATACATTCTAAACTGATATGCTGGGCTTAATATACTGTGCATTACCTTACTCCAGTGGGTTTCCAATTTAAATTAACTTATGACCAGTCACCACATTTGTTCAGGCCCTGATTACAAATCCATATAGAAGGAGATTTAAATAGACTCTTCTTTCTTCATTGATTTTAATTTAAAATTTAATTTATTTAATGCAGCACAAATGTACAGATTTTTTTAAAAAGTGTGATGGGTTCATCTGACGTATATTGCTAAGGGATCGCTTTCACATTCCTGCATTTAAAGATACAATTTTTAATGGTATTGTTTCCTAAAACAAGTAGCACTGTACAGGAGACTACTAGGCAAACGAAGCAATGGTTTGGCTGTCTTAAATGCTTGTATTATAAGACTACAACCCGGCACCCATTTACACATCTAGAACCTTCACAGTTCAGCTGAAAAGACAATAATTGGGCACAGTACTCTTTTTCTAGAAAAATAGGTGCCAGTATTCACCGTGAAGTTGTTACAGTAAGTGCCACCTTGGAGAACATTCTGGATAAAAGCACTGATCGGGCATAGGATTGCCCAGCTGAATGCCCTGATGCAGATAAGTCAGTCTGCATATGGATCAGTGTTATGAATGTAAAAGACTGTCTGGTAGAGTGTCCTGCATCTGTCATGTCCCAGTCCCCAGTTGTCATGGCTAGCTGTTCCCCAGTTTGCAAGATTCTGCCTCAGGGATCCTGCAGACACAAAGCTGTTCACAAGTTCCTTCCACTGGGAAACAATGACAGAGGAAAGAGGACTTGATGCCTGAAACTTGGGATTCAGATTCCTTTTATGGAGGACCAGAATCCTTAGCTCTGCTACCTCACCAACTGCGCAGGGCCCTTCATTGTACTGCAGACTCCTGTCAGAGAAGCCAATGCACTGCAAGACTCCTGGGCCAGAGTTTGGTCTGTTAAAGTATTGCTGTTTCTCAGATGGACAGAAGGGCTTGGTCATTCAGCATGTCTGACTTACTATTTAAATGCTAGGTCTAGTTCAGGGAAGAAGTATGTATTATATGAGCCCAGGGCTGCTTCTGAAAATGGAATCCCCATGTTCAGTTCTCCTCTTCACCCCTGTAAACTGTAGCATCACTTAACCTGTGTCAGAATGTCGCCATATTATCTAACTCTCTGTTCTGCCTTTTTAACTGTAGGGAAGGTGAGGCAGGGAAACACAGAACTTGGCGACAGTGGAATTGAACTATATATGGTGAATACAGCAAGTAATTAAAATGTTATCACTGTGATTGGTACAATTCTCTCTTTATTTGTGCTTTTCTAGGATTCTTCCCAAGCAGCTCTCAAGGATGTGATGCTTTCCTGCGCCATAAGATGACGTTAATTTCTCCATCAATACTGAAAAAATACGGAATTCCATTTGACAAAGTGAGTTGTTTTTTTTAAAACCTTGGGGTCTTTAAGCTATTTCATCAAAGTTGGAATAGTTATACTTAGGTAATTTATTTGGACATAAACTACAGCTAAGGTGCACAAGTTAAGCAAGAAAGCTAAGTCTCATTGCAGAAACCATGACAGACAAGTATTGAGTGAGATGAGAGAAGCATGGAAGAAAGAAGAGATGTGTCCCTTCATCAATGTATTCCTCCATGGATGACTATACATGCTTCTGAGTGTTTAGTGAGAATTCCACACTTTATATTTCATTGCAATGTTGTTATTTAGTCATTTAGTCGTGTCCGACTCTTCGTGACCCCATGGACCAGAGCATGACAGGCACTCCTGTCTTCCACTGCCTCCTGCAGTTTGGTCAAACTCATGCTTGGTAGCTTCAAGAACACTATCCAACCATCTCGTCATCCCCTTCTCCTTGTGCCCCTCCATCTTTCCCAACATCAGGGTCTTTTCCAGGGAGTCTTCTCTTCTCATAAGGTGGCCATTGCATTACTTACGTTTATAGCTTGCATTCTCTCCAAAGAATTCTCTCCAAATGGCCTGCTTGACTGTTGCCTTGGCTGTGGCAGACCATTGCCACAAACTTTGCTATCCAGATTTCATCTCTTGCTGAATATTCAAATTGTAGTGGGCTCTCAGAAGACGAATTCCATCTCAATATAAAATAGGTGAAAAGAGGGAGATGACTTTTGATCTTTTTTTCAAAAAAAAGTCATGAGGAGGATTAAATATGTAGCTGCTTCCAAAAGCTAAGTCAAATGTTTCTGTTCTCTTGATGTTTTGCTGCCCACTTGATAAGCTGTTGTCGTTGCTAGAGAGCTGCAGCCTTTTCGCAGTAGGATCATGATACGCCAAGAAAGCTTTCAGCAAGTTGGCTGAAATTTTAGCTTGGTACAGATTTTGCTCAACTCCACCTTATGTGGAGTATCTGTGTGCTATGCAGAGATCTGGAATCTCTAAAGAATTAATGCCTTCTCCAGATCTCTCCCCCACATTTCTAAAATATCCACTTTAAGTTTTCCCTACTTGGTGGTTGATGTGAGAGGGTAGGAGGAAGACTGTGTCTCGTCTACAAAAACGATTCCAATGTTGTTCAGTAGTGTTAAAAAACTAAAAAGGATGATGGTGTTCCGATTGTGTAAATATTTTCTTGCCTCTAAATTTATTATAGTGCATTCTTAATATGAACAATGAACATTTCAGACATGGAAAGGAGTATGGGTGAACTCTCACTGGATTTTAAAGGCTATAGTATGTGTAGCAAAGGACCACTTGCTCCAGCTTTCTTACGAGATAGAACAGGCTGAGAGGTGTTTGCCTCTTAAGTGATCAATGGCTGCAACCACCACATGATCCCATTGGACATGTGGTGGCATCTTCTGGAACAAGGAATCCAGATCTGCAATATTCCTAAGCGGGTCAGACCTCAAAGTAGGATACCTTCAAAAAACCACATAGCTTGGGGACCTAAGCCTGTGAGTAACATCCTCTTCAAGTGAAGTTCATTGCTCAACTCTAGGCTTCTAATTCAAGTCGAAGGAAGCTAGAAAGATTCAAGTTAAACAGTGATGCCTGTCTAACTGCACAGATATACTCTCGAAATAAGCAATTGCAGAAAGAACAGTTTCACAGAAATAACAGAATCCTCTATGTGAATAAGTTATGTGGGAGTCTTCTGTAGGCTGAAGTACACAGGCAGCAATGTTCAGGATAAATGGAGACGACATTCTTAAACCACCCCATTTAGTTCATGAAGGACTTTAATTGACAAATGGGAGTGGGTCAGAAAGGATCCTTGGTTATGCTACGTCTAGCACATTATGCACATAGCCAAGGAAAGTGACTAAATTATAAATGTGCACATCCTTTTATTCTTTGTAATGGCATCTCAGCTTAGGAAAAGACAGTTGCTTTATTTGTATTATATATGTCAACTACTAAATTTCTCCATACTGCACATATGAAATAAAATCCTGCAGTTTATAGCTGTCATTTTGTATTTCACAAAGTCAGAGCAGGGCATCTTCTAGCATGGGAATACAGCAAGGCTGTCAAGTAGTGTAGGCAGGAAGATTTCTGTTTAACCTCTTCAGACTCATTTTTGCAGGAGACAATGGGTTTTCAGCACACAAAGTTTCATTCCGCTTCTACTTTTATGCGCTTAAGGCATTTGTATATTGTCCTTCATACAGCTGTATCCTAGGGCTAGGAACTTTTCAGTTTCCATTTAAACATTTTGGATAGCTAAATATTATGTCACCTTGTACCACCAGAGAGCAGTCTATACCCTACTGTAGTTCTAATTAATAGGCTTCTGTGAGAATGTGAATAGAGAGAATCAGGCTGTGATCTCTTGTGGCTTGGAGTGATAGAACTGGAAACGTGCTAAACACTGATAAGCCAGCCTACGCCTACCAGGTGACAGCTGAACTGCTGGTTGTTGCAATAGCACACCTGCTAAACTGTCATCAGTGGGGGTGAGTGACAAGATAAATTTGGGAATTGCTGGCACAGAAAATGTTCATACTTATATGCACTCACACCAGACTCTTAAAAAACTCCAATCACAATCTCAGCATGTGCACCTGTGTGCATACTCCCATATTTATGTGCTTATGCTTCGATACAGTACACAATTGCTACCAATTCGTAATGGAACTATAAGGTAGCATTACATATGTCTATGGAAAAGATAGAGTAATAGGCTATTTAATTGCCTTGTGCCCATATTTTTGTGTGCGCACACAAATGCATCACATAGAGTACAAACCTAGAATTATAGTACTTCCCCTCTGATTATATCTAAACATTCACAAATCTCGCATCTTGTGTACATAATCTGCAAGTTCAGAAACTTGCTGATCTTGGTTGTTGTTTTTTGCCTCTCCAGTCTCTCAGGAGCTAACGAAAAGTAATGTTTATGCCGTGGCATAATAATAATAATAATAATAATAATAATAATAATAATAATAATAATAATAATATTTTATTTATATCCCGCCCTCCCCAGCCAAAGCTGCGCTCAGGGCGGCTAACAACAGTAAAATAATACAACATTCTAAAATCATTTAATTATAAAATTAATTCAAATCAAATTGATGGCAACCATTGGGCTAGAGTTCTGTGAAGATTGCTAAAGGAGGGAGTCAGGCTGTGCCCTGGCCGAAGGCTTGGTGGAACAGCTCTGTCTTGCAGGCCCTGCGGAAAGATGTCAAGTCCCGCAAGGCCCTAGTCTCTTGTGGCAGAGCGTTCCACCAGATCGGAGCCACAGCCGAAAAAGCCCTGGCTCTGGTTGAGGCCAGCCTAACCTCTCTGTGGCCTGGGACCTCCAAGATGTTTTTGTTTGAAGATCGTAAGTTCCTCCGTACATACATTTTAATATGAACTATGCTATTGCATGTTTATGGTAGCTCTGTAAAGAAATTTAACACTTCTATAATAAAAGCTTTTTGAATTTGCTGAGGACTTTGGTTGGTTGCTGGTTCAAGGAGTTAGGACTTAATTGCACCAGATCTCAATATTAACAAATGGGGAGCATGAGAAGTTGTTGTTTTTCTTTTTTTTTAAAAAAAGATTTTTATTCATGATTTTCAACATACATAAAGAAAAGAAAAGAACAAGAATAAGCACACAATAGAAAAAAAGCATACAAGAAAAATAGAAAAAATATAACATCATAGTCAGAATCTTACTTTCATAATTATTCAGACTTCCTCACATCTTCTGTTCCTGCTTTCCAAATTTGAGAAATTCTAGAAGCAGTTGTTGTTTTTCAAGTGACTGTGTTGTTTTGTTATGTTATGTATAATGTGAAAGTTGGTGCTTAGGAATTGGGCAAAGGACATAACTTGAAGGAGGTAAGTGACTGGGCTACATAGCTATTTTATTGAGGATTCAGCCACACAAGCTATGGGGGCTGGTTACCAGATGCACCTTCAGGATGGTGGCTAGAGGCAGCATAAACAGCTTGTGCTATCAGCTGCCTTAGACCATTTAACCATTTCAGTTCACCCAGCAGGTACAGGTAGACCGAGTTGGGTTCCTCCACTAGAAGCAGCATTGTCCATTTACACCAAATTCTTGAAAGCTCTAGGTAAGCAATTAAGTAATGGCCTCTTTTGATCCAGCTCAGTATGTCACCCCTGCCCCCCACCCAGGAAAAAGCAATGAAAACTGAACTGCTTGGTTTTAAAGAAAAAGTTACTATGGAGAAATTGGGGGAAGAAGCAGTGGCTTCAAGCTGTGGCAAAGCAGATCTGGACTGGATATCGAGAGAACAAATAGTTCCTGAGTATAAGAGGAGCTGCTGAAATGAAGTTGCTAAATCTTTTTCTTTCCTCTGGACACTTCATGAGATTAAATCAGTTTAGCTTATGGGTATTTTATGGAATCCTGGCCTTTCAGACAGCTGCCCCCAAGGGGCATTTGCTTCCTTCCAACACAAATGCTGTTATGTCAATGAAATTGTGTCTCTCCAAGAACTTGTATTTAGTATTGGAGCAGTGCCTGAGTTGTCCTACAGCCTTTTCCTTTTTTTACTGTGCTATGTGCTTTGTTGAAAAACTCCATAGTTTGAGTGCCTAGGTGATCTCCTGTTAATTCTTCCAACTTCTGTGTCTTTCCATTGTCTTGTGACAAAAATATATATCAAAGTAAAAGGAATTTCAATGCAGTGGTGAGCAAGAATTCATTACATAAAGTTCCACATTCTCCATATCTTGCACTTCCACTCCTTGTACCCTTCTGCTGACTGCAAAAATTGTACTCCTTTAGGAAAAGTTAATTCTTCCATTAAATAAAACATTTCTGAAACTATAACATACTTTTGTTTGGAGCTACAATGCTGTGAAATGATTCTTTTGTAGTTTCTAACTTCAGCCACTGGCATGACAGTTACATCATTAGTAGGGTCTCAAATAGATGCCTTCAGGCAAAAGCATGTTTTGCAATGGTAATACTGGTAAATGCAAAAGTTAATTCTTAAGACAGTTTTACTGTAAGAGTGCCTAAGTATTTGTCCTGGAAGAATATTGTCTAGACAGCTCAGATGGATTGTGCTTTATTGGTTAAGCCTGGAGCTCAGAAACGGTTCCTCAGGACCTACTGGGTTGTTTTTTTTAGGAAACCAGGCAGAAAACTTATCAGAGAGCCATAGTGCAGTGCAAAATTGGCTTGCTATAGTAAGATCTCCTTGAGGTGCAGCAGGTGATAAACTCAGGCAGGGGGAGGATGGAAAAGTCATAAGGAAAAGTTGCTTGAGAGGGGAAGGAGAAAGAGAAGTCAGACAAACATGAGAGATGACAGATGAATTTGTTGTTGTTGTTTAGTCGTTTAGTCGTGTCCAACTCTTCGTAACCCCATGGACCAGAGCACGCCAGGGACTCCTGTCTTCCACTACCACAGTTTGGTCAAACTCATGCTGGTAGCTTCGAGAACACTGTCCAACTATCTCATCCTCTGTTGTCCCCTTCTCCTTGTGCCCTCCATCTTTCCCAACATTAGGGTCTTTTCCAGGGAGTCTTCTCTTCTCATGAGGTGGCCAAAGTATTGGAGCCTCAGCTTCACGATCTGTCCTTTCAGTGAGCACTCAGGGCTGATTTCCTTAAGAATGGAGAGGTTTGATCTTCTTGCAGTCCATGGGACTCTCAAGAGTCTCCTCCAGCACCATAATTCAAAAGCATCAATTCTTTGGCGACCAGCCTTTTTTATGGTCCAGCTCTCACTTCCATACATCACTACTGGGAAAACCATAGCTTTAATTATACGGGCCTTTGTTGGGAAGGTGATGTCTCTGCTTTTTAAGATGCTGTCTAGGTTTGTCATTGCTTTTCTCCCAAGAAGCAGGTGTCTTTTAATTTCGTGACTGCTGTCACCATCTGCAGTGATCATGGAGCCCAAGAAAGTAAAATCTCTCACTGTCTCCATTTCTTCCCCTTCTATTTGCCAGGAGGTGATGGGCCCAGTGGCCATGATCTTCGTTTTTTTGATGTTGAGCTTCAGACCATATTTTGCACTCTCCTCTTTCACCCTCATTAAAAGGTTCTTTAATTTCTCCTCACTATCTGCCATCAAGGTTGTGTCATCTGCATATCTGGGGTTGTTGATATTTCTTCCGGCAATCTTAATTCCGTTTTGGGATTCATCCAGCCCAGCCTTTCGCATGATGAATTCTGCATATAAATGCATATAAATTAAATAAGCAGGGAGACAATATACAGCCTTGTCATACTCCTTTCCCAATTTTGAACCAATCAATTGTTCCATATCCAGTTCTAACTGTAGCTTCTTGTCCCACATAGAGATTTCTCAGGAGACAGATGAGGTGATCAGGCACTCCCATTTCTTTAAGAACTTGCCATAGTTTGCTGTGGTCGACATAGTCAAAGGCTTTTGCATAGTCAATGAAGCAGAAGTAGATGTCTTTCTGGAACTCTCTAGCTTTCTCCATAATCCAGCACATGTTTGCAATTTGGTCTCTGGTTCCTCTGCCCCTTTGAAATCCAGCTTCCACAGACATGTGAATAAAAGGTAAAGGTACCCCTGCCCGTACGGGCTAGTCTTGACAGACTCTAGGGTTGTGCGCCCATCTCACTCAAGAGGCCGGGGGCCAGCGCTGTCCGGAGACACTTCCGGGTCACGTGGCCAGCGTGACAAAGCTGCATCTGGCGAGCCAGCGCAGCACACGGAACGCCGTTTACCTTCCCGCTGGTAAGCGGTCCCTATTTATCTACTTGCACCCGAAGGTGCTTTCGAACTGCTAGGTTGGCAGGCGCTGGGACCGAACGACGGGAGCGCACCCCGCCGCGGGGATTCGAACCGCTGACCTTTTGATCGGCAAGTCCGAGGTGCTGAGGCTTTAACCCACAGCGTGAATACAAATGGACAAATGTTGAGAAATTTGCCTGCTGCTTAAATGTGTGATAAAGCAGGAGCACCAGCTTTCAGGGGCCAAAGGTACACCAGCCCCCTCAATATTTGTCTTAAGGGGACCAGGCCCCCTCAATCTTGAACCAGCCATGTGCTTGTGTGACGTCACCTCAATCTTGGGGGCTACCTGACGCCTCTGTGAATTTCACCATGGCTTATTCTATCTTATTTGATGGTTGATGTAGTTCCACCCTGTGCTTATTGACTTTTATGTCGCTATGCATTGCTGCAATACCGTTTTCTCCCTGATTCCTGGTTCTTGCTCAGGGAGGGAGATATTTAATCAGTTCTCACCATGTTAGTTTTATTTATACTTATAATGGTGCTGTCTTTAAGAAGGTCAGTAAAACATCTCACAGCCTTTTATTAGTTGTCCTCTTCAGGAAACACCAAATGGTTTTTCCAAATGGTTAATGGCTTTCTATAACAGTAAAGGGACGCGGGTGGCGCTGTGGGTAAAAGCCTCAGTGCCTAGGGCTTGCCGATCGAAAGGTCGGCAGTTCGAATCCCCGTGGCGGGGTGCGCTCCCGTTGCTCGGTCCCAGCGCCTGCCAACCTAGCAGTTCGAAAGCACCCCGGGTGCAAGTAGATAAATAGGGACCGCTTTCTAGCGGGAAGGTAAACGGCGTTTCCGTGTGCGGCTCTGGCTAGCCAGAGCAGCGATGTCACGCTGGCCACGTGACCCGGAAGTGTCTCCGGACAGCGCTGGCCCCTGGCCTCTTAAGTGAGATGGGCACACAACCCCAGAGTCTGTCAAGACTGGCCCGTATGGGCAGGGGTACCTTTACCTTTTTATAACAGTAACATCTTACTACCTGATAGCAAACTTGACAGTCTTTAGAACACAAGGTGTGGCAGGGGAAAAATTGCCGGATGTTTCTTGGTACAGGGGGCCAAGCAAATCTTGGATGGAAAACTTTACCAACTTTCATCAATGCTGCAGAATTCTATGTCTTCTTCCAGTTGTCCTATGAGTTTTCTTTTTTTAAAATGGTGAGCATGAGAGATTGGACTGAACAACCCTCAAGTCGAGAGCTGATCTCCATGAAGTAGGACACATGACCACCCTGTCTGCTATTGACCCCCCCCCCAATTTCCCACTATTACTTATTTGTGCTAATTTTGTTCATTTATGCAGAGTATGAGTATGTACTTCTTCGGGACAAGTGAAAATGGCCAATTTCTTTCCTATGAACCAAAAAGCTCTCATGGAAACCTTTGGGTAGAGGCTGGCGGGTTGTTTTTTTAAAGGAAACATTGAGTCGATATAACCAGTCCATGTGGCCCATGCAGATGTGGTCATCCAAGACCACAGGTGAAATGGAAAATCTAGGGGAAGAAACACCTGGACAATTTTTATTCATTGTCTTTTCATTTTTTTTAGATAACACAGGAGGCAGGAGAGTTTATGATCACTTTCCCATATGGATACCACGCGGGATTTAATCATGGTTTCAACTGTGCCGAGTCAACGAACTTTGCAACGATCAGGTGGATTGACTATGGAAAAGTAGCTAAGTTGGTAAGTCAGATTACATTATTAATACCAAAGCTATCCATTAGAATGTGTTTTTTAAAAATGGACTTGTGAATTATAAATACCAGGATGTTACGCTCTTACGAAGACTTTATGATCACAAAATGCATGGTTTCATTACCACCGACTGTGAACAAATGATAGTCAGGTACTTCGGTTTTTCTCTTTGTCATTCTTTTCTTTATGCTTTGGTATACTAAATTTCCCGGTTGTGAGAACATCACATCTTCCATGCTGGCCTGCTAGACCCAGGTAGGATTAGTGCCACCTAGTGCTTGAGCCAGGAATTTAGTCTCCATACAGAAACTTTTAATAGGTACTGTTCCCAGAAGTGGCTTTGGTTTAAAGTTCTTGCAACAAGCTTAAAGCTACTTGGAGGTTCGGTCTGCTTTCCTTGTATTGAGGCCTGTACATTTTCCTTCTCCTTACTTGCAGCACCTAGTCCACTCTCCTGTTTGATTTAAACTTGGTTTTGATTGCTGCTTTTCTTCACCACTTCCATCCCTCATGGGAGGTCTCGCTACTGAGTCCTGGTCAGTCAGCCCCGTAATAAAATCTGGTGGCCTCTGTATATCTTTAACCCAATTCCTACTTGGTGTGTGTGTGATTGTGGAAGTTTGTTTACATGATTATTCTGTTTCATTAATGTCAATATCCTGTTATCTGCATAGAGCAGAGAGGTATACTCTGTATCTTGGATATTTCCACACCCTCAATCTACTTTGTCAGATGGTGCCTGTCAGGAGCATTCCCTTAACAGTGAATTAGAGTAATTGGGGGCTGATACGTTAACATGTTTCTAAACAACAATAGCAACAGGTTATGAACTACCTTTGCTCTCCTCCCATTGCTAGTTTTGCTACTTGGAAAAACCAAAAACAATGCAATGATGAAACAAAGCAACACTTATTGGGGATGTGCTGCTGAGAGCTGTGATAATAACCCAACTGTTGACATATGTGGTGGCTGTTCCTTACATATGTGAACAGAGCAGAGTGGCACAGTAGACTGGGGTGGTGGGGTGGTGTTGCACTTAGCATTCTGGTGGGACCTGATATGGAGGTGCAAGGAAATTGCATGTCACAGCTTTGATGACTGCATATCCTTGAGTATTCCATTCCTTATTTGCCATTCCTCTTTTATTGCTCTGGTGCAGTGTTTTGTGTGGCTGTCATCTACCAGACAGTGTTAGATGTGTTGTTTTGCTTTGTTTTCAAGTAAATGTTTACTACTTCTTTTTTCCTGTATTACACTTGAAAGCACAGTGGTACCTTGGTTCTCAAACTTAATCCGTTCTGAAGTCTGTTCCAAAACCAAAGCGTTCCAAAACCAAGGTGCCCTTTCCCATAGAAAATAATGCAAAATGGATTAATCCGTTCTAGACTTTTAAAAACAGCAATTTAACATGAATTTTACTATCTAACAAGACCACTGATCCATAAAATGAAAGCAATAATCAATGTACTGTACTATAAAATAAATAAGACAGTATTGTAGATGATAAAAATTAAAATTATGTTTTTTCTTACCTGCACTGATTGTTTGGATGGGGGGCTTTTATCCATTTCCGCAGTCACACAATCAATCAATCAATCAATCAATCAGTAGCTGAACTGGGTTCGACACAGTCACAAAAGCAAATTAACCAAAAAAGCCTCAAAAACAAAAATGCAAAATAAATAGCAAAACTAAAAGCACCAAACTTAATCCATTCTGGAAGTCAGTTTGACTTACGAAATGTTAAAAAACCAAGGCGCAGCTTCTGATTGGTGCAGGCGCCCCGGAAACAATAGCCGACAGCTGCATCGGACGTTCAGCTTCCAAAAAATGTTTGCAAACCGGAACACTTAACTTCCATGTTTTCGGAGTTTGGGAACCAGGGCGTTTGAGTACCAAGGCGTTTGAGAACCAAGGTACCACTGTAAACAGATTTTTTTAAAAAAGGAAATTCATAAGATATTGAAAGAGAACGAAACCATGTTGCTATGTGAGACCAAGAGGTTTTGGCACTTGTATAAATGCCTGATAATTTCAGTCACCTATACTCAGAAGTATTCTACTTGCTTAAGGCAGGGTGTCGATGGGGCTACCCATTGCCTCCCATAAGCAGATAATGAATGCTAGACAACCCCCACTGTTTCCCTGGAGCCTTGCATTGCAGGAAAGCGCAGCAGCGGTATGTAACCTTTCTTTCAAGGAAGCTTGTCCGCTATTATAGATTTTATTGCTGAACCTCAGGGTTCCCTAGAACACAGTTTGAAAGCTTTGGAAATGGAAGGTGGGCATCTCTTCTGTTTGCTTTCCCCCATTCACACCCATCCGCCTGCAGTTGCACATTTGGCAGTGCTGACCTGTGGCTGTGTGTCCTGAATGCTTTAGCTGAGATTCCTGCATTGCAGGGGGTTGGACTAGATGATCCTTGTTGTCCCTTCCAACTCCATGAGTCTATCATTTGCCCTGTGCCACTAACTCATCCTACTCCAGTCTGCAGCACGAATCCATGTTACAAAGCTTCTGTTTCTGAGCTTTATGCTAGAGGCCAATAAACATACTGATGAGATCACATTTTAAGATGTGAAAGAAGGGCAAATGGGACATTTCCTCAGACTTCTGTGGATTTTATTATTTACCTAATGGAGCTTATATCCATCTTGGTTGGCTAGAGTTGTGTCTTTCCGTGGACAACATTTTGGAGTCATTTTACTCGAGTGCATTTTGTGAATGTTGGTAAAACAGATGAACCAGTGACAATTACTTTATGTGTTTTGCTGGGGTCTCTTTTAATTTGTGCTGAGCCTGCAATATTTGTGCTGAACTAGGAGCTATATGCAGACATTAAAACTGCTGAACATAAATGTTTACATACTGCTTTGATTACCCCCCGCCCCGTTCTTAGAAAATAAAGATTTCTTTAGAAGTGATTCCATTAAAAAGCATTACTTTAAGCTGGATGTAAAGCTTGTATGTTTCTCCCTGGGCAAGATTCCCTACTGCATCAGTAGAAAAAGAAACATTCTGGGTATTCAGTGTTGCAAGACCCATTCACAACTTTAAGCTGTCATCTGTTTGCTTGATATATATCCATGGTCAGCAACTGGATTTTAACATGGGCCACCTGAATTATTCAAGCATTAGAATGCCAGCAAAATTGGCACTACCCACTGACTTATTCCCAGGCAAATTGAGAGACAGGCAAAGGGCTGTTCAGTGACTTTGGTGGAGCTTTTCTTTCAGGCACCTTTTGGCTTCCTGATTCTGTTTGCCTTTGGCAGTTGAGTATGAGCCGCTAAGGAGCATGGGGAGATCCCTGGCAAAGCATCTGTTTCTGCTCTTCGAAGAGCCATTCGGTAGAATCTCAGCCTGGAAGTTCATACAATATTTTGTTTATCCGTTTGCTGAGCATTTATACCAACTTCTGTACTCAGGAGTTTGAGAATGTCAGTGGTCTAGTTTGAGAATCTGTATGTTTCTACTACAGTCACCTGCCTGTGTCAGAACTAGCTCTTTTCTCAACTCTAACGTTGATTAGGTCTGGGCGATATATGGTTTTCAACATCGCGATATACCCCCAGCTAAACATCACGATATTGCTGCCCTTGAAACTGACCCTGAAACTCCAGTGGGTCCACTGGTACGCCCCTTGGAGGACCTTACGGTCTGCAAATAATAACACCCTTGGAGATCCCGGGCCTCAGAGAGATTAGGCTGGCCTCGACCAGGGCCAGGGCCTTTTCAGCCTTGGCCCCAGCGTGATGGAACCCTCTGCCACAAGAGATCAGGATTTGACATCTTTCGGCAGGGCCTGCAAGACAGAATTGTTCCGCCAGGCCTTTGGTCAGGGCTCAGCCTGACTCCCCTTTTCTTTTTTTTATAAGAACTAATATAAAAGAGGCCTCCCGGCATTTACACAGGCCCATATAAGATCAGTGTAAACAGTTGGGCCGATGAGCACTTACTGTTCCCAATCCTAACTCTGCAGAAGGCCATTGTGATGTGCTGTCGTGGTTGCTCGAGAGCGAACAGGCAAGACTCCCACCGGTCTTTTCCAGGCTTTATTATCTGTCCAAAAACATTTACAATACAGAGCGTCTCAAGTCTATGTCTGCTCAGTCGCTAGCAGAATCTGGGAGTGAGCGGCCCCCCCCCCCGCTTTGCTCAGGCCCAGTGTTGCGGCTCTCTCTAGCATCTTCCAAGCCCTGCATCCCTTCCCCACTGGAGGCGGGGCTTCCCTCCTCGCCGGAGGAAGAGCTGCTTCGCACAATCTTCGGAGGCTCCCTGTAACCAACTGCCCTTCCACCTCTCGGCTTTGAGCTGATGGCAGTTCCCTGACAGCCATCTAATTAGATTTTAATTTGATTTTGACCTGTTTTTAGGAGGTAATTTAATTATTGTTTGATTTTATACCAATGTTATATATCTGATCTTAGCCGCCCTGAGCCCGACTTTGGCCGGGGAGGGCGGGATATGACTAAAAGCTTCTTATTCTTATTCTTATTATTGTAATATCACAATGTCTGAAATAGGAGTGGAGCTATGAAGAGGCATTGGGTGGCTTCACAGTTTTCCCCACATTGATTTTTCCAGAGTATACACACACACACACACACACACACACACACCCGTTATTTGCAATATATTGCCAGGTCAAAAACTATGAAACCTACATCACAATATGGACTTCAGAGTGGGTTTGGATGATACATCGCCCTGCCCAGCCATGAGTAAACTGACCTAGACCCTGCAATCATCCTGTGAGGCCCTTCTTTGTGTGCCCTCTCCACAAGTGGTCCAGAGGGTAGCAACACGAGAATGGGCCTTTTCTGTGGTGGCTCCCCACTTGTGGGATGCTTTCCCCAGGGAGGCTCGCCTGGCACCTTTGTTATATATCTTTAGGCACCAGGCAAAAACATTCCTCTTCTCCCAGGCCTTTGACCAGTTAAACAATCTATTGCCTTCTAAACTGCTGGGTGGGGACATTGTTTTTG